GGAGGGACATGCCTGTGGGCTCGTTCAGGTTGTGTTCCAGCTCTTCTCCCTCATGACCCCTCTCTAGAACTATAAATACTCTGTGCTGCTAAACATTCTATCTGCTGGTTTCATCTTGCTGTCACTATAGTGATAAAAGAGGCCAGCGCCATTATTAACCCTTCATTATGGAGAGTCTGCTGCTTTTCAGCAGTTCTGCATGCTTGTGTTTCATAAAACTCATTCCGACTATTTCCTTTAGGAATTGACTGATTTGGCACGTGATCCTCCCGCACAGTGTTCAGCAGGTCCAGTGGGCGATGATGGTGAGATCCTGGACTTTACACATATTGTGGTGTTTATGGTTGTATGCATTTACTGTAAACTGATGTTGTACATGTGATCTCTTCTGTAGTGTTCCACTGGCAGGCAACAATCATGGGACCGGTGAGTACAATAAAAAGCATTGCTATAAAAGCATGTTACTAAATAGCATAACACTGGCAGAAAAATGTACACTACCATTCAAAGGTTTGGGGTTTGTAAGAATTGTTTTAATGTTTTTTAGAGTCTTTCATGCTCGCCAATCTTACCAGTTAGTTGATCAAGAATACAGGGGAAATAAAAATAATAAATAATTTTCTGTTTTTAATATATTTTAAAATGTAATTTATTTGCAGTGTCACATGATCCTTCAGAAATCATTCTAATATGATGATTTGGTGCTCAAGAAACTTTGTTGAAAACAGTTGTTCTGTTTAATATTTTCTGAGTAAACCATGATACATTTTTTTTCAGGATTCTATAATGGCTAGAAAGTTCAAGAGTTTGAATCTTTTAAAAATTGAATCTTTTATAACATTTAAATATGTTCACTGTCAATTTTTTGTTATCAATTTAATGTGTCCTTTGTCATTTCTGTGGGAAAAAAACTCACCCCAAACTTTAACAGAATTGTAATTTTTTCCCCCTTTTTTCTATAAATACAGAATGAAAGTCCATATCAGGGTGGCGTTTTTTTCCTAACCATACACTTCCCAACAGATTACCCCTTTAAACCACCTAAGGTGAGGACTTTGATTAGAAATGTTTTTTACTCCTTTGTGTGTTTGTTTGTAGGAGTGTATAACCTTGTTTTCTCTGTGTTAGGTTGCTTTTACTACAAGAATCTACCATCCTAACATAAACAGTAATGGCAGCATCTGTCTGGATATCCTCAGGTCCCAGTGGTCACCTGCACTTACTATTTCTAAAGGTACATGCACCATAATAGATGTTTCTTTTTTAGAAAATGGTCAGATAGAGCTTGGGCTGTGACTGCGGTGTGTGTGTATATATGCATACATACAAAAACATATATTGTTAGTGCAGTTCATTTGATTAAGTGTGGACGTTGCCATCTGTACCCTGGTACGCTCCAAATAAGTGGACCGAGACCCCTGAAAAGAGATCTTAGTCTGCTTCCAAATTAACTCTAGTGCGGTTAGAATGAAATATTAATGCAACACGGACTAAAGGCATGTAAACGAACCAAAAACTGGACATGATTTCACATGATCCGACCCTAAAAAGGATATGCTTCGTCCAAGCATACCTGTTTTATCTCATCATAGTTGCGATGTTGCCGATCACAGTTCGCTACAGACATCAGAACTGTCTCCTTGCTGGAGATCCTCGTTTGTGTGTGTGACGGAGGGATTCCTGCCACTGTTTTGCTTACTTTACACATTTTATAAGTTGAGTTGACAGTGGCATCATTTATCTGTCCAACAGCATTTTTCTACTTTACCACAGTAAAGGATGCAATTATAGTAATTAAAAGTGAACAAAAGGAAGAAACTTTATAATCTCCTGCTAAAGTCACTTGAGTGAAGATTTGGGAAAAGAAACAAGATTCCATGTCAAGTGGAGTAACTCATGAAATATTGTGTTGTATGTGTCCTCTCTGTAGTTCTCCTGTCCATCTGCTCACTCTTATGTGACCCCAATCCAGACGACCCTCTTGTGCCAGAGATTGCCAGAATCTATAAAACAGACACAGAGAAGTACGTACAGACTGAAGCACACAAGTATTTTTACACTCATGCATGTATGCGCATATCGGATATGTTGTTATTAAATTGTACAGTATTTCCTATTTTTAACATTTTGTTCTTAAATATTTTGAATAATTTTTCTGAACTTTTTAAAATTGTTTTTATCATTTTTTTACTGTTTATTTTTCTCCCATCTCCCATTATTTCATTTCAACTGAAAACTGATTTTACTGTCAGAAAAACAAATGTTGTAGTCAGCACCAAATAGAATCAGATGAGCTTGCTACACAGATTACAGCAGTTTATCACATTTAATATCAGCATCAAACCTTCATTTAACAACATGTTGCAGTTGTAAAAAATATGTAAAAGGAAAAAAGGGCACCTTATGTTAGTCTTTTCTTTTGAAGTGACATCACTGTGGGTATCATTTTAAAATAAAAGGCTGTAGAACAATAAGGACTACAGTCATTCGTAAATATAATAGAAGTGAATAGACATCCTTCTCTAACACACCATGCTCTATCAGGTATAATAGAATGGCAAAGGAATGGACAGAGAAATATGCCATGCTGTAGGTGAAGGGCAACTCTGCACTGTGAACATTAGAGGTACTGTAGAGAGAGTGAAGCACTCCGCTTCCGGTGTGGTGCAGCATGAGCGTGTGGCTACAGCAGGTGTGCATCACTAATACATGCTATCACGTCTCTTCTGAAATGACTGAAAAATGCACAGGAAAGTCAGATTTGCTTTTATCTTTCTCAAATGCAGCAGTGTCTGCTGATTTGTTAGGATTTATTCAGTCCTGCATTAAACCTTACTGTAAGCATGGCTTTTTTATCAGCCATAAAGTCTTACAGTAGCATGATGGTTGTGTTAGGTATGTAAAAAAAAATGTAAATTTTAGTGGCTGAGCATTTTTGTTTTGTGTAAGCCAGTTGTACTGCATGCGAAGCATTAGAATATACATTTAAACTACAAGCATCTGAAAAATAAGATTTTGTTGTTAATGAATTTGGGCAAGTAAAAAAGTGGTCAATTGAAATACATCATTATTAAAGGTACAGTAAGCAATTTCTGAGAAATGCTGTTGAAAATGTCAATCAACGCCTAAACAAACATTTTTGCCAATATTTTCTAGATGTCTGTTCTGTGTGTACTGAAAAAAATATTGTTTTTTTTTTACAATTTTTTTTTTCTTTCTTACAATTTAACGCACTAAAAATATTTAGCGCAGTTAGCACAACCATTTTTTTCTGTCATCCTTTGGCTGCACTAGATTCAAGTGCTATTAAAACATTGAAGTACGATGAACAAACACCGGAAATGCATGCACAGAATTTCTGCTGCTGTTTGATATTAAAGGTGTAGTTCACTTTAAAAAAAACGTTTACTGATAATTTACTCACCCCCATGTCATCCAAGATGTCCATGTCTTTCTTTCTTCAGTCGAAAAGAAATTAAGGTTTTTGATGAAAACATTCCAGGATTTTCTCCATATAATGGACTTCAATGGGAACCAAACGTTTCAAGGTCCAAATGAGAGTTTCAGTGCAGCTTCAAAGGGCTTTAAACGACACCAGACAATGAATAAGGGTCTTATCTAGCGAAATGATCACACATTTAAAAAATAAATAACAAAGTTTAAGTTTTATAAGAACAAATGCTCGCCTTGCTCTAGTCTGTTCTGTGATGGGCGTTCGTGACTCTCCTCTTCAAACCCGTTCATCAAAATGAGCAAATCTTTTTTTCGAGTCATGACTCGAAGGGTCCTAGATAAGAACCTTATTCAACGTTTGGTGTCGTTAAAGCACTGTTTACAAGGTCGCATGGGTCAAAAAGAGCAAAAACCCATCCATTTATCCATTATATAGAATCCTTAGTATCAGTACTGATATCAATGATTCTAGCCTTCATTCATAGTGCATAGTAAAAGATGGCATTAAACGAGCATTTAAAATATACCCTCTTTAATATATTGTTTCTTCATTATTTTCCAGGTTCAATATGCAAGTATTACAAAACTTTAATGTTAGTTGGGATTAATCACGATTAATTGCAGAAAAAATTTAGATTAATTAATTTTTATGTTGATTAACAACATTAGTTTGTACATACCTGTGGTCCTGTCTGTAAATAGGAGGAAAAAGTGGATTGCACTGATTCATCTATACTTGCATGAGCTGTGTGATGTGCCAGTTGTTAGTGATTGCCTTTGTTGCGTAGCGTGTTCGTTATTTTGTGTCGACAGTCTTTCTAAAGAAATCGCTTATTGCACCTTTAAAGGAGCAATTACACGCTTACCACAGTCATCAGAAAACTGCTTTTTGGAAGCTATGGCTGCATGAAGGATCACTGGATTTCAAATCCTTAAAGTTGTTGTTTTTTCCTCTTTGCAGATACAACAGAATAGCACGGGAATGGACTCAGAAATATGCCATGTGATGTTGGCTGGACACATTAACAAACTGTTTGTTCTCTCATGTTTTGGACACTGTTGCAAGACCATATTTCTCCATCTGTCTCTTATGGAGGCATAACCCCAGTTTTATGCTCAAACAGGAATGCAGGTCTGCTTTTGGCCTTTCCACACTACAAAGTCTCGATGGACCTCGTCAATCTGACGGAAACTCGTCCACTCTCAGCTCTGCCTATCTTTGGTCTCTACCAATCAACCCGTCACTTCACAACACGTCATGCCTGTATGACCACAGTGTGCTTTCTCTGAGCCGCTCGGGGAGAGAATGTCTTTAGGTTGTTCTGCTTTTTTTGGGGCCTTACTCCTGGAGTGCATGCAATCACAGGAGAAAAGGTCAGATGTTGTACATCAGTGGGAGATTGGGGCCGATTCCTGTATTGTGCTTAATTGTAAAGATTTGCAACATTTGGATCAGCTCTTGGCCCAACTTTACACAGCTGTGACACTGAACAACTCACTCGATTGGCTTAAATATCTATTTAAAGTCCCGCTACTTTTTCCCTTCAATAAAGATTAATAACTCGTTATACTGTGTGGTTCTGTTTTTCTGTTAGAATTTTTACTTTTCACTATTTGTATATAAATTAATGTAGATGAATGTGTTTTTCCACATAAAATTGGTTTCACTTGAAGGATCATGAATCGTTCAGAATAAAAAGCAACCCCTGATTTAGTGTTACTGATAAGGTTTGGTATGGACAAAAATAATTTATCTTGGATGCCAAGAAATGTAGTATTGTAAGATATAAAAAGTGATTTAATCCTTTCACTTTCTCTGACTGACTTGTAAAGCGTTTTGTGAATGCTTTCCCACCTTTAAATACGTAAAAAAAAAGCCACTTACTGGTGTAATGATGCGGGAACCAATGAGGTTTGTTGAGCCAATTGAGCTTCTGTTTATGTTCACTGATCAATGTTTAAATGTGAATTCATATCACATCATATAAATTATGTGATCCGAAATCAAATAAAGCGATCGTGTGTCCTCAGAAAGTTTGGACTAAACCACTCAAGTCATATGGATTAGTTTTACAAACACTTTATGAACTTTTTGAAGCGTCAAATTGGTAGTTGCGGAGCTGCCAATAGAGGGAAAGAAAGCTCTCAGATTTCACGAAAAAGATCTTCATTTGTGTTAAGATGATAAACGAATATGGGTTTGAAACGACATGAGGGTGAGTACTTAATTACGGAATGTTCACTTTTGGGTGAACTATCCCTTTAAGCGCTACCGGATGTTTTTGCTTCCACGTGAGAGAGCAGCTGATCTTCCTTGTGCTTTTGATTTCAACCGGGAAGTGCAGCAGAAAGTACCAAGAGGGTGGTGTGTTTATGACTTTACGTCCCGTGGTTCAACAACGTAATATAGAGATGACTTTGGTAGTGTACCTTTTGCCATGAGCAATAGACATGAATCATGCGGTATGGTCTTTTGCGTGCTTTTACCTTTTAGAGGCCCTTTTTCTTGACAGCGTATTTGCGTCTAAAGTGAAAAGTCCCAGTCTGGGAGCTAGCATCTCTCTGAACGGGAAATGGCAGCTGCTGAACTCAAACTCATCTGTTTCTCTCAGTGCCGAGGTACCAGGATGTGTTCATACTGCTTTGCTGCGTCATGGATTCATCTCGGTACATTCAGACACATTTACATTGTTTCATTCAAAGTCAATATTACGATTCCAAACACTTTGACATTAATCTTTATAAAACCTTTACTCTGTCAACAGGATCCATATTATAGGTTTAATGACCTGGCCTACAGATGGATTTCACTTGACAACTGGACTTACATTACATCATTCTCAGTACCTACTCATGTGAGGTAAACCTGCCCTCTGATATGTACCATACACCTAGAGCTAGAATGCCAAGAATACTATAATTATAGTTCTATGTATACAAGACCACAGATCAAATACTACATGCTCTTCACAGAGAGAAAGAGAAAGCCATCCTGGTGTTTGAAGGAGTCGACACAATCTCTACCATTTCACTCAATGGAGTCACCATCGGAAAGACAGACAACATGTTTCGCAGATATGTAAATGAATAACTATTTTGTGTTGCAAGCACTATTGTTCTTTGTATGTATGTTTATAGACTCTAATAATAATGGTTCACCTTAAAAAAGGCTTTATAATAAATAAATCATATTTTGTCTTCAGGATTTTGAAGTTACTGGATTGCTCAAGGATCAAGAGAATATTCTTCAAGTGTGGATTATGTCAGCTGTGACATATGCATCTCAGAAGAGTCATGCCCACACTGAATACAGGGTACCACCTGATTGTCCTCCTCCTGTACAGAAAGGAGAGTGTCATGTTAACTTTATCCGAAAGGTATGTCACATTCACAAACACAAATGGATCATTAGAGTAGGCCATGATTCTTTTTTGTTCTTGTTTGTTTTATTTCACCGCAAAGAAAAACATTAAATGGAGTAATTGAGGAATCAAAAATGTATTTAAAAAATGGTATCAAAAATGGTTAAAATGTATTCTTCACATTATTCACACAACCTTTTGTTGAGTTATTACCATTTTTTCTAATGACAGCTTCATGAATTGTGCTGTTTTATGCAGGTCAGGTATATGGACATATAGTTTTTGCCGTGATGTAGAGAAATGACACAGCAGTTATAACATCGCATCTGAAATGTGAGATTTGTTATAACTTTTTTTGTCATTGATTTCCTGGTTGTGATTAAGTTTTTGGTCTCTTGGTGTTTTGAGGCTCAAAGCTCATTTAGCTGGGACTGGGGTCCATCTTTCCCCACTCTGGGCATCTGGAAGGGAGTTCTGCTGGAAGTCTTCAACACTTTAAGGGTTCTAAGTTTTACCACAGTTCCAAAATATGGTACACACATATTTGCATATAAATGAGAAGGAGTTCATATTAATATAATAGCAAAAGAAATCAACAAAGAAAGTAAATTCCTTATTTTTCCCTATATTCTTCTTCATATGTCTTTCTGTCTTTCCCTGTATCCAGACTCTACACATTCAAGCTGGAATGTTGAAGTGGAATTGTTCTTCGATGTTGTTGTTGCATCTAAGGGTCGTGTCCTTCTGTCCATACCGTTATTACATTCAGAGGAATTTCAACTGTCTCTTACACCTGGGCAGAGTAGAAAGTCCTTTGTCCTCCAGGTCAACCAGGTAAAATCAGCTCTAGTTTGCTATGCGTCATATCATCCCTTATTCTTCAATTCAGAGGTAATATCACACTATAATACTGTATATATGATGATGATAAACAATGTTCACTTCAAGAGTGTCAGTTTGTGGTGGCCATTTGGACATGGAGAGCAGCCTCTCTATGACCTGAAGATGGAAATCAACTTGGAGGGTGGAGAGACATTTAATGCACAGAGAAAGGTAACATCTTTCACTGTTCTTCTTATTTTATAAGTCTTGCTTTAGTCTGCATCTTTTCACTCTTATGTTGTGGTGTTCTGTTTCAGATTGCTTTCCGCACAGTGGACTTGATCCAGGAGCCCATACCCTCCTCCCCTGGCCTCAGCTTCTACTTCCGGATTAACGGGAAACCGATTTTCCTGAAAGGTTCGAACTGGATTCCTGTACATGCATTTCAGGACCAGGTTACCACTGACATGTGAGACGATTAAAAGGCTACCTACACTAAAACAAACTGGTTCAGTGACCAGATTAATTCTATTTAATGTGAAATCACTTTCAAACTTTAACCGTCTTGTCATGGCATTTCAGGATCACAGTCCTGCTCCAGTCTGCACAGAAGGCAAATATGAATGCTTTAAGAGTCTGGGGTGGTGGAGTTTATGAGCAAGACATCTTCTATAGCCTGTGTGATATGTATGGAATCATGGTAAGCTTGTCATATGATATCCTCCACCTGTGACATGATTTAAATGTTGCAATTGATTTGGTTATTTGTTCGCTCTTATGTTAGATTTGGCAGGACTTCATGTTTGCCTGTGCGCTGTACCCTACAGAGAAGGAATTTATACAGACAGTGAGGGAGGAGGTCACGCAGCAGGTTTGTATACACAGTACTCTCATAAATTCTGTGTTCATCTCAAATAAATGACAAATAAAAGGGTCAATGACCTATAAGAGTGTTTGGAAAATCTTTAATTACATTTTTTTTAAAGAAAAGTTCAAATGGAATGATTCTCAAATATCATAATACAATATATTTTCCGGACATTTGAGTGCACACACCTTAATATTTCTTTTTTTATTATAAATATGTATTATTACTTTATAAATATCATGCCGTTTCTGCTGTGTCGCACCACATGACATTTTTACAACCTGAGGTGACCTTGCATTGTCAAAAAGTTTTGACATAGTCATGAACTAAAACTAAAGTAATTAAAAATTGTTTATTAACATTTAAAAATGTCAAATAAAAATAAATATGAAACTATATAAAATACGAACATTTATTTATTATATAACTTAAAAATAAAATTTGAATTAGAAATTAAAGTTACTGAAATAAAATGACTTATAACGTAATAATTTGAAGTGTTAAAATGACTGACTAAAACTGAAATAAATATAAATTAAAGGTAAATAGAAATATCTATTCATTATGATAGCATGTCAGTTTGATTGTTATTCCCTTCAAAAAATTACAAAAATGAAATTAAGTTCAGAGTTTAAAAGAAGCTCATTGTAGAAGAGGTTTATCATAGAAGTTATTGGCAATTTTATGTATTCCCACAAAAATTTGCCTTATGTCACTGACTATAACATTTATTTTTGTTCAGGTGCGACGGTTGAAATCTCACCCCTCTGTGGTCATCTGGAGCGGGAACAATGAGAATGAAGCTGCCATAGCAACTGACTGGTTCAACATACCTGTTGCTGAGCGCCCACTGTACGTGAAAGACTATGTCAAACTGTATGTTGAGAACATCAGAGACATTGTGCTGCAGGTGAGACACAGCGAGAGATACATGCACACAGACTTACATCAAAGTACTGTCTGAAGTCTTATCAATAGATGATGTGCTTTAATTCAGGAGGACAGCACTCGTCCTTTTCTAGTGTCCAGCCCAACCAATGGGGTTGAGTCTGAGAAGGAAGGCTGGGTGGCTCAGGACCCCTATGACCCCCACTATGGAGACACTCACTATTATAGCTATTACAACGATTGCTGGGACTGGACTGCTTTCCCTCGCACACGCTTTGCCTCAGAGTATGGCTTCCAGTCCTGGCCTTCATTGTCCACGCTTAGTAAGGTACTACACTTAATACAAGTCTGCTTTTGAGATTTTTACAAATTTTAGTTTGCCAAATTTAACAATTCACCAGAGCACATTCATAAGTGCAGTAAAAAATGTCCTTCGTAATCTTTCATTGAAACCTTTGTGAAAAAGAAGTACACTTTAGAATATTTTTTTTAAAAGTATACTTATGAAAATAATATACTTTACAGTGCAAACTGAATATAACGTTCTCAGATAATTGCTTGTTAATTGGAATTAAATGTAAATATAACTTAAATTTATATCAAATGACAGTAGCTGAACTTTAGAGTGTTTCCCCCCAGTTAAGTAGGATGTAAGGACATCTTTATGTCATTTCAGTAATTACTTGTAATTACAATTAATTACAATTGCCTTTTGTAATTCTATTGTCTTTGAAATATGATTATATAATTATAATCTAATTATACATTAATGCAATTTCTATTGACACTTGTGTCATGTATTTAACACACATGTGAATTGAAGTTGCAATGTAGTACATTAAAAATATGTTCACTTTTAAATATCAAATTTCCCAATATGGTTAAAATTATAATGAAGTTCTTGTACATGTGTTTTAGTATGTTAGCCAACACGTCAAAATAAGTGTATTACTTTTACACACAACAAAAGGTTACTAAACATGATGGTTTAAATGGCCCTTTATTTCATTAATATATTATCTGCAAAGTACAGTTTTTTTATTTTATTTTTTTTATTTACTTATTTGATTACACTAGAAGTGCCATTCAATACAATTAAGCACACTTCATTTTTAAGGAAATGAACATTTATAAGCCCTCTTATTTTTCAACCTCTCCTCTCCAACCAGGTTTCAGTGTCTTCAGATTGGGATTTCAGCAGCAATTTCTCATCTCATCGGCAGCATCATGAAGATGGAAACCAGCAGATGCTAAAGCAAGCAGAACTACATTACATTCTCCCCAACAGCACAGACTCAGTGCAGAAATACAGAGACACTATTTACATCACTCAGGTCATTTACATCATTCTGTAAATGCACTACAAGTTTTGCCGTCTCAGCAATAAATGACATTTTAAAATACAATAAAATAGCAAATGGTTATTTAAAATTGTAATAACATTTCACAACATTACTGTTTAACTGTATTTTTGATCAAATAGTAAGACATTTAAAAAAAAAAAAAAATTAAAAAAATTCACAGACCCCAAACTTTTGAATGGTAGTGTACAGTACCGGTATATGTATTTTTTTGGACATGTGCCTGATATCACACTCTTTGGTTTGAACAGGTAATGCAGGCACAGTGTGTGAAGATTCAAACTGAATTCTACCGCCGCAGCCGCAGTGACATCATTGAGGGCAAAGGTCATACGATGGGCACTCTTTACTGGCAGCTCAATGATATCTGGCAGGGGCCATCCTGGTCCTCTGTAGGTAAATGAATAATGAATAACGACTATTGCTGTTCATCACTATATAGAGGAAAGCCTTCTTGTTTATTAAACGTAATTTATTTGTTAATGTGAGCGTACAAAGTTAAAGTATGCTTCTTGACTGGGAAATCTCTCGCACATTCAGAGTTTGGTGGTAAATGGAAAATGCTGCACTACTGGGCTACAGATTTTTATGCTCCTATACTGTCAATGGGGGTTGAGGATAAGGGAGACCTCCTGATGTATGCCGTCTCTGACAGTCACTCTGAGCAGCACAATGTCAAAGCCAAGGTAGGAGGACAGTGCTTATTAACACCTTTTTCTGTGGTTATTTTACAATATAATTGAAAAAAAATTGTGACATATTAATTTATACTTGTAATATAGAAGCTGGGTTAGCACCACTGTTTACCCGGACTTATGAAACCCTGCTCTGGAGCAGAGTTGGCACTGCTTTTTTTTGTTTTTATATATAAATGATCCAGTTTTAAGGGGCATTCACACTACACTTTTCTTTCTATTGACTTCCATTTATACGCATGTGAATGCGTCAGACCAGCTGCAATATATAATATAAGGTTGTGCAATGCCCTTATGTAAACATATTGCATTCAGATTTCATCCAGTCAATGACTTTGACAAGATATCAATGAATAAGAATGTTAACCCAGGATGTAGGAATGTACATTATAACATTAATACATTATTAAATGTATGAATTTTGATTAGTATGTGCACTGTATGTTTATGTTTACACAGGTGAAATTATACAGCTGGAGCAGTTTTGATGCTGTGTGTTCTTTAGAGTCTAATGTGACTACAATAAAAGCAGGAGGGACCACCCTTGTGTTTCAGCATCCTATATCTGCTCTCCTGACGCAATGTGGAGACTGCACACGGCGCTCCTGCATAGTCACCTTTCATCTCAGTAGCCCGGAAGGTCAAATGATCAGCCCTCACAATCACATCTTCCTCAGCTCTCCACGACACGCAGAAGGTTTGCAGAAACCCAACATCACGGTGAGAGAGACACATTCTCAACACACACCGTTTACTAATGCACTCACTTCGGCTAATTCACTTCTGCCAATTTGCTTAAATGGGCTTTTTCACAAACAGAGGCGTTACTGAATGTAAATGACATCTGGGGCTTTTTTTCGTAGGGAATGAATCCCTGAAATGACTGACAGGTTGTTGTTTTTGTGTGTGTGTTTGTGTATTGCAGTTTACTGTAAAGGATGCTGGAATTATGCAGAACTTTGCCGTGACTTTGTACTGCTCCTTTCCTGCTGTGTATGTTTGGCTGGATGTAGATGACATTCCTGGTAACTTTAATATCAATGGTTTCCTGATGCTGTCTAAAAACTCCACAGTTACTTTTGAAGCATGGAGACCCACCACTGCCAAAGAAATCACTGCAAATCTTCATATCACGTCTCTCAGAGATGTCTACTGATTTTATGATGCATAGTTGTCTGACTGATAGCTTATTTACAATCTTTTATACAAATATTAATTCCTAAAATATTGCGGGGCCCTTTGTTCTCTACTCAGGATGGGCATGTTAATTACTACTTACATTTTTTTGGTAACAATTTACAAGAAGATTCTATTTGTTGACATTAATGATTAATTGTAGTTAATGTGAATTTCAACATTTACATTATTAAAAGCAAAAGTTGTATCTGTTATAAATATTATTTCATTGATTTGAGCTTACATGAATAGTTAATGAATGAATGGAGCATACAATGAATAGTTATTGTTATTAACTAAGTTTTAAAAGGGATTAGTGAATACTATAACAAATGTATTGCGCATTAGTTAATTCATTAACATTAATTAACAATGTTAACTAATGGAACCTTATTATAAATGTTTCCTTCTTTACTTTTAACATCATATTGTTTCTAACCATATAAAACCAAAGTGCATAGTTCATTTTTGTGGCCAATACTTCAATCAATTGAATAAAAGGGTTGCAGTAATATAAAGTGTGAAAAAATGTTTGAACTTTTTTTTTTTTTTACTTAATGTGACTATTTTTGAAAACACAAAGTCATGGTTGATCAGCTTCATTGGGAAATATGTGCAAATATTGGGATTCTTTTCAATGGATGTAACTTCCTTCTACCATGAGATTGCAGACCTGAACACGTTGCAAGAGAGTCTGGAAAATGGTAAACAAAGACTTCATTGACTTAGCGAGCGAGTGAGGGCCGCTCGCAGGCTGGTATACCAGTGTTTCGGGAGCAGTTGCTGTTCTTTGACCCTCCGTCGGTGCAGAAGAGCTCGGACGAGGAATGAAAGAAGGCGCGTCAGATGTGTATTCCACTATCACTGACAGCCTCTGATTAGTAAATTGTTACTCCCACGTCCACGAAATTGCAAATCATTTCTGAAAAGGAAATGAAAGAATTGGGTTTATCATTTATTAACCTGCTGCTTCTGTTATTAGCTATTGTCTTGTTTTCCTCCGTCTTGACCGTCGACTGCATTAAACTTGCTCTCGGTAATATTATTCATATCGAAAGGACAGAAATATGGAGGAAAGTTTTCTTCGAAATGTTTTGGGCTTCTACAGTGAAGAAGACTCCCTGTCCACGGGGAACCTGGAGAACTTGCTGCACCTCATTACCAGCCGCCGCGCGGCATCTGTCGATGATGACGCCAATCCGCTGAAGAACACAGAGGTGAGAATGTGTCATATCTCAGACATTTATCTCTTAATTTCACTGTTTCTGCTACGTTTCCCCCCATTATAATATAGCCTAATAAGACGACCGCAATTAGCGCCATACAACAACACAAGTGAAAAGGAGTAAATGGAATACTTTAGATGAATCAAAACGCGTTTAGTTGTCAACTGTTTGATCTTCTTCTTCCATTGTAATTTAGTACCTGAAAGTTGGGGTTCACTGTTTTTATAGAGGCTGAAAACCCTCAATAAATGATCTGAAACTCCATGATTGTTTTTTCTAATGATTTTCAGAAAAGGAATTGTCACCAAATAATTTATTAAACTTTGCATTTCAGACTTTATATTTGTTTATCTAGTGTTGCTATAGCTATATAATACCCTGATAGCACACGTACATCACAGAGACGTCTATTTGACGTGTGTGTTTACATCTGGAAGAGTGTTTGCTCATCCGCAATAGATTTATTGGACGTTTCCTGTCAAATATTTAGAGGATGTCTTTAAGATGTAATGATTTAGAATGTCATCATGAAGATGTCTATCAGATGTTAGTAAACAGCAGATGCTTTCCAGATTAAGTGATCTTTAAAAGATATCTTGCAGACGTAGCCTAGGCCTACGTGTAGGAGATACTTAGAATGAGACCTGTTTTGTTTTATGTCCTTTTGCTCTTTTCTTTGTAGTGCTCATCTTTGTCAGAGCTGTTGTCTGTCTTTGGATTGGGTAATGCTTCTGTGGTCAGTCTCAATGATCTGAAGATGATGTGTCCAGCTATTCTCAATCAGGTCCTGATCCCTGCCTGTCCTTATACCTTCCCCTCAAACCTTAATGAATCTGCTTCTTTACCTGATCATAAAGGTGAGTCTGGTTACCACAAAGCCCTTCAGTTTAGTGACAGTGGCAAACATATTGTATGGAGCCTGGAAAATATGTTTTGAGGAATGAGGAAATATGTCTGATATCATCAGTTGGGAGTTATTGTGTGTGTGTGATGTTTATTGTGGGATTAAAGTGTATTTATAGTACAGTATGTTTTCTTGTCTGTGGTTTGAAACTACAGTACCAAGTATTACACACTTGTGTTATCTTGGTCTTTAACTTTTTTGTTTATGAATCATGATGTTAAATTTAATATTCTTATCGCATGCAGAGATTCTTTTAGATAATTTACTCAATGTGAATCAGACCTTATTTTGTTAAAGGATCTGAACTTTACAGCATCAGTTTCACATTTCACGTTCAGGGAAAAAAAAAAACCTTTGTCTAATCCCATTTCATATGGTAATGATGTCTTACTAGATTGTAAAAGAGATAGTATTTTACCAACAGAGAAATAATTCACTTCCCATGTTAGGTTTCTGTATTGGAATGCAGTAAATTAGAACAAGTTTAATCTTAAACTAAATACTACTATTGTTTTGTTTTTTTCTCACTTCTTGAATTGACCTGATGAAAATGTTTCCAGTATGCCTTTAATATGTTAATAAATTCATTCCTCAATTTTTTTCCTCCTTCCTGTAGTTTGGGGTTATGGGTTCCTGGCTGTGACTGTGATAAACTTGGCAGCTCTGATGGGTTTATTTCTGGTGCCTTTGACGAAAAAAACATATTTTCCAAAAGTCTTGACGTACTTCATTGGACTGGCCATTGGGACACTGTTTTCAAATGCTGTACTGCAACTTATCCCAGAGGTAAGTATGAGTTACAGAGAGATTATTAGATGATGTATAACCTATAAAATGGCTTACAAAGGTTACAAAAACAGTCATAAAACAATTACTCATAATCTTCATGCATGCTGTCCTAATTCACTACTTTTTTTTGCCAGGCCCTTGGCTTAGATCCCAGAGATGATAACTATGTGCTCGACGTAGTTGGTATTTTTGGCGGATTTTACATTTTGTTCTTCACTGAACGAGTTTTAAAGATAGTACTGAAAGCAGATACAGAGGTAAGAGCTTAGATGTGTTTGGACGTTGTTCACTGGAACAGATTGAGCTGGTTTCTGACCTAACCCAATGGTTCCACCCTGCAGATCGGACACAGTCATTTCACTCCTCTGCAGTCATCTGATGTCACCATCTCCACCTTCAGCAATGACATAGTCATAAGCAACATCAGCGGTGACATCATTACAAACAACACTAATCTTGAAATGAACTCTATTAATGAAAAGTCCAACAATCCATGTGAGAGTCCAGCTGTTGAACAGGTAACACAAAATTAATTCATTTATAACTATAATACATAATTAATTTGTGCTGTGCTGAAAATCTTTTACCTAATTGTGGGTTTCTGGCCAGAATTATCAGCCTTTCTAATTGCTTGTAAATCATCATGCTATATTATCACCAAATATTGGATTCAATCTTTTGTTAGCTTGTTTAATTTCAGGTGTTGCATTTTCAGTTTTTGTATTTCTTTTTTGGTTGGTCATTTCATTTAGTCCAATGCGATAACATTAACTAGCATTTTCAGGAAAAAGAAAATCCTCTCCAGGTCAGAATTACTGGAACACAACATGAGGGTTAAACTAAAATAAACATGCAGACTTATAAATCATTATTGCTACACGAGTATTTCCCTGTTAGTACATGTTTACCAGATTCTCCAGATAAAAAAGTACAATAAATATTAGACTATAAAGATTATTGATTTACAGAAGCACATTATTGATCTGACATGCAGGCATGCTCACTTAGAGATTTTGCTTTTAAAAAAAGAGGACAGTGGAATGAAAAACCAACACTGGCCAAATATGCCCGTATAGCGCATGTTTACATAGAAAAACTATGAAAAAGCAGCTCTCACGTCTCACGCATGACACTGCATTCCAAAATGCGTATAAGAACGTATTTTGTGTGAACGGCCTCTAACAAAGTCTATTTTGTGTTCAATTTGTTCAGAATGCTTGCGCTTTACTAGCTTGTCGCTGGCTTAAAGGCGATGGAATGTCTAATATAAAGACTGTGGCGTGGATGATCACTGTCAGTGACGCCGTACATAACTTCATCGATGGTCTGGCCATCGGAGCGTCCTTCACAGTCTCTCTACTCACCGGCTTCAGCACCTCTATTGCCATCTTCTGTGAAGAGTTCCCTCATGAACTGGGTAAAACACAGGATCAACCAAAAGACCATTTCAAATTGAATTTTTAAGTCTCTCTTAATTTTCTTTCTGTCTCCCTGTAGGTGATTTTGTGATTCTGTTGAACTCGGGCATGAGTGTTGGCCAGGCTCTGTGTTTTAACTTGCTGTCATCGATGAGCTGTTATCTGGGTCTTGCATTAGGGATCCTGCTGGGCAGCAGTTTTGCTCCAAATGCTATCTTTGCCATTGCTGGAGGAATGTTCCTCTACATCTCCCTTGCAGACATGGTGAGACATCTTACTTCTAACTGTGGAAAAATGAATTACAATAATGACTGCCTGACTGTACATCATCCCACTTATTAAAACTCAGCATAAAACATGAGCATGAAATATGATTTGAATTTAAATAATTTTGATAATCTTAACCACAACTATAATGTACAAAACAGCTCGGCTGCATCTGAAATAGCATCTGACAAAATAAGTAGGTACTTACTTTGAAACCTTGATTACTTCACATTAACCACTAAAAGAAAGTATGTTCTATATAGTATACATGTGTGTATTCTGGACGTACTATATTCGTCATGTGCCCTACACTTGATGTTTACTGCCATTCACAAATCCTCTCCCCGTGGCCTCATGGAATAGTAAAGTGTTCATCAAGCGCACACTTCAGAATCTTGCTGGAAGTAGTAGGTCATCCGGGTACTTTTTGCTTCCTGTTTGATGAGTACTGTGAATTCAGACACGCACTGCTTTTTTTACTATGTAGGGAAGTATATACGATTTCGGAAGCAGCCCTGGAGTCAGTACAAATTGGGTCCTCCCTTAAAATCAAGGGCACATTCAAGTTCAAAACATTTTGCTACGGTTTCCAGGTTGAACATGACGTTCAACCTGGTGTTTGAGATACATTTTCTCTTGTTATGTGGGTGTGTCAGACCTGCAGTCCAATCAGCAGCAACATGTATATAAAGTACGCGGTGTTAAAGTGAACTCGCACAATGGCTTCAAAGAAAGTATTTTATCAATGTGTTCGATGCAGCTCGGTATAGGCAACAACTGAGGATATTATAGACATTTTTGTTGTAAAAATATAGGATATCAACATAATGACGTAGTTTTTTTTATATTTTTTAGCTTATGACATTTGGTATAGAAATAAACAATGGTAATTAAGTGCTTTTCCTAAAAATGAGAAAGAAAATACAGGGTATTAAAACTGTAATTTTTCTCAGGTGCCAAAGTTGCAACTCTTGCATCATCAGAACAGTGCATTCAACGCATCACTGTTTCTGTTGTGCAACGTTTTGTTGGGGCTGAACGCAGCCCAGGTTTCCACCAATGGTTTCCACTAGGGTTCCCACTGACTCAAAGAACTTTTAATGGGTACACTCTTTAGTGGCTGATTACAATTCTTACAAAAATCCTGTTATGATATATTGTTTGAACTATTTATAATGACCATTAAATTTCAGCTTAGCTTATATACCACGCAGTTGCATCCATTTGCATTATTTGACATCAGCCTAGAAATATAACAAATACTGCAACAATATTATGGTGATATCTTATTAATGCTGAAGTATTTTGAGATAATTTCCACTAGAAACAATAAGTGAAATGCATGGTGCCAAGAGTGGGCAAGTCTGTGTTGTGAAACAAGAGACATGCAAGTTACCCAGATGAACAGTATTCTTGTGGATGACAGTAAAATTTGCCCCAAAATGCCATGATTGATCAGAATCAAGTATTCCAGAAAGTCTAATCACAGTGTGGTTTTTCCAGTTCCCAGAGATGAACAGTATCATGGCAGCACATACCAAAGGCTATCGAGGAAGGGTCGTGTTCTTCCTGATCCAAAATGCTGGGCTGCTCACCGGATTCACTATAATTCTGCTTATTACCCTGTTTGCTGGTGATATCAATCTGGGGTAGAAAGAAAAAATCGAATGAAAACGAAGCAAAACAAAGAACAATTGTTTTGATCGCCAGAAACCAAAAACTTGAGACAGACACTGTTGGTTGTTTTGTTTGTATATTAGACTTATATGCTGTTGGGATAAATATAACACAATCGTTTTTTGTAATATGGTTTAGAGATGTTTTTGTCGATGTGAGTGTTAGTGTCTGATGTGAGCTGGCAACAATAACCGCTGTGTGTGGAGGAATTCCTCAGTGGCAGTGGTAGCCTAGCACAGGGAATCTGAGCAGCTTTGTAGTCCAAATGCCAATGCTGCAGCACCTTTTGAGTGAGATCATGTTCATCACAGTCTTTAACCAAAGGATATGTTTCAGTATGGGAAAAAAAAGTGTTTATCTGTGTATTTAAACCTTGTTTCCATCTACGAGTTACAATAGAGGCTTTCAAACTAGGTTATAAAAATTAAAAGCCACATATTTTTTGAAAAAAGTATTTACTTATAAAAATATTTCTCTTAAATTGTAATGTGTCAAAAAAAAGTTTAGCTGTTAACACAAAGGGCATATTTTTCTAGATAATTTTTAAATATATATATTTTTTATATAGTCATATAATACTGGTTATATAATATGTGAGTACACACACAAATATGTGTATGTATATATGCTGTATAAGTGTGTGTCTATCAAAGGGTTTGGGAATCATTTAAACATAGAACATTAGTGTGCTGCAAGTAAAACTAAATGATACAGATCACATTATCAATAATTAATTCACCACTCGCGACTTAAGACCAAATGTGATGGGGCTTTTTCTGTTTATGTCCCCGCATTGTGGAATGACTTTCCATTATATATGAGATATTTCTATTTTTAATCTAATCAGAGACCCATTCTCATTTGGCTTTTGGTATTATTTGAGAGATAAAGTCAAATTGTATATTACTATTATATTTTCTTAATATTGTACAGTATGTATGTATGTATATCAACAGTTTACATCAATCAGTTATGACAACTTTGAAAGAAATTGTTCAACCAATTAATTATATTGAGTTAGAGGAACTTAGTTAAGGAACTTAGAGTTAATTGCTTTAAATAAATCCATCTAAAGCCCTGGAACTAATTAATCTCATCTATTTCAGTTGTAATCCACAACTATCATAGCACACTTATTTAGCATGTATGTTCAATGAAGAAATAAGTTAACTTTGCAGCTGTCGTTGTTATATCGTTGCTTATTGAAAGCAGTGTTTAAATTATCTTCATGAAGTATCCTCAGCACAATGGTAACCACAAAAACGTCACACACCAAAAATTTGGATACTTTTTTTAATCCAATCTATCACAACATATCTCTCATATTTCTTTGTGTCCAATAATGGCGCTAGAATTAATATCAGAGACTGGAGACTTTCGACACTGCCACCTAGTGAATTTGTGACTGTATGAAGACATTTAGAAAATGGATTAGGTGTTTTATTTGACAGGCTTACACAATCGGGTTTTGATTACAAAACGAATTAAGATGTGCTATAATATCACACTGACTGAGCACTGGCTCGAAAACATTTAATTAATTGGACTTTAAATAAAAACCTAGGCTATAAGAAAGAAAAAAGGACAGTAATTCATTATTGGAAGGGTAATTACAGGGATAGTTCACCCACAAATTAAAAATTCAGTCAAAAAGATATTCTGAAGAATATGGGTAACCAAACAAAAGATGGACCCTAATGATTGTATGGGAGAAAGGAAAAAAAAAAATGCTTCTGTCCAATAGATGGCGGTAGTGCTCCCTCTCAAGTTTCCAGGTTGTCATCCAAAGAGAAGAAGAACCGTTAGGACAAAGTAAAGCATTAATTTCAGTAGAATCATTTACAGCACAGGTAGGTCTATGTTACTTATTTGTATAAAAAGTACAAAAATCCAGAAGGAACGTCATTTTCGATTAGCATAATTGAATTGCATGTTGTAACAGTTAACATTCAGTGCAACTGACTATGTAAATCTCTCTGAACATTTCCGTAAACACACATACGCCTTATATATTTCTTCGCTCGCTGCCGACAGTCATCGAGTAAAGGTCACCTGGAAATCTCATCTCATCTTATCAGGATCAAGGCATTCTTGTCATCGAGTATTTTGTGAGTATCATCAGTGACACTGCTCTGTCTTATGATTTTGATACATACACAAACACTAAAGACTGGAAAAGTGAGATGTAATGCTGTTTTTTTTTATGTTTTTCAATAAAAAATCTTGAATTATTGATCAATTATCGATATCTAGATGACATGTACATGTGAAATGTTGTTCACTTACAAGACAAGATTATAATAAGACAGGTGTAATAGGATTTGATATACTGGCACACACTCTTAAGCTTTCTGTGTTATTATTTCTGGCGTCATGCTTGATTTGAAGGTCATGGCTGAGGTGCAGTTTCGTCACTACCGAGAAGAAGATCTTGAAGAAGTAAAGGAGGTTTTTACTGTTGGTATGAGTGAACACATCCCATCTTCCTGCATGCACGTTCTCAAACAGCCCCTAGCGCAGATGATTCTGGGATGTGTGTTTTGCGCTTTACTGACCAGCTCAAAGTCCATCCTTTTGCCTGTACTAGCAATCACGCTGCTTTTGGCCGGAGGCCGTCAGGCTGTAAGTTTCATGTTCACCAAGTACATTCAGACTTCCCTTGATCAAGATCTCAACCACATTCAGCAGACCTACATGGATCCACCTAAAGCCTGCTTCTGGGTAGCTGAGAGCCAAGGTCGTGTTGTGGGTACAGTTGGGTGTTTACCTTCAGAGAACGATGAGAACTTCCTAGAACTGAAGCGGATGTCGGTTAAAAAGAGTCACCGTGGACAAGGCATTGCCAAGACGCTGTGCCGTATGGTGGCAGAGTTCGCTCGTGAACGAGGTTATCTCGGAGTGATGCTCCACACCTCGGTGGTCCAGACAGATGCACAGAAGCTCTATGAGCACATGGGCTTCCAGAAGGTCAGCGAATTTAATGCTCCAGATGTGATTGCCAAGCTGATTAATTTCACATTGATTGAGTACCATCTCATCGTAAAACACCATCACAACTGAGACTGAATTTGGAATTTCACTAAGACCAGGATGTTATTGATGAACAGGCTTTTTAACACTGATTCAGACCACTAAAAGAAGCACACCACAATCATCATTGGTCTATTTCTTAATCATTAAAAAGGGAACTCTTCTTTTATAAGAAACTGTTGTTCATGTAGGGGAAAAAATCTTCAAGAGTTTAAATTATTGTTTTAAAAATCTGATTTACTTTAAAAACCCTGAATAGAAGCAAAACACAGTGTCCAGATCTTTTCTAAGCATCATTAATGTACCTTTGTCAATAAATGAGAATGAATATTTGAACATTCGGATGTGTACTTGAGTCCTTGAGATAGCATGTGTTGCTTAAGATCATTTCAATTTATACTGTACATAGCCTGTTCTCTTCTATGTAATAAGAAAAGTGCAGTTTTCTGTATTCAGTCAGTGAGAGGCATGAAATGTAAGTGCCTTGAACTGAAAGATGCTGTTCAACAGAAATTGTGTGCGATGCGAATGATGTCACATTTCCACCTCCGTAGCATTGATGTTGATTATGGCAGCAAGAATGTGACAATTACACACCTGTATTCAGAGTTAATGCTTATTAACAAAATAACATAATCATCTCTCCAATATTATCAGATGACCTATTTATCTTTTACTGTTTTGTATTTTTTATTTACGAAGGAATGAAAAAACTGTGATTGTCCTGTGACTGAATGATTAAATGACTCTAAACATGCAATGCAACATTCGTGTGGATAAAGTGGTTTGTTCTAATGAGACCAAATGTAATTTGTTATAACAACATAAATCAATAAAAACTTTTTGAAATGTACTGTGTTTTAACATTTTAATTTGAAATGTCAGTAATGAATAGAATAGCTATTTTGAGTAGAATTTATCATCCTGACCTGATTTCTATCTAGGTTTGATTAGCTCTGTGAGCAACATCAGTGGTCTGAAGTTGCAAAGATCATGTGATTTCTTAGAGGAAGTTTTACTCCCGATCGTCTGAAATAAAAAAAAAAATGCACAGAGCTCAAATGTTTAATTGTACAACTTATGTAATACTAAAATAACTGTTTTAATCGAATCAGCAACATGTTTGGAGAGTATTTTGCTTAGATGCCATCTATTTGTAATTAGACCAGTAATAAAGCACGTTTGCACTCTTTTATGTCTGATAGGTCAGATCTGAATGGAGAAGCCTGTGTAATGCCATGTTTAACTACTCATGACATGTACACACTACTGGACAAAATGTTGAACTTTGTCATGCATTTAGGGGGATTTAAAGAAAACTAATACCTTTTTAAAACCTTCACAGACCGAGAAGGCGCATGCTTTTATTGTAATATTTTGTCTTCCCTTTTTTCACTCTGATCTCAGTCCTAAAGTTTAGATGTGTGGAATCAGATCCGTGAGTTTTGGGAGGTGAGGAGCTTCTACTCCACTGGGTTCAGAGAGCATGTTGGAACTGTGTATCTTCTGTCCCGGAAGCAGCCATGGACTCAAGCTTCCGTCTCATCTAGGCCTATATCAAAGTCCTTTTTAGTGGCATGTCTATATATCCTCTCCGACTCATTTCTGACCTGCATCATGGGTGTCTGTTTTGCTTGCTGGTCAGTACAGTATATTTTTGTGCAGGTTATTCTTCTTGGGCTCAGTGAGGATCTGTTGGATATCACATCAGGAACTCCTACATGCAGACTGGGGGTGGCTGAACTAAAAGGGTCTATTGTCGGGACTGTGGGCATTTTGCCCTGTGTGGAGGAGACAGGTGCTTGGGAATTGAAAAGGATCTCTTTAAAAAAGGGGTTTTGGGGTTGTGGCCTTGCGAAAGCTCTTTGTAAAACAGCTCTGGAATATATTGCCAGACATGAGGTGAAGTGGGTGATGCTTTTCACCTCTATGGTCCAAACTGATGCACATAAGCTGTATGACAGCATTGGGTTTAACAATGAGGAGTTTGTGTGGCCATCACTTCCTGCCAGGTTAATCAAATTCATGGTGTTTAAATGCACACAGCAGGACTGGTGGTTTCATGTCATGCTAAAATAAGAAAAGTTGTATTTATATCTGTCAAAATCTATTGGGTGGAAAAAAATGCTTAATTTGATATTAAATAAGCATTTTGAAATAAAAGATTCACAAAACAGCAGAATCTGTTTAATTATAAAGATAAATTTCATTGCACATTAGTATCCCATTATTTATCTAATTTAAGAATTAGAGGCACAAATCCCTCGTGTCTGATAAATGTAACATAAACAAAGGCTCATTTAACCCTGTTACACATATGATATCAATAACTAGCTTTATACTCCCAGATTTATTTAGACTAAATTAATTTAAAACCAATATTAACTTAATATATACGGTAAATTTAATAAATTGAAACCCTGTTATTACCCTCCCTGTTCTAGCGTTTTTATATATGTTTATTTAATCAGGATTTTAAACTGTATTTACATATGTCCTCGCGTCCAAGCCTGTCATTAGAATGGATTTTGACCATTTGAATGAGCTTCAGACTCTGTTTTGTATCTTTTGTCGAGGTAAGGTCCGTGGAGCTCCTCTCTCCCGCTGTGTGTGACGTAGCGCTCCTCAGGAAGTAGCTGTCACATCCACATTGTATGGGAATAGACAGAACACGCTGAGTAAGAACAGCACCAAAAAACATCACGGTAAGTTCAAATGCATGGTTTGAAATAAAGAACATGAAAGAACCGTTGAACGGCCACACGTCCTCCATCTGTTTCTGCGATTGTAACTAATAATCATTCTCCGTTGAGGGATGTAGCGGCTGTAAATAGGCGGTGGCTGATCAATGGAAGAATTGATGGTGCTGGTGGCGATATAACCTACCATCCAATTTACTGTTGCTACTTTTCACTGCAGCTTTTATGCAAATTGCAATTAAGATTGTAGTATTCTGTAGTAGGCCTATTTGTTTGTTTGTTTATTCATGAGGGAGGGAATCAGACTAACCAGGCAGGTTCTTGATCTGTTTATCATCACTGCACAGCACATACGCAAGTGTACGCAAACACACTGTTTTTATGCTTATTTTATACAATAGTTTCATTTTTCTTTCATTCATGCTCCAGATAGTCATTAGCCTATTATATCTTCAGAGAATGGAAATTTATCTACCTTTATTTAAGTAATGATATAATAATCTCTCTCTCTCTCTCTCTCTCTCTCTCTCTCTCTCTCTCTCTCTCATTACATGACATTTATGTTCTTATCAGACACATTCTTAAAATAAAGTTTGTTAGCATTAAAGCATTATAAGCAATGAACCAACCAGCTACGTTGTGAATCACAACATTACAAACTTTTAGGCTCTTTGAAGGAAAAATATTTGAAAACTGGACAAAAAAGAAAAGGTACGAGACTGTGTACTTAACGGGAGGGGAAGAACTACAATCCCATAAAGCATTGCAAATGGCATACTCAGATTAAAAACGCTGATGGAATATAATTTTTTTGATCATATATATATAATTAGAACTTATGATTAACTCGAGTATCTAATTTAGAGTTTTTACTTCATGAGAGTGCAGCATTTTTAGTGCGATTTGTTTCCCACGATTTTCTGTACAGCATCATGGGTAGTTTTTCATCAGGTATTCCACTGTTAAACCATTTTTTTAAACAATTTGAAATAATGAGAACAGATGGCTTTAACAAAAGCATATACCATTGGCTGACTCACAGTAGTCTTTAAGTTACGTTTTTGTTATCCCGGTAATCAATTTCCTATGGAGAAACAAATCATTTTTACGTGTTTTTACTTCCAGAACTTGACTGTTGAACTCAATTCCTATAGCCTGATAGAGCACTGTCTGTCAGTGATAGAGATGAGAGGCACTGTTTCATAGAGTGGTCAGAGAAGAGAAGCTCTCATTGTGTGATTTATGCATTGCTTGCATGTTTGCTCAGATTGACTCACAATTGCTTACTGGTTTTTGTGAGCACAATGTTTTCAGCATGTGCACCTGTCCTGTCCCTTCTAACAGTATAACATGTTGCAAACATCAGCATTTGCTTTCATTGCAGAATCTGTAATAGAGATATAAGCCCTCAGGGATTCAGTCGTTTATAAAGAGCATTAATCCTGTCAGTGTGTTTGTGTTTGTGTGTCAGTCTGCTGAGGTTGTGCACACCTCTCCTGACTGAACTCACTCTTCTGTGTTTGGCTTTATATCGGATGCTGCCTGCGTCACATTTGAATAGGGCTGGAGAGGAACAGAGAGGCTGAATAGAGAGAGCCAGTCTTAAAGAGACCTGCTGCCTTAAACAGTCTTATTTACTAAGTGTGTGAACAGTTGTGTGTCAATGGATTCTATAGTAGGGAACCATAGTAGAAAAGAGAGCCGTTAAAGCCACTGATCACCTCCGTACAAAGTCGTACATGACCTTTAGTAATCCAGCGATTAATATGTAAAGGATAATGTACCGTCAGCTAGTCATTATCACAAAATAAATCCCAATAGAGTCATTAGGACTCTTGTATCACCCTTATGGAGCTTATTTTGCATGAATGAAGTACATTATCCTAGGTTTTACATTGTTACTTACCAAATAAATAAACTGACAAATATTTATTTAGGTTTAAATTATTCAGTCTGTCGTATTGCTCACGATGTGACCCTGACATGGCGGCCATGATGACTTGAGACTCTGGCATGGCGGCCATGATGGCCGGGTCCCAATCGAGCAAGTGGCTGAGTGAAGGAGGAACCACCATGATGAATCTCCCTCGAGGATCATAAAAGGAAAAGGGAATCTTGGTTTTAAAGGGTTATATTCTGACATTAATTACTCCCACTCGTGTCGTTCCAAACCCGTAAGACTTTCGTTCGATGAAATCTGGGAGCTTTATGTACCTCTATTGAAAGCCGACGCAACTTCCACTTTCAAGGCTCAGAAAAGTAGTTAAGACATCAGAAAAGTAATCCATGTGACTCATTTACATTTTATATTTACATTTGGCAGAATCTTTTATCCAAAGCTTCATAGAATTGGGGTTAAACCACTGGAATCACACGAGTTACTTTCATGATTGGGGCTTAGAAGTGGTAGTTGCATAGGTTGTCGATAGAGCGACAGGGAATTCTCAGATTTCATTAAAATATCTTCATTTAAGTTCCAAAGATGTACAATTATCTTACGGGTTTGGAACGACATGAGGGTAGGTAATTAATGACAGAATTTGAAAATTTAGGTGAACTATCCCTTTAACTGGCCATTTAGTGTAGCATAACAAAAAGAAATCAAAGCACTGTCATAGTGAGTCTGATGAGAAAGGTCCAAAACCTCGCTAGTATGGTCCTCGAGGGAACAATCATCCTGAGTAAGGAGGAGGAGGTATTTTGCTGCTAGATCAATACTAATGGTTGGTTGGTCATTCTGTTACGGGTGGAGCAGGGACAAGGAGAGGTGAGGATATTTAGCAAGCAGTATTTTTTCAATGAACGCATAACACAAAGAAAATCCAACAAGTAGCCGATGGCAATAATCTGAACAAGATGACATAGTCAACACAGGAGAATCATCAGCTTTACATTGAGGTAGCCTATAAAGACAACAAACGACAACTACATACTGAAACACAAGGGGAGCCTATATTACAAGATAATGAGGAACAGGTGTGTGTTATGAGTAACCATAGAGACTGACTAGGTCCTGGGTAACTATAGAAACAAGGTAGGCTACTACAAAAATTAAACACAGGATATTAAAACATAGTACGTAGGACATAGTACGACACTGTTCTTTTTAGTTTGCATTTTACAACACTTTTTAAATAACTGTTATTTTATAAATTTTTCAGTGTTATTTTAGTTAAGTATTATAGTATTTAATAATATTTTGAATTAGCATTTATTCAGTTGTCATTTTAATTTTAGTTTAGCTTTTTAAAAATATTTTACTTGTATTTTTATTTCAGATTTAGTTTTAGTTATCAATAATAACGTTACTCTGTAAATCATATATTATAAATAATAACATTTGCTCTTTTATTAGGCCTTATTGTAAAGAATGTTAATGTGAGAAGACAGGGGGAATGGGTTATCTGTCTTTTAATCACTCAAAGGGAGTAAATTTACATATAAAAAATGCAAGTTTGATCATTATTGGGTGAGGAGGGCTTTAGGACCCAGTTCTGCCTCTTTTGCTCTCCTGCAGCACAGACATTAGCGCAGTTGCACTGCTCTCACACACTCACCTAGCAGCACAGATCAGTCAGCCAGACTTACACACACACACATCACATTCTAACTCAATTTAATGCTAGGATCATTCTGACAATTCACATGCTAGCTGGTTCATCTGAGCTCAGGCATCCAGCAGGACCTCCACTGGTGTCTCTCCTGTGTCCTCTCTGGGGTTCAGTCTGTGCCTCTGCTGGAGCTGAAGCAAACCCTCTCAGACACTCATCGTATGGACAAAGATTTGAGTGATGAGATGAGGTGGAGATAGAAAGGCAGACAGGGAGACAGTGGGTTGGGCGATTGAATAGACTGCGCTGGTTGCTGAAGCAAGGCAAGGAACCGTTGTCAACAGCGACGCAGGAGCAGCATGTCTCAGATGAAAAGATACACTTACAGCAGGGTGAGTGACATACAGTGGACACTCTTTTTGTCACACACGTACTGTCTGTCTACCACCCTCAAAAACCTACAGTGAACACATGCTTGTTTTTTTTTTATTGTATTACAGTAGAATTAGTATGTGCTGGGCAGTGATGAGCAGGTGTGCAGTATATATATGCTCTCAATGTAGACATGCAGGTGTTGTAGCATGTGTCAGACAAGAGCATGCGTGGGCTCAGTCAGTCTTCTGGAATTTGTAAGGCTCAGCTTTTTCGCTAAAATGCATTTGCTTGTGTACAAAATGCTATACAATCAATTGCATTTAATGTATGAGGCAGTTTTTACTGCAGGCCAGTAAAGGAGCAGTGCAATTTGTGGCACAGTTTCTGAGTAACACGGCAACAATAACAAAATGACTATCTTTGAATAAATCATATTTAATTTAGCCCAAATCCTAATATTAAAACTGAACCAAAGCCTTTACTGTTGCTCAACTTCATTCTCACAAGCTGAGATGGTTAAATGTAGTAATAACTTCCTGTCTATATCTCCAGACATAAATCGTATGCCCCTTTCCGGTATAAAATATTAGGCTGCAGCACTATGAACATAAAACCCCGGTTTAAATGGACTGTTAGGGAATAGTAATGCATCCCCACAAAGGTAGTAAAACCTGAAATCATTTACATTATGGGAAACAGTGAGTGAACACATTAATAAACTTACCAGACATGCCTTGATTACAACCTAAAGATGCTAAAAGGTTTGTGTGAGGATTGGTTTAGGGTTTGAAGACAGAAAATCTCATTAGTTATCCATAAGTCCCCACCATGATAGTAAGGCAAATGTGTGCAATTATTTATTCATGTGAACTTATTCTCTAAAAACCTTGTTGTGGATTATTAGAGGTTCTATAATAGAAGATGTTAGTTACTCAAATATAGGCTTATATTTAATATTTACACACTTTCACATTTTAATAAATGCATGTGGAGAAAGATTTGATGGACAACATATTACTGATTCAGAAACAGAAAAAATGACACTTATCTTAAACACTTATATGGAAAAGCTCCACTCCTTAAGCTTCATAAGGAACTAAAAAATTCAATTATTTGGCTTTTACGTAAACAAGCTTCACAAGATTTATCCCAAAAAATACATTCCTTTACCCATAGTTTTCAACCCTTACTGACACAGTTGACTTATTTCTGCTGAGTCATAAGTCAGTTTTCCGTGCTCACAACAGTATTATTCTGCTTAATCTTTCAACGTTAGTCAGCAACATCATTACAGTATATTACATATGTCTGTGTAATGAATGAATAAGTCACCTTGCAGTGAATTGCAGTCTTTGCAGAGGTCTGAGTTTTCGAGTTGCGAAGAGGTCACATCTATCATTTGTGTTCTCTTTCTATTGTTACATTGTAACCTAATGTTCCCACCTCTTTAGAGTTCACAATTAGAGTCAGCAAGAATAACAAAACACTGCAAGTATTGTGCCTGCTTGTTACCTTTATGTGTCTGGTGCTTATTTTTAGTTTCTGAAATAAAATTCATTTTGGACCCCAGCCTCTGTGATTAGAGAGTTAAAATGACTTAATAGAAGTGAAATGGAGCAGGTCTCTCAGGATCAGCTGGTGTGTGTGTGTGTGTGTGTGTGTTTCTGCATAATGTGACTGCAGGTAACAATGCTTCTGCTTGATCTTGAGTCTTCTGCAGTAAAGATAAAGGCTGCGTCACAAACTTTTTTTTAGCCATGAGCTCGGGTATGAGTGTTCCTAAATAACCCCCAATTGTCCTCTCAGACATGCAATCTGAAGGGTATGAGAGACTAGTTCAGATGCATAATGAGGAGTCTGCAAATGGTCTCAACTCCCCCAGATCATCAATTCAGTTTGAATCTGATTGGCTGAGCTGCCAATCTAGAAATCTGATTGGCTGGATGAGTGCCAATATACGTTCCAACAGCACTGAGACTTTTCACTGTGTGTGTGTCACTCCACTTGTCAGTGTTTGTGTATTCCTGAATCCAGACAGACTGTCAAGAGTTTTAGTGATGGAGATTTTTTTTTTTGACTGCATGTTACATTGTTACGCCAGTAATTAATTCGTTCATTCAAATAATTCATTCAAAAATGCTTATTCATTCTAAAACGAAACGTATAAACTGCCTTTATTAGTCATTAAATGATTAATTCAACTAATACGTTAAAAATAAACACTATCAAACAGAATCAGGATTCGTTTGGAACTATTTTCATTGGCACAGCAAAAAGAGTCAAATAAACTGAACTGACAGTGTTGTGTATTAAAGATATTGTAGGCAATGTTTTACTTTAACACTTTTTGTTATACTGGTTGAAACTCTCTTCACATCCTGATAGCAATCAATAATAGAATTGGTCTAAATGTTATAAAAATTACATATATCTTCTATGTAAGTCTCGGGACCAAAAATGTTTTTCCAATCAATGCATTCGGTCCAAATGCAGTGAAGTGATAGGATGTCCTATGCCTGCCTGTCAAACTATGTATTTCCAACGCATTCTCATCCCAAGGCGTCATATATGACACTTTTGCCAAAGCATAGCCATCCAACACACATGGTAGGTTTAGGTATGGGGTATGGGTTAGGGTTAGACCACTAGGAGGCGCCTTCTGTGGTGCCTTCAGATATATATCTGCGTCTTATTTGACGCTAAAGGGTTCCATGTGCGTTGGATGTCTACGCTTTGACAAAAGCGTCGTATATGACGCCTTGGGATGAGAACGGGCCCGTATTTCCATACCTCTGCACACCCTGCTCTCGCAGACACACACGTCCTCAGTGCGTTTTATGAGGCTGTGCAGAGTTATAGACCGACTGTCATAAAGCAAAAAACCACCTTACAGTTTTTCCTGAACCAAAACAACAAGCTTATGCTGCTTTCACTCCATGTTTTCGTAATTACTGTAATTAAGAGATGGCAACCCCTGTCCATACCCTGAGACTTAGAATTATGTGTTTCTATGGCAACACTATCAATGCCGAAATTAATCTGCAGCGGTCAAGTGGTACAAGTCTGTGGTGTGGTCTTTAGCCTCCTTGTTAGAGCGCCCACCTCCTACGCCAGAGGTTCGACCCCGGTTCGCGTTGCGTTCATGTGTTTTGAACGAGGCTTGGCTTTGGAGATGCTCTGAAGGGAGGGCGGGATCTTATGCTTTCAAACTAAGCTCAACATCTTGCTATTGTTAGCCTCTCGAAAGATGCCTACCCTACTTTTAAATGTACATTTTGCAACATGAACTTCCTATTTACTGATCTGTTGTATAAAAGCAGTATCTCACAGTCATCCCAGCAAACAAATTTTAGGGTCTGGGAATGTTAGTTTTTGGTTCCCAGAATGTTCCTAGAACTTTCCTTTAAGGTTATGGGAACGTTCCCGGAACATTCTCCTTACGTTATAAAAATGGAACCTAAAAATAACCTAAATTGAACGTTCCTATAACGTTCTTGTTTAGTTCCCAAAAAAATAACCTCATGGGACCATTCGGGAACGTTCTGTGTTTGCTGGGATGTTGCCTTCTACTCTAACAACTTCGCAGAAATTTTGTGATGTTTAGTAACAGAATTAGTAATGGAAGCTTGCATACATCTTATCAACAATATAATATCCAAGCTTCCATTACTAATTCTGTTACTAAACGTCACAAAATTTCTGCTAGGTTGTTAGATTTAGATTTAGGTATGATTTAATATTACACTAATATCATACCAAGTGACAAAAATGATGTAAGAGATATTCTAATGTCCTTTTCCCTAGCCATTTTTTGCACTGGTTTTTAACTGGCTGGTCTCAAATGGGATTTTTTAGTGGATGTACAGTAAGTCAGTTCACACGTGTCCTGGCAGAGTGAACATAATACACCGACTAACATTTGACAACCAGAAAGAGTCCAAATTCTTATAAATCAAATAGGTTCAATTGACTAAAGTGTTCAAATATTGGGTAACACTTAATTTCAGTAGTCCACTTTAGACATTTTAGCTATAAGTAACTTTGTAACTATATGTCAGCTAGCGGTCATTAGAGTATTAGTAAATTGCCTACTTAATATCTGTTAATAACTTTATTTTACTAATAACTTTATTTTGATGCTTACCCAACAGACATTAAACTAAAAGTGACTTTGTGAGTATGTCGACTTATTCTTAACCCTAACCCTAACCTAACAGTCCAGTATTACTCTACTGAGAGTTAGTTGACATGAAGTTGCAAATAAATGAGAGTTAGGTGACATGTAGCCACAAAGTTATGTAAGAATGTAAGAAAATGCAAATGTATAGAACATTAAATGTCTTCCACATTTGCATAGCATAATGGGTCTATCAACATAAAGTATAACCAAATATTTTAGGGGCACTGTAAGCAAGATCATCTGGTCTACCAATTTTTTTATTTAATCAAAAGCTATTTTTTTTCATTTAAGGTTTTTTTCTCTCTCATCCTCAGACCACCAGCAGCGGCAGCAGCAGAATGAGTTCAGATGGAGGTGGGCGGCCTGTTAAGGTGGGCTCTTTAGTTGAGGTCATCGGTAAAGGTCATCGAGGTACCGTGGCATATATTGGAAACACCCTCTTTGCCTCTGGAAAATGGGTGGGAGTCATTCTAGAAGAACCTAAAGGGAAGAATGATGGGACTGTGCAGGGCAAACGATATTTCACCTGTCAGGAGAACCATGGTATATTTGTACGCCAATCACAGGTACTCCCACGCATGCTTGCTGCTTATAAACACTAACGGATGTGACGGGTGCAAACATATACAGTAAATCTTCTTGGAAACTGCTGTGACCTCTTTCAGATTCAGTTAGTTGAAGATTTGGCTGACACATCTCCTGACACGCCAGAAGCTGCCACCTCCAAAATGCTGAAACGAGGTAGGAAATCAGTTTCATGCACATCTGCTTGCAACCTTTTTTTTACAATGAAATTTTAATCATCTCATTTTATCTTTTCTTCTCAGAGATAATTGATGGTCCAAGGTCAAACAAAGTGGTGAGTGAGGAAAGGGATCTAATTATGTTCGTAAATTGTTTCTCTCGCAAACTCCAGTGGTCTTTTGAACAGGTGTTTAGTCTTGCTTAGCCAGACTTTCAGTTTATTCTGGCCAAGAACTGCCCACTCAGACAGGAAAGGACTATCGGACCCATCTCAAAAATTATAGTCTGACTTTTTAAATGCTAGGCGAGTTCATCTGAAATTGTTGATTCCACAATAATATTATGGTATGTCACTGGCTCTACCAAAAATAAATCAGCAGAAATGTGTGTAGACCCACCGCTGATGACCTTGAAAGTTGAATATAGTGCAAACCAACCAATCAGATTAAAGCTTACCATTTTTAGGTAGCTCTTGTCATGTTTATGTCTAATATGCATTAGATGGTCTGTGAATAGCCCGTGGTGTGTCATCTGAGGCGGACTACTTTACGTTAAAAGCATTGTGAATTACCTCTTCTTTCCAGCAGAGGGAGATATAATAACACTCTCTAGCTACAAACTACTGCTCATCCTGTATTTGTCTGTAGAAGTGAACCATGTTTCTGAATCCCTTCTTATTTTCACTGGCCACGGCTAACATTTATTCAACAAGCATGCCTTTGCACAAGTAATTATTCCCAGTCCCAACCAAAAAGTACACAAACACACATATAGTCCTTCTCTTTATCTCGTCTCTTGTGAAAAAGAAGTATGCTTATAATTCGACTGAATGTAGTGTATTTCAAAACTTGCTATGACATACTACAGCACAAGTGTTGTACTTGATTTCATTTTATTTTAACTGTGGTATTCGATATTGCATTTAAAATGAAAATATTTAAAATGTAACAAACTGCAACTTAATCGCTACAAATTTGTGATTGCGAATATATCTAAATACATGACATGCAAGTTTCAACAGAAATTACATTAAAGTACATTTTAGTTTACCATAAATTTTTGTCACTACATTCGGCAGTACACTAATAATAGTTCATTACTTAATACTTATTTTTCACAAAGGTTCCTAAACCTGCCCTCACTAATACAAACACGCATGAACCTGTCTGTTTTTTTTCATAGACTTTTTATAAGGTTTCTGTCTAAGATACAAAAAGATGATTGCACTGTTTGTGTGGAATTCTTGGTGTGTTTGTATGTGAGAGACATTCATCCTCATTGCAAACACACTGACTAATCAAACTTTAATCTGTCACCTCTTCCTCCTCCATCTGAGTGTGCAGAGAGGAACCAAACCAAAAAAGGTGCTGCATGTTTCTCTAACCTCTGTTTTAACAATAATAATACAGCTCATCAGTGTGTTTGTGTGTGTGTGTGTATGTGTATGCGTATGCGTATGTGTATGCGTGAATGCGTGTTTGTTTCTACATTGTTTATATTCAATTTATGTACATTTATTCATGTGTGCAAGTGCTTTGCTAGATGGATGGCAGTGTTCTTTGGCAAATGGATGCTTTAAATGGGTTATATGAATGCATGCTGAGTACAATGTGTTTATGTGTGTGAGACAGACCTAGTGACCATGTCAGTGAACTAATTTAAAAAATAGTCTAAGACCTCATGGAAAATCTGAGATTCAAAATGTAGTTTACACCTAGAAATAAACAGAAATTTTGAGGATTTTGAATAATTTAAGCAAACTACAACTGCAGGTTTTATTTTACTATGCAAATAAAATGCATAAAAAACAAAAAGCACACAGGAAAAGGCATATATTTACTACAACATAGTCATTTGTTCTTTCTCGTTTATTGCATTTATTCAGAATTTATTTCTATGGCCAAAACTTGTGTCCACACAATTTGGCATGTTTCATTGCGTCATCATAAATGAAATAATTGACTTCAAGCACAACTACGCAATATGCTTACTAAATAAAAAATAATAAAAAATAAAAAATGAATAAAGGGTGAATATTTCAATTGTTTTAGGCTTTATACCACCTCTGGCCACTACTGTATTTCTACATCACTTAGAAATTATGCTAAAATATATATAATTTTAATCTATTTTTATTTTATTTGTTTATTTTTTTTACTGTATTTTTTAAGGATTGTGTTCTTTGTAGAAGAATCATTTTGATTCATTCATTTAGATTCTTCATGGAACCATCAATTCCAAAAAGAAGCTTTATTTTTTAAGAGTGTAGATATAAACTATGTTTGTTTAAAGACCGAGAGATTGATTCCCCCTGAGCCAAATCCTGTACGGCATCCTGACTTGGCATTACCTGTCTTGTCATTAGGCCACCAATGAAACATTGAACTTGAAAGCCCTGTGTGCGCATCCCTGCATTTTCTTCTAAATGTCAGTGTTTGAGGGTAATGATATTTAGAAGGGATATCTGGTTCAGGCTGTCAGGATTGTTTGGAGCTATTGCTATGAGGACATTAATAGAGAAAAGGGCCTATTTAACTGGCTTACAGTGGTAACATCAATGAATTCAGCATAACTTTGGTAATAGAAACAGCGCTTGTTCAATATGCATGAGGTTTATTTGTTTATTTTCTTAATTAAAGCTAAACCAAAGTGTTAACCTTTTACTAGTAATTTTCTTTACCAATTTTACCACAACAACCAAAGTTACTTGATCTTAAGGAGTCAGTGATAGTGAAATGGTCATCTTGGTAGAATTATGAATGAATGACTAAAGAAACTTTTCGACTGAAAGAAGCTCTGTAAGTGTTTTGAAACCCTATATCCAAAAGCATACAACCGTGCAGAAGTTGGCATCGTAATTTTAAAACAGTTACATTATATTGTCTTAACATTATATTTAAAATTATTATATCATATTATTATATTGTTATATCATTATAATATATTATTATCATTATTTTTAAATATATTGTAGTTATGTAAAATTATAAATAAATGTATAATTTTATATATACAAGAATATCTTGAGTACGGTGAATAAACATATGAACTACACACTGTAAGCAACAATTGCATTGTTAGAGGAAATCTGGAATGTAGTTATGTGTTTTTAGTTTTAGTTAGTACTAACTTACAACTGTATCTTGTAAGTAAAGCCCTTAGATATGACATGGCAAATTAATGGAATAGGATGCAGAGAAGAGAGAGTGAAAGGCCTATTATTCACTTTTGTTCATCACCATCTCTGTTTTCTACTACACATCACTTTTCTCTCTTGCAGAGCTGTAATGTGATACATCAATCTGTCTCCATCCTTCTCTACTCTGCTCTTTAACGGGTCTGCAAATCATGCTCTAGCAAACCACAGTAATGCATTTTTAAACATACATACCACATTTCAAATCTTAGAATGTTTTATATTGAATTAGGGGTAACACTTTGGTAAGACTTTACAATAAGGTTTCATTTTTTAACAGTTAACTACGGTATATTAGTTAACATGAACTAACAATGAACAATATTTTTACTGCATTTATTAAACTTAGTAAAATGTAAACAAATAGAGCTTTGGATTTTAAAAATGTATAGTAAATGTTGAAATTGCCATTTACTAAGTATACAAAAAAAATGTAGAAGTGTTTCATTAGTTCATGCTATGTAACCAAAACCAACACAGGCCTCAGCTGACGTTTTTCTTTTTCTGGCTAACCAAACTCAAGCTGGGAACAAAAAGATGCCTTTTATATTTTGTTTCTTTTTGTTGGCCAGACAAAACCCAGAGCTCAGACTAATTCTGTTGTACACAAGACACTAATTCTGTTTGACACTAGAATCAAACCAGAAGTGCAGAATGTAAGCCAGATTTGGCACAGATTCTGTTGCTATACAGGTACCTGGTTACCTGTAGTTAACTAATGGGTGGCTGGGCATTTGTAGTAAACTAATATGGGTACCTATAGTTAACTAATGGGTGGCTGGGCACTTGTTGTAAACTAATGGGTACCTGTAGTTAACTAATGGGTGGCTGGGTACCTGTAGTAAACTGATGGTTACCTGTAGTTAACTAATGGGTGGTGGGGCACTTGTAGTAAACTAATGGGTACCTGTAGATAACTAATTCGCACCTGTAGTTAACTAGTGGGTGGCTGTGTACCTGCAGTTTACTAATGGATAGCTAGGTACCTGTAGTTTACTCATGGGTGGCTGGACACTTGTATTGAACTAATGGGTACTTGTAGTTACAGTAACTATGGGTGGCTGGGTACCTGTATTAAACTAATGGTTATCTGTAGTGAACTAATGGGTGGCTGGGTACCTGTAGTAAACTTATGGTTACCTGTAGTTAACTAATGGGTGGCTGGTCACTTGCAGGAAACTAATGGGTACCTGTAGTTACAGTAACTATGGGTGGCTGGTACCTGTATTAAACTAATGGTTACCTGTAGTCAACTAATGGGTGGCTGGGTACCTGTAGTAAACTTATGGTTACCTGTAGTTAACTAATGGGTGGCTGGTCACTTGCAGGAAACTAATGGGTACCTGTAGTTACAGTAACTATGGGTGGCTGGGTACCTGTATTAAACTAATGGTTATCTGTAGTGAACTAATGGGTGGCTGGGTACCTGTATTAAACTAATGGTTACCTGTAGTCAACTAATGGGTGGCTGGTCACTTGTAGGAAACTAATGGGTATCTGTAGTTAACTAATGATTGTCTGGGTACCTGTAGTAAACTAATGATTACCTGTAGTTACAGTAACTATGGGTGGCTGGGTACCTGTATTAAACTAATGGTTACCTGTAGTCAACTAATGGGTGGCTGGGTACCTGTAGTAAACTTATGGTTACCTGTAGTTAACTAATGGGTGGCTGGTCACTTGTAGGAAACTAATGGGTACCTGTAGTTACAGTAACTATGGGTGGCTGGGTACCTGTATTAAACTAATGGTTACCTGTAGTGAACTAATGGGTGGCTGGTCACTTGTAGGAAACTAATGGGTATCTGTAGTTAACTAATGATTGTCTGGGTACCTGTAGTAAACTAATGATTACCTGTAGTTAACTAATAGGTGGCTGGGCACTTGTGGTAAACTAATGGGTACCTGTAGTAGTTAACTAATGGGTGGCTTGGTACCTGTAATTAACTAGGATGGCTAGGTACATGTAGTTAACTAATGGGTGAATGAGTACCTGTAGTTAACTAATGGGTACCTGTAGTAGTTAACTAGTGGTTGGCTGGTTACCTACAGTAAACTAATGTTGTACCTGTAGTAGTTAACTAATTGATGGCTGGGTACCTGTAGTTAACTAATGGATGGATGTGTTCCTGTAGTTAACTAATGGGTGGCTGGTTACCTGTATTTAACCAATGGAGGCTGGGTATCTGTAGTTAACAATGGGTGTCTGGGTACCTGTAGTTAACTAATAGGGATCTGTATTTATTAACTAATGGAGGTTGGGTACCTGTAGTTAAATAATTGAGGTCTGGGTACCTGTAGTTAACCAATAGGTATCTGTATTTAACTAATGTAGGCTGGGTACCTGTAGTTAACTAATAGGTGGCTCAGTACCTGTTAACAAATAGATCCTTATTGTACAGTGTTACTGAATTAGGATTAGACAATGTTTTGGGGTGTGCTTAACTGTGGAACGTGTGTAGATATATCATCAATTTAAACCACAAACTGGTAAAACAGGTAGAGTAAAACATGGTCAGCCTGCACTCATACTCAGACGTATTCCTGCCGCTACACTGGCCTGAAGAGCCCATAGAGATACTAATGGAGCGTTGCTAGGATACAGGCTAGACTCCCATCAGTCCCTTCCTTTCTCCCTCTTTCCCCTTTTGTTACAGCCTGTCTCTCTCTCTCTGTCTGTCTGGAGGGAGGGGTGTATGTGTAGTGATGTAATGTACTTGCTAAGCAGCCATTGGCACAGCAGAGCGGCACTGAGAGCTTATGAGTGGAAAGAGCAGGAGAGCGAGAGATGGATGCAGACAGAGAGAGACGGCTACTGTTTAGCAGAACCTCAAGGACAGCATTATAATCAGAGAAGTGTTTAGAAAAGGGCTCGGTTCTGTTCTTGTTGGAGAAAAAGGATTAAAATTGCTGCAGTGCAAGAGAGGAGAGTCATTTCAGCTGCAGCAGAGACAACCTGCAACACCGTCGCTGTGTGTGTGTGTGTGTTTGTGTGTCTAGCACTTGCCAACTGCTGTATGAGTGTTTGTGGCTTTGCTGTGGGCTTGGCCTGCTCTCATCTCGATCTTCTGCTAATGTGACTCAATCCCTTTTCCTGCTCTTTTTCTGCACCTGGTGTGTGTGTGTGTGTGTGTGTGTGTGTGTGTGTGTGTGTGTGCACCTGTTTGTTCCTTTTTTCCCTTCAATCATCAATATGAGACAGGCACCTACGACTCGTAAGGTACAGATTGTTTACTACTTCTGTGGCATGCAAAACTCTCAGTGGTTTATTGCGTTAGGGTGTTTGTGATTCTGTAGACAATTTTCCTTTTGTTTTTCTCTGATCGTTGGTATGTAAGTGCAGGTTCTTATTCTAATTGTTGCTAAAAAGTTTATTTTAATTAATTTGTTTGATTAGTACATTTTGTTCTCTTAATAGACAACCATAACTAAAAGGATCTGATGATATACAGTGGCCACTAAAAGTATTTAACTTGAAAATGTACGAATGTTTTTGCATTTTAAAACAAAACAACAAATTTTGTGGTATTCATTTAAGTGAATAAAGCACTTTACTAGCAAAACAATTCTTTAAAAGAAGTTTGTTCTGGTTTCAGGATAAAACAATAAATATATTGTATATAAATTATTCTGGTTAGTGGATCACATTCATAGTTGTTTCAAGTATGACATTTGGGGCAACTATTTATACATTACAGTTTGGGGTCAGTACGATTTTTTTAAAAGAAATTAATACTTTTTTTTCAAGAATGCATTGAATTGATTAAAATTGACAGTCGACATGCATAATGTTGAAACAAACAAATTATTTCTATTTCAAATAGATGTGGCTATATTGATCTTTTCATTAATCAAAGAATACTAAAAAGTATCAGTTTCCAGAAAAATATTAAGCAGCACAACTGATACTAAAAAGAAATGTTTCTTCAGCATCAAATCAGCATATTGGAATGATTTCTGAAGGATCATGTGACACTGGATGTGACACTGGACACAAGGATGCTGAAAATTCAGCTTTGCCATGAATAAATTACATTTTTAAATAAAATGTTAAAAGTAGTAAACAGGTATTTTAAATTGTAATAATACTTCATAATATTAACATCTTCACTTTGTATTTGATCAAATAAATGTAGCCTTGGTGAGCATAAGCGACCCCAAATATGTGTACGGTAGTGTGAACCCATGTAACTGGCATATAGATTTAGAATATTTCACTATTATGCCATTATGTGTATGTACAAAAGGTGTATCTGATTTGTAACTAGCAGATGATCTGTGTAACAATACAAACATGTGCTGACCGTCTGTGTGTGCATGCTTGTATGTAAACGAGTGTACTTGTTTGACGCAGTTGGTGCCAGGCACTTTGTGGGCAGACAGACAGCCTCATAGAGTGGGTTAGTGTTTGACTCTTTAAGTGCCAAAAGAGTGTTTTTGATGTTAGGGACATGAGACAGACAGCAGAGCTTGTCAACATGTGATGAGATAAACGTGTGAAGGTTACTGAGGCTCACACAGACACTTTTGGAGCTCTTGTTTAATGCATGTGCCTTACTAATCTTTACTATATGTGTGTTTTCTCCTGTTTTTTTTCTGTTTTCCACTAACCCGTGGTGGTCATAAATCTGTGTCCGTTTGTCCTCTCCTCAGACCACGGCCAGAAGGCCCAAGGTGAGCTCAGTCCTGCAGGTCACATGCATAATTTGAGAGTTATTGTTAGAAGTTGAGCGTCAGTGATCTCCGCGTCTCTTTTTCAGCAAACGCGGGCTGGAGTGGGTGTGAAGGTGGGCTCTGGATCAGCGTCTGCTGGAGAGATGAGCAGCAGTGAACCCAGCACACCTGCCCAAACACCACTGGCTGCTCCAGTTATACCTTCACCTGTGGGAAAACTGCCCTCTCCTGGGGCTCTTCCCTTCCCAGGCCCCAGCAAGGTCAGATGCTTTTAGTCAAACATGGTTACAGACACAAATTAACCACTGTTTTTTTTACTAGAATTTGCCAGTGTGTTGCCAACTTGCCATGTATTCACTTTTGCATCATTTGCAATGTTAAAATGTCTGTAAAGGTTTTCATTTGTCAAGGTCACAGATGTTGTGAAAGATGTTGCGTCACACAAAGGCTACTGATCGGTTGTCACACTTTGCTGCAATGAAGAGCACGACTCAGGAGAATATGACAAAAACATAGACAGTCTTTAATCCAATAAACCAAAACAAGAATACTCAGATGATGAATAATGAACAGAGAGAAATCAAAGCTTAAATGCCGGGATGTAATCAACTCAACAGAAATAGGTGCATGAAACTATTTAACAATAAATTAAACTAACTAAGGAACACAGGCAGGCAAAACAGGGTCAGAAGAAGGGTTTCATTTTCAATGTGTTCTGTCTCTTTTTTGCCTGCCTGTGAGACATGTGATGTGTGAGAAACAAATGAGGGGGAAATACTTGTAAAACAAAATGTGACATGTTAGCAAAATACTTTTATTGTGTGATTTCCAATCAAGCTGTAATTTTACATTTTTAAAACGTTGGGTAACACTTTACTTGAAGGGGTGTGCATAAGACTGATATGACACCTTCATAATCATGACATGACATATGTCTTGAATATGAAGTAGGGTTTATGCATAGTAGTGTCATTAAGTGTCTTTCGCTCAATTATGACATTTTGAATGCAAATATGACATTGTTTGAGATGTCTTTGTTATAATATCTTGACATAAACCATAACATCATAACCTGTCAGTGTCTTTATCATGACAACTTGACATATGGTTTGCTTTGACATTGGCTGTCATGAGGCCATTATAAATGTGTCATGAATATTTTTCGTGACCTCAACTACAGTGATACAAATTGAATTTTTCATTAAAAAGTAATAATGGCTTCATGACAGCCAATGTCAAAACCAACCACCTAAAAGTTTAATGTAATGTTAACCAATAAAGTTAGGTGGTTTCTTAAGTTTGATAATTAATCTGCTATGTCATGTTTATGACAGGTTGTGTTGTCTTAGTAATGTCAAGTTGTCATGATAAAGACACTGACAGGTTATGATGTTATGGTTTATTTCAAGGTGTCATAACAATGACATCTCAAACGATGTCATATTTGCATTCAAAATGTCATAACATGCATACAACTTCCTTCATATTCATAACACATGTCTTGATTATGAAGGTGTCATGTTAGTCTTATGCACACCCCTTAAAGTGAAGTGTTACCAAACATTGGCTATATATGGAATTTTCCAAATGCTATTAAACATAATACATATTTTGAGATGTGATGGAAATTAATTAATTCTCCTGTGATGTATCGGTAACACTTTACAATAAGGTTCATTAGTTAACATTAGTAAACGCATTAACTAACATGAACTAACGATGAGCAATGCATTAGTTACAGTGTTTGTTAATCTTTGTTAATGTTAGTTAATACAAATACAGATGTTCATTGTGTGTTCATGTTAGTTCACAATGTTAACTAATACAACCTTTGATTTTAATAACGTATTAGTAAATGTTGGAATTAATATAAACTAAGATTAATAAATGCTGAAGAAGTATTGTTCATTCTTAGTACATGTTAAGTAATGTAGTTAACTAATGTTAACTAATGAACCTTATTGTAAAGTGTTACCGATGTATCATGTAAGTACTGTGTGTACAAATCAAGTGAAAAAAGTGTGTTGTAGGAGATTTATTTTCTAAAAGCCCACAGTGCCAGTAGTTGAAGAAACATCTAAATCATTTAACTATTGCGCAACAAAATACAGAACATAACATTTCTCTGCCATTCATGTAAATGCGACAGTTCGTCTTGTTTCTCTCACAATGTCTGCACTCTGCTTGCAGGAAGAGGAGTCACTGCGTGCCCAGGTGAAGGATCTGGAGGAGAAGTTGGAGACACTGAAGATGAAGAGGATGGAGGACAAGATTAAGCTGAAGGAGCTCGAGAAGCACAAGATTCAGCTGGAGCAGCTGCAGGAGTGGAAGAGTAAGATGCAGGAACAACAAAGCGAATTGCAGAAACAACTCAAAGAGGCCAAGAAGGTATTGACTACTACACAGTAACAGTCCTGTATATCGTGATAAGTGTCATTGTGTGGATAATGAAGCTGACTCATATTAATGTAGGAAGCTAAGGAAGCTCTTGAAGCTAAAGAGCACTACATGGAAGAGATGGCAGATACAGCAGATGCCATTGAGATGGCCACCCTGGATAAGGAAATGGCTGAAGAACGGGCCGAATCACTGCAACTGGAGGCTGACGCTCTAAAAGAGAGAGTTGAAGAGCTGACCATGGACTTGGAGATACTCAAACATGAGATAGAGGAAAAAGGTACAAATAAATTGTGAAATAGGATTACAATTTAAAATAACGGTTTATCATCTTAATATATTTTAAAGTGCAATTTATTCCTCTGATCCAGAGTTGAATTTTCAGCATCATTACTTCAGTCTTCAATCTTTCTTGAATGCTGATTTGGTGCTTTAAGAAACTATTTTAATAACAAAATGGTGCGATTTCATATTTTTATAGAAACGGTTTCATATTTGAGAATTTATTTTCATAATTCTTTGATTAATAAATAGGAAGTTCAAAAGAACAGCATCGATTTAGAATAGAAATCATGTAAATAATACATGTCTGTACTTTCTGTATTGTTCAATACTGTATTGATCAAGTATTAATTTCATTCCCCAAAAAACCCATCTTACATTTTAATGGTAGTGCCCATTTCAGTACATAAATAACCAGAATTTTTAATTCAGGTTCGGATGGAGCAGCGTCTAGTTACCATGTGAAGCAGTTAGAGGAGCAGAATGCTCGACTGAAGGAGGCTTTGGTGAGGTGAGTCTGTGTTCAGTCCCATTGTTCAATCGATGTTGCTTGATTTAACGATGCTCTGTGAAGATTATAATATCAATTTCTCTGTGCATTAGGATGCGTGACTTGTCAGCATCAGAGAAACAAGAGTATGGAAAGCAACAGAAACAAATGGAGAAGAAAAATGTTGAGCTGGATACACTTAGATGCCATAAAGAAAAACAACAGGAGGAAATGAAGATGGCTGAGAAAACTATCGATGAGCTCAAAGAGCAAGTGAGTTGTGCCAAAGATCTTCAACGTTGACCTCCCAACTTTGCTATATTTACCATCTTACTTAATTAATATCATATTACCTTATAAACCTTGGTACCATCTCCAAATATGTATGGCAATACCATAAGGTATTTCAAGTTTAACCTGTCCTATTCTGAGTGGGATTCGAAGCATAGTGTTCGGCGCGGGGGGCAGGCGCTAACAAGGATACTGAAGCGCAACTCTTAAGGCCAGGGGATTGAGGTTTACACGCACAGCTCTTACTGGCCTGTATTACACTCATCCCCCTAAACCTCACTCCCACCTGGGTCACGGCACCAAATTAAACCAGTCCTATTTGACCGGCTCCGAACAGGGATTTCAAACCGTGGCCTCTGACGTGAGGGGTGTCCGCGCTAACAAGAACACTAAAGCTAACGCTAAAAGCTAACGCTGTGGTTGCTAGCTTGCCTCTTTAACCCAGGGGAGTGAGGTTTACACACAAATTTCTTACTTCAAATACTATGGTACATGTCCAAAAATGATGCTAATTTACTTAACTTTATATTGTTTTTGCCATATCCAAAAATCAACTTTGCTTTATGTACCGTGGTACAGAATGAATATCATATTAATGTACCACCATGGTACCATATACAATAAAATGTGGTAATATCATATGGTACTTCATGCCATTTCAAAGAATACAATGGGACAAGTTTTTTTTCATTGCATGTTCAAAGGAAAATAATAAAATGTAATTATTATTGAAATGTAATATATTTATATTTAATATAAAAAAATGTATAAAGTTATTGTCAGCGTAGTACCATAGTATATTTTTGGTGCTTTTCCTTATTGTTGGAATATGGTAATGGTCACTATAATATGTATGTGCTCGTGTGTGTGAGGTGGATGCTGCTCTCGGGGCAGAGGAGATGGTGGAGATGTTGACGGAGCGTAATCTGGACCTGGAGGAGAAAGTACGGGAGCTCAAAGAAACTGTCGCAGATCTGGTGGGTGATCGAAGAGAGTGTGATGTACAGTATTTTGAGGGTGGGATGTGCATGTGGTTCAGTTGAGTATGTTGAGCAGTATTTGTGTGTATGTTCTGATGTAGGAAGCCATAAATGAGATGAATGACGAGCTGCAGGAGAACGCCAGAGAGACGGAGCTGGAGTTGAGAGAGCAGCTGGATCTGGGTGCTGCCAGTGTCCGGGAGGCAGAGAAGCGTGTGGAAGCGGCACAAGAAACAGTGGCAGACTACCAGCAGACCATCCAGAAATACAGAGAACTCACTGCACACCTACAGGTTCTGCTCTACTTCACAATATACAAACCACACCACATTAATGCTGCTCAAAATGCCCACCTTAATGTATGTCACATAATTTGTGTGTGTGTGTGGAGCAGGATGTGAACAGGGAGCTGATGAGCCAACAGGAAGCCAACGCTGAGCAGCAGCAACAGCCTGCGGAGATCTTCGATTTCAAGATAAAATTTGCTGAAACCAAAGCCTATGCCAAGGTCAATCCAGAGAACACATATACAGTCTTTTTAACCCTGCTATTCAGAGTCCAATTCACAAATTAATGAATTAGTCAAACTGATTGGTGAATCAGAATCAGAATTGAACACAGAAGTCATTGGTTTGAATTATGAACTGAATTGTCATATAATTCATTTCTTCACTGAACTTCAGATCGTGTCAAACTCAAAAATGAGCCATGCGTTTCTCATATAAACAATGTATGTCTATTTGTATTTGTAGACCATAGAAATGGAGCTACGTAAAATGGAGGTCACCCAGGCTAACAGACAGGTGTCACTGTTGATTTCCTTCATGCCTGACTCCTTCCTGAAACACGGAGGAGACCATGACTGCATCCTTGCTCTGCTGCTCATCCCACGACTCATCTGCAAGGTGAATGTTCTGAATGTATGTGTGTGTTTTCGATTTCCAGGGAGCGTACAAAGCATTAGCAAATGACTAATGTGTGTCATATCAATAGCTTTTTATATTTTCATAACATGTTATTGCATTGCTGTTGGCGAATAGTAGAGGGGAGTAAGGGGTCAATGGTTGATGTCATAACTACACCATTCTGCTGTCAAAACACGCATATCATTTTCATTGTTTTGTTCAAGTTGTCACGTTTATGGCTCAGGTGAGTGACTCAAATGTTAACACCAAGGCTTAACTCAGGTTTTTTCAGACTCCCAAATATGATGTGTGAGGAACACATATATAACTCAATTTAAACTGTACAGATAATATTTTAGACATTTATAATAATAATTTTTCAGTTACATTATTAAATTTGGTACTCATTATAGTACTGTACTGCTATTTATTTAAGGATTTAAAAAAAAATCTTTATTTTAGATTTATGTATTTATTTACTCATTTACTTATATATTTTAATTTTGTTTTTTAATAATATTATTTTTATTTATTTATTGTTTATTTACATATATTTTTATATATATAAACATATGTAAATATATATTTTATATATATATTTACATATTTACACAAGTTTTGTTTTTTTAACTGAAAAAATATGGCTTAACTTGTTTTCAACATGTGCACTGACCACTAAGCCACAATTCCCATCCAAGATCACTTTTTGCGAGTTTTGGTTGAATGTGTTTGTGTGTGTATACGTCGCAGGCAGAGCTGATCAGTAAGCAGGCTCAGGAGAAGTTTGAGTTAACTGAGTCGTGCTCTCAGAGGGCCGGGATGAGAGGAGCCGTCGGAGAACAGCTGAGCTTTGCTGCTGGACTCGTCTATTCTCTCACACTGCTACAGGCAGCACTGCACAAATATGAACAGTAGGTCTACCTGAACTTACACTTTCTGAAGCGTTAACATCCTCAAGACCACATGAAATATGTCAAAAAGTCCCATTATTTTTTTATGGTGCCATTATTTCCTGTTGAAGCAGGAAGTTAGGGTACAGCACCTCAAAAGGCTTGTTGTTTTTTCAAAATGTCTCCCTCTATCTCTCTCATGCAGTGCTCTGAGTCAGTGCAGTGTGGACGTGTACAAGCGTGTGGGTTCACTTTACTCTGAGATGAGCGTCCATGAGCGTTCTCTGGATTTCCTCATAGACCTCTTGTACAAAGACCTGCTGGATGAAACTGTCAATGTGGAACCCCTAACCAAAGCTATTAAATACTATCAGGTAGCAAAGCATAATGTCATTTTTTAACATGTGAATAACACACACACACATTTATATATATATATATATATATATATATATATATATGTGTTTGTTTGTTTAATTTTGTGTGTGTGTGTGTATATTCGCATATTATATTGCAGTTGATCTCTTTTTTCTGCGTTATTTCGTACATAAATGTTCTAGCTGTTATGTTATGTTATGTGTTGATTTTCATTTCCAACTGAAGCATATCATGATAGCAGCAAAGCATCTCCAATGCCACATTTATAAACCTAAACCTGAAGCCTAAACTTACCTAAGACACTACTATTGTTCGCCTGGTGTTTTCTCCAGGAAGTGCTAGTCTATTATCTATTGACATGCATTCTTTTTATTGCAGCAACTTTACAGTATTCATCTCACTGAACAGCCTGAGGACTGTACCGTGCAGTTAGCGGACCACATCAAAGTAAGAACATCACTTATACACACACGCCGGGTCTGTTGCACACATCTATATAACACATCTTCATGTGTGTCTGTAGTTTACCCAGAGTGCCCTGGACTGTATGGCAGTGGAGGTGGGGCGTCTGAGGGCCTTCATGCAAACGGGACAGGATGAGGAAGGGTTTTGTGTGCTGCTGAAGGATCTGGACACTTCCTGTAGTGACATACGACAGTTCTGCAAGAAGATCCGCCGTCGTATGCCAGGCACAGATGCACCGGGCATCCCAGCTGCCCTCAGCTTCGGGCCACAGGTGATCTTACTCATGTACACGATACATTCAATTCTATACATATCTCCGATATCTCAGCCTTCCATTGATGGGGTTTATGTGTGTGTGTGTAGGTGTGTGAGACGCTGGCAGAGAGCAGAAGGCAGCTGGCCTGGGTGAATGCTGTGCTCCAGGAAGTGGCAGCAGCAGCCGCTCAGCTCATCGCCCCTCTCAGCGAACACGAGGGACTTCCAGCCCTCAAACTGGAAGACATGGCCTTTAAAGCCGCTGAACAGGTATGTTTGGGTGAATCCTGACATGTCTGGGTCATGTGGGAATGTTATTTAATCTCTTTGGGTCTTTTTTTCAGATCTATGGGTCACAGGGCATAAACGCCCAAGAGTGTCTGCGGCAGTCATGCAGTGTTGTCATAGCAACCATGAACAAGATGGCTACCGCTATGCAGGAGGGAGAATATGACTCTGACAGACCACAGAATGGAGTGAGTCCGGGCCCTCGTTTAGTGTGTCCTTCTGCCTGTATGACAATAGCTATGAATGTTTGTTGTGTATCTATCGTGTAGATATCTCCTGCTGAAGTCCGAGCAGCGGCTCTAAGGGCAGAAATCACTGATGCTGAAGGACTCGGCCTTAAACTTGAGGACAGAGAAACTGTCATTAAAGAGCTTAAGAAATCCCTTAAAATAAAGGTAGAAACACTCACACTCAACAAGACATACTATTATTTGCACAAGATAACAAAAACGATGTGAAAATGTTGAGTAAAAACTGGTCTCGTTCATAGGGAGAGGAACTGAGTGAGGCCAGTGTGCGTCTCAGTTTGCTGGAGAAAAAGCTGGACAGTTCGTCTAAAGATGCGGATGAGCGAGTGGAAAAGATTCAGACCATCCTAGACGAGACTCATTCACTGCTGAAAAAGAAAGAGAAGTAAGAGAGGATGGGGGTTCTTGCACATATTTAGGCTGCAGCTTGTCACCCTAACTCCTAATGTGGGTCTCAATGTCCCAGGATAGTGGTAGGGATACAACTGTATATTGTAAAAAAGACAATTAATATGGCTATTATAATCCGTAGGGAGTTTGAGGAGACCATGGATGCTCTCCAGGCTGACATAGACCAACTAGAGGCAGAGAAAGCAGAGCTTAAGCAGAGAATCAACAGCCAATCAAAGATGACCATTGAAGGCCTGAGAGGAAGTCAAGCTTCTGGCATCGCCTCCATTGTGACTTGTGGCATCACTGCTGGTAAGATAAGGGAATCAGTTTAGCTTAAACTAGTTCAAATGTCTTTCTCAAATCTTATTTTTAAACTGTCTAATATGTCTTCCATTGTTTGTATTTCTTGTAGAAGAACAAAAAGGTAAATTTGTTGTCAGTATGACATTTAAATATCTCCATTTCTCCTCTCATGGTCTTTCTGTTCACTGCATGTGTGCATGCAAGTTAATGTTACTAGATATAATATGTAGTTTTACAAATATTTCATCATGCTTCTATTTCATAATTTGCATGTGCTGTAATTTAGGCTTACTTAGTGCACGTCTCTTGATTACTGTCCTTTATTGCACAGAATGCTTGATTCTGATTGGTCAATTGTGACATTCTGCTCAAATAGTTTTAAAAATGCTAAACTGTTTGATTGACTGATTTCCCACACAGCAGTTTAGTTTCCTTCCTTATAGCTTTCTGTATGGTATTTCATGTCTCCCATAAACTCTGGTCTCTTTCTTCTCATCTAATATTTTTAGTCAATGAAACATTATGACAAAAATAAACTTTTTAGGTAAAGAAAAATCATAATGACTTAATTTGAGTTTATTTTTGTGCTAATGTGCATTATCACTTACATATATGCTTTGTAAGCCTATCTGATATTTAAATTATAATATTTGAAATCTCAAATATTATAATCTTCAAGGTGGATTTTATAAAATCCACCTTGAAGATCCTCCCTTTGAGATGTCACTGTTTTATTATAATAGTTTAATAAACACTGGTAATAAACTGTAATATTGTGGAATATAATTCAAATTTAAAATAACTATTTATTATTTTAGAATATATTTTAAAATATTTTATATTTTAAAAAATTTCTTTTAAAAAGATTTCTTAATAAACGTAATAAACATTTATTCTCTTTATTAGTGTTGAAAACAGTTGTGCTGCTTAATATATTTTTGTGTGATAAATTTTTTGAGGATGCTTTGATGAACAGAAAGTTCAAAAGATTATTTGTAATATAATCTTTTGTAACATTAGACATGTCTTTACTTTCAGTCCTTGTATTCATTTCTCATAAAAAAATCGTACTGACCCAAATGTTTTAATAGTAGTCTATATAATTTTTTTATGTATATTTTAGAGAAATATATCAGTTGTCTCTGTCTTTGTTAAAGTGATAGTTCACCCAAAAATTCTGTCATTATTTACTCACCCTCAAGTTGATGAGTTTCATTGTTCTGTTGAACACAAAAGAAGATATTTTGAAGAATGTTTTGGTGGTAGCCATTGACTTCCATAGTATTTTTCCTACTGTCTTGTAGAACAACATAAGGGTGAGTAAATGATGGCAGAATTTAATTTTTTTGGGGTGAACTAAGCCTTTAACGTGTAATTCGATAGGTGTGTGTGCAGCTGCAGGAGTGCAAGTGATGGATTCTCCCCTGCTGACTCAGCAGATTGAAGCTCAGCGACTCAGCATAAAGCACTTGAAGAACGAGAACAACAGACTGAAGGTCTCTCCTACTTCCCCACAAGCACATTTCCCCAAATGAAGGCATTTAGTCTCACATTTGTTTTTGTGCCTGTGTATATGTGTGTGGACTGCAGGCAGAAAAGATGCGTGCTCAGCTGGCGTCTCTCACTCCTCTGAACGTGCCAAAGCTGGGCTGGAGAGAGGGCTGCAGGCCGGAGGTGTTGTCTAGCGCCCTCTACCGAAAAACAGACCAACTACTGGACACCCTGCTCCAGATGAGTGCCAATGTGAAAGTGGTGGACATCACAGGGAAATCTCCAGGTTTGTCATAATTAGACTTAACAACACAGATTTGTTACATTAATTATTTAAGCGCGTATGTGTTTTGGTTAACAGTGAGTCCCAGTGCGCAGCTTCTAGAGCAAACTGCAAGACTGCAGTCACTCAGTGACACCCTCGATAGGCTTAAGGTAAAAACAAAAATGCTTCAAAACCATAGACATCATTTGCATGTCTCTTGTATTTACTTAAGCTATGTATTTCTTTGAAGGATGAGGTTGCTGAACATGTAGTGACTCATAGGCCTGGTGCCCAAGCCTCGTCCGATTTTGCCACTTTTCCCTGCACTTCCTTTGTGAAGGTAAGACAGATGCATAAAATGACACTGATCCACATCGTTTTGGTCTGTATAAATCTCCCATTCTTTCTCTTTCCGCTGTCAGGCAAAGGAGGAGAAGAAAGGAGATGCTGTGTTAGTCGGCCGTGTGATGATGCCTTGCGCCCAAGGGCAGGAACAGGTGCATCGTCTGGTACTTTCACAGACACAGTTACAGAGAGTTCATCGCCTTCTCCAGACTTAAAATGAACCGTCGCTTCTTTACAAAATATGAAACTTATTCAGTCAAACTCCCAAACCCCCAAATTTTAAACAACAGATATCCCAGCTAACATGGAACATTCTCAGAACTTTGGTTAATGTTTTTGTCTGAAACGTTTTAGCTGGATGTTTGTCTAACATTATTAATAGAATGTTTATTCAAAGTTATCTGGTCTTTAAAAATGATAGCACAAAATCGTTATTCAAACATTGTTCATGGAACTTTTTTTTCCTGAAATGTTTTATTTGAACATTTGTATTATGTTTGTAAATGTTATTCTTGTTTCAGAACATTCAGAGAAGATTTAATATTTATTAACTTTCGCATAATGTTTGCAAAATTATAAAGTGGAAACATTCCGGACGTTTTGAATATTCAGGGAATGATCAGAAATAACGCTTTCACAACTTAAAGGGGACGTTAGCAAAATGTTCTTAGAATATTTTGTTTGTTAGCTGGGATTATGGAGAATGCATATATGGCCACAAACCAGTGCTTCATTTGGTGAAGCACACACAAGTCAAGCATCTGCAAAGCTTTGAGTGTGTTTATATCTACCGCACCAAAATTTGTGAAAATGTTACAAAAAGGTTACAGATTTTAAACATGAGACATGCTGAGGATGTTTTATTAACAAGGCATGAAATAGATGATTCAGCATGACCCCCCCAGCATGAATACCTTTCCTGATTTGGATTTCCAATGACCCATGTTTACAAGTATTTAGCTAACAGGATTTCAATTTCAACCATGTATGTGTTTAATTAGTGGTGTTTTCCAAGTGATTAGACTTATGATTTTCAAGTGACGGACGATAAAACGGGAAAACAATCCAATAAAATAGGGGGAGAGACCAGAGCCATGTGATTCGACCAGTAAACAACCACCAAAACCCCGGTAACCACCTAGCAATTGCATTAAAACCAATGAAAACCTTATAGCAACGCTCTAGCAATTACCTAAAACAAGCACTGCTTACATTTTCTTCTGAAAAATTAAAAATAGGATAAAAATCTATCTGACCAATTAATGGTCTGGTCTCATTAGTTTTGTTTGGTGAATTTTCATAGTCGATTTCAATTGGGAAAGCCCATGCAAATTTGGCGGATTCTCCACATTGATCGAGAGAAAGCTGCTTGATTGAAAGTGATTCTGTGTTCACTAATTAATTCAAATTTCACTAATGAAAAGTAGGGTTGGCATTTCTTTTTTTCATAAACAATTTTTTTTGTTATTCTGGTCAAAACACTCTTCACATCGTGATAGCAATCAATAATAGAAGTGGTCTAAATATAAAAAATGTACATCTTCCGTGGAAGTCTCAGGACCGAAAATGTTCATCCAATCATTGCATTCGGTCAGCGTATGTGTTTCCATACCTTCGTACATTCTGCTCGCGCAGACATCGCACGTAATCAGCGTGTTTCGTAAGGATAAAGACAGTCACAGAGCGCCGCAAACGAACAGCATCCACCTTTTGCCCTTCCTCCTGACCCAAAACAACAAGCTTATGCTGCATTCATGCCATGTCGTAACTGTAATTACAAGATGGCAACCCATGATGACCTGACACTATCAATGCCAAAATTAATCTGCAGCAGTCAGGTGGTAAAAGTCAGAGCTCCTTCGATGTTAATGTTCATTATTATTGTAATGTTATGTGCTTTAAGACATGAGCTAATTTAATGCCATCTAAGGCATGGCTTTGGAGATGCTCTGAAGGGAGGGTGGGATCTAATGCTTTCAAAGCTAGCTTGCTTTTGTTAGCCGCTCTGAAATTGCCTACCCTACCTTTAATAATTAGGTTTTTCAGATATAAAGGTGAGTATCAAACATTTCAGATATGTAGTGTATTCAGAACATTCTGAATCGGGAGGCCAAAGATGGACAAATTCCCAGTTTTAGGGCTCTATTTATTCAGCACGTCAAATAATGCAACTTAGAACCGGTACGTTAATCTCTTTATAACACATCAGATGCAGTGATCGCCTGACACAGCCCTCTTAATACTCAGTTATCTAGGTGTCAGAAAGACAGGAAAGAGAGTATGCTTTTTCAAATAAATATTAAGTCAAAGATTTAACAGCTCTGTGTGCTCGACTGTGATGCCTGAATGTGCCATGCCAATGTGCTTCTGTAAAGAAAATACTATTGTCCTTTTGAGTGAATGATCCGATTTAGTGCCAAGCAAGGGCGAGATAAAAACATCAAGTGAATGAAGCTGTGGGCTCAAATAAAAGAGGACATTAGACAACAATATTTATTAACTGTTGTATATTTGCTCCAAGAGCTTGTCAGTATTCAAGTGGTCTTAAGTTAGCAATGGTTTGCTTTGTTACTATTAATTTATTAACCTATTAACTGTATAAAATGAATACTGTTGCTTACAGTATTGTTGAATGTGTTTGCATCTTGTGAATTAATTTAAATAAATTATTATGCCATTAATTACATGTCGTTTGGCTTTATCTTTTTATACAAATATTGCCTCATTAGTATAGCATTAGTCCTGTTCATTGGAAGGGTTCGCTTCATCAGAATTATTCACACACACATTGGATTTGGCCCCTCCTGACACATCATAGCTTTCATAGATAAAGCTAATGTGAATAAATAAGACATACAGTATTTGCATTGACGCAATGAAAGAGCTTATTAAAAACTGTTTGCATAAGAACCATAAAAAGGGTGATAGCTAAAACTTTTGAACAAACTGATCTGTTTAACACAGTAAAGAGCAGCACACAACTCTGCATCACTTGGAACTGAAGAATATGTTCTTAACATGGCATCAGATGGGATATATTAATCACAACTGAATTACAAACTACCAGAGTGATTTTGCAACGTATGGATCCCACCACAATATTGGACGGTAATAACACGGCTCCTCACAGCAATGGCACCAGCAGAGAATACCAGATCCAAGAGATCATCAGATGGATCACATTTGCTGTTGGGCTTCCAGGAATCGGCGTCTCTATCTACCTCATGGGCATGCTGGCAAAAACTGGAAAGGCTGCTCCTGTCTACCTCATCAGCCTGCTCGCATCCGACATCTTTAACATCCTTGGACGGCCGAAGGCATCTGCGGATGACACCAAGAATACCAGTTTGCAGAATATGGATATATCCTCCTTGATTTTCTACTTCGGCATTATTTCCAACATTGTGTTCATGGTCTGCGTTGCTCAGGAGCGATATCTGTTGGTAACCTGTCCACAATATAATGCATTCTGCATGAAAATCAAGCAGTCGAGCATGATTTCATTGGCTGTGTGGGCAGCTCCAGCTGCAATACTCTTCCTTGCTTACCAAGGATATTTCGTCTTGTTTTCCATAGCACTTCTTCTCCCACTACCACTCCTAGTGTTTTTCTTTCTGGATTCTTTCAGAGTCATATGGTGTACAAAATGGCGAGCACCTGTGACTGACAGAAACAAGATTCTGGGTATGCAGGTGGCCATCTTGAGTAATTACAGCATGATTTACCTCCCCTTTGTCCTAAATACACTGTTCAAGGCATTGTCTCTAAGCTCCTATGTTTACTACTTGGGACTTGTAGCTGATCTTCTTCTCCATTTTGGCCCACTTGTGGACCCATTCCTCTCAATCCTTCTTACCAATGGAATTGGTGACATTTTGAAAGCCTTTCCCTGCTGTGCGAGGATAAAGACACAGGAGGATGTGGAGATCGTGAATACAGACACTGTAGAAACAGTTTCTGGTACGTTAACTATGCTCTGAGAATAATGTTGGTAAAATTGATAATCCAAATATTTTACTAATAATTTTGATTACATTTTTTATAGCTTAATTAGTTTAAAGGGATTGTTCACTTTGAAATTAATTTTGATAAGTTTTAGATTACCTCAAGGACATCCAAGATGTAGGTGTCTTTGTTTCCACAGCATTTTCAATTTTGATATTTTTTGGTCAAACCGTTGTTGTCTGAACCGAACTGAAGTCTCCAACGTGACGCCGGAAGTGATCGCGTGCGTATGAATGTCACGCATTGTTTACACGGAGATTTCGGAAGTTTTACCTTTTAGATATATCCATTGCGATTTCCCGCATATCTAAATATGTTTAGTGAAAGGTAAAACTTCCGAAATACATACGACGTACATACGCACGTGATCACTTCCGGCGTCACGTTGGAGACGTTCAGTTCGGTTCAGTTGGACATCTGATTCAGTTCGACGGCTGTTAACAAGAGGTAAAAACTATATAAATACTGTTCGTTTTCTCACACAAACCGCTCTTTTCGTGTCTTAGTCCATCAGTGTGTACTTACATTCACGAGTCATTAAATCATGTTTAATTTGGACTTCTCTGTGCATGCTCTTTGAGGTGGGCTCCATAGACCTGCATTATATGACTGACAGACAACGACGGTTTGACCAAAAAATGTCAAAATTGAAAATGCTGTGGAAACAAAGACACCTACATCTTGGATGCCCTTGAGGTAAGCTAAAACATATCAAAAATTAATTTCAAAGTGAACTATCCCTTAAAAGGGTTGTCACCCAAAAATGTATATTTTGTCACATTTACTTACTCTAATGTTTCAAACCTTACAAAAGGAGATATTTTGAGAAATGTCTCAATGTTTTTTGTCCATGCTATGATAGTCAATGGTCATACAGAAAGTTATACAGGTTTGAAACAACATGAGGGTGAGTAAATTTTCATTTTTGTTTGATCTATCCTTTTACGATGATTCAATGCCAGAAATATGTTCAATGTTATGCCAAAAATACTGCATAAGAAGACAAGCAAACAGCTAAAATTGTTCAAATTTGCCATTATAATAAACTTCATTGATATTGGTAAGTCTTGAGTTTTGGTAACTAACAGGTTCTCTCATTTGAAAAAATATTCGGCTTGACACAAAGGTTGAAATAATGTTTTATGACACAGATGTGCTACTGAATGCCCTTTAGCTGTAATGTGTAAAATATTGATGATATACAGTAATTTAGTGCACTGTAATCACCTGTTTAGATATTTAAAGAACAGTTCACCCCCCCAAAAGATTGTCCTATATACATTTAACAGCATTCTTGTATGTTATCGAGTTGTCAAAATTAACTCTTGTTCGAGAACTTGTATACTTTCTTTAATATTCATAAAATGGAATACAAATGTTGTCCCAAGTACATAGAAGACTCTAAAAACTAAAAAGGTGTAAAACATCGGAGGAAGGAAGGACTCATTAGATATTAAGTCTGCCACTAAAACCGAACCGGTAGAGAAAGAGTGCAGAGCTCTCGGAGCATGTAACGGTAAAAATCTTCAGGCACAGTCACCATAGTGTGGGAGTCATTACAAAAGTGAGGAGATTTGGCTTTTGTAATCCGCACACAACAACACAATCATATACGGATTGGAACACAAGAAATCTGTAAACAAATGTTCTCCATAAAAAAGGTCTCTGACTAGGCGCTTTCTTTCGGAATAAGGGGGAAAAGGCTTGCGAGCATCTCCAGCGTAAGAAAAGCATTAAAAAAAAAATAAAAACGGTGATTGAACAGAGCCATTGTATTCAAGTCCTGAGTTTTTTTAAAACAAAACATAAAAGGCCAAAAAAATGGAAAATTTTAAAACACTGACGAACCCAAGGAAAGTTTAACAGTAAACAAGATTGATAGTTTCCAGGCCCGTGACGGTCACTTGAGTGAGCTGAAATAAATCAGTGAAATCAGAAGGTGGGCTTCATCCAGTCCGCTGGTGGATTGCTAGTCTCTCAGGAGAAGGGGAGAGGGGTCTATTGGCAGCAGAAGCTGTGGTCCAGCTCTAACCAGAGGTGGCCTGTCAGTCAAGGCAGCGGGGTTCATCGGCGCGGTTGGTGTCGGGTAGGTCTGGGAGCGGGTGCCACGGCACAGGAAGGCGTTGAGGCAGAAGCCGCAGCATCCTCGGCCTCCTCCAGCTCTCCCTGGAGCTCCTGACTAACACTGGACTGCAGTGCCGCCGGCGTCAACCACTCCTTTGGCAGACAGCTCTGAAGGAAGGGCACACAAGAGCTGAAGTAGGCCAGTCGGTTCACCCAGCGTGGGATTTCTCGACCACAGAGGATCTGGGGCAGATGTGAGGAGGATATGGTGAGATTTTTGGCTCTTTATGGCACTAGATTAATGTACATACTTCCCTCGGCTTACCTCTGATAGTGCTGAGGAAAAGTGATTGCAATTCTTGTGCATGAGGTGGTAGGCGTTCCCCTTATATTCCTTCCCCATTTCCTCCACAATTCTCTCCACATCCTCTTCTACGAAGTCTGTGCTCCCTAAAACAATGGCCTCTCTGAGAAAGCAAGTAGAAAGTTAAGAGAGAGGCTGAGAGAGGAAGAAGTTCTCACAAATATATCCTTTCAGTCTGATCGCTGTGGAGGTAAATATTCTGACTCACTTGAATTTGAATGTATCTCCGAGCTCTGTGGCTTCACCAGGTGTTATCTCAAATATACCTGAAAAAGGATAAGGATGTCCTCCATAGGCAAACTCTGCAACACAAGAGAAAGTACGAGTTAGAACCATTAAAATGTCTTCATAATCTGCCTTTACAGAGAGATCATTTGTATTGTGCTACAGTGCACATTTTTATGATTTGCAAGCATTTTAACGCCTTCCCACTTTCAAATCATTTTACACGCACACTGTTCTGATATACGGTTTTCAGAGCGCACACACCCGAAGTGTGTAAACAGGAAGCCAGCTGTCACAGCACATGAGTACTGGACCAAGTTCTTTTTCTCTGTCTTGTTGTCTCTGTCAAATACATGCAAGGTTATGTCAAAACACACAAGGTTCACATAAAAGTAGTCAGTTATACTGTATCTTAAGTGAATGTAATTTGTTTGAGATTACATTAGATCTTTAGATTCGATCTTAAAGTGACAGCAACCCAATACACCTGCTGCTGTCAGTGTCAATGTTAATCAAACAAAGGAAAAAAACATTTACTCACTGCTCTTGACTTAAGAAATTTCATTTCATTCGCTTTAATAAGAATCAGTGAATATTTAAGTCATACAGTGAAGACTATGCAGTGTTTTATTTTTTTATTTTGATTATTAAATTACTTACTTGAATGCTGCTATAAAATAGACATATTGTTCATGAAAATGTTTAAGCACTGTTTATTTCATTTGTATTTATCGTATAATGTATATCTTTTAGTAGTTTGTATCCTTGTACTTATTTTAACTTAAATAACTTAAATAAAGATTAAAATAAATTAAATAAAGTGAAATAACCACCCCTAGTTTGGCCTAAATGGTCCAATAGGTTCTGTTTTTTTCTTTTATGTTTTGTTTCCTTGTAGGGCTTATTTATATATTTAATTATTTTAATTTGTTTTATATATGTTTTAGTTTTAGTACTTAGTAATTTAGTAACTTATTTTATTTCAGTGAATTGCCAAGGAAACATTTTAATTTTAATTCAGTTTAAGATTTTATGATTTAATGACTCGTGAATGTAAGTACACACTGATGGCTTAAGACATGAAACGAGCGGTTTGTGTGAGAAAACAAACTTTTTTAGTTTTTACCTCTTGTTAACAGCCGTCAAACTGATCTGAATCAGATGTCCAATTGAACCGAACTGAACCGTCTCCAGGCGTAACACCGAAAGTGATCTCTCGCGCGTCTACGTCACGCATTGTTTACACAGGGATTTCGGAAGTTTTACCTTTCAATAAACATATTTATATATATCGAAATCGTCTTCCATTGCGATTTCCCGTATATCTAAATATGTTTGCAAAATAAATGCCAAACAAAACAACTTTTCTTCTTATTGAACTAGAAGCCTTTGGAGGCAGAAACCATACAAAATGTCAAGGTCTTTTCCTGTTGCATCAACAGATCATCTATGATGCGAGGTTTAGTCATGCTTAGACATCTTTCTTTGAAGCAGTCATGATGCAAGTTAACTGGAGTTCTGAGTAGCTTGACTCATTTGTGTCTGAGTCATATCATGAACCTTACCTCTGCCATAGATCTCAATTCCTGAGTGAAAGACTCCAATTCCCAGAGAGGTAGTGAACTCATTGATCCAGTACTATAAGGAAACATAACAAGTCTGAGCGACATACTGCCACATGGTAAATGTTTTTCAAGGACAACTAGAATGATTTGCAATCTTAAATCCAAAAAGCACAATACAAATGTGTCTTTATACTCAATACAATAGATTCTCAATTTCCATAATAAACCATTCTAAATTATGGAATACTACGGAGATTTGTGGAACTAAATGAGCTTTATGATTTTGTGGAATTTTGTGGGTGGCCTAAATATATGAAATGTTTATTCAAGAGCTAGCTATAAACATCAAAAATATATTCAAAATATTGAATAAACACACAGGGGATGGGGGATGTGTAGAACTGAATGAGCGTTACAATTCTGTGGAAACCTCTTCATCTTTTTGAAATTTTCTGTGGGTGGCCCAAATATTTGAAGTGAATATTCATGAGACAGCTATAAACATATCAAAAAAGATTAACAATATATATTTGGACAAGGTTTTAAATGAATTGTTTTCTTATGCACATTACAGTATCTCTACAACTACTCTACTAATCCATAATGAACTGCTGTGCAAACATTAAAGTATGCATGGATATGTACAGACAGGCAAAGTGACTGAGCACTTGACAAACCCTTACATCCAAATCCATCCCATTAACAAGTCTGTCAAGTTGTAAATTGCAAGGAAGTACCTGACAGCTGCTCTCAATTGATTACGTGTCACCAGAAAATAAGATGAACAATGCTTTTCAGCATTAAGTGTGCAGCAGTAAATTATCTAGCCTAATACATTCATACCTAAAAGTAGCCAAGATGCATATTGCTCCAAAATATAAACTTAAGGATTTTGGCACAGTGTAAATTTATTTGTTTTGTTGAAACAATTTAAAATAATAAGAAGAAAAATAAGAGTAAGGGATGAGAGAAGTTACACTTCTAACTACACATTCAGTGTTGTGAATTAAGATACTTATCCTCATGGCCTCAATTATGTCAAAGCCTATTATATATATCCTTCATCACAAAACTGGGGATTAGTCTTTCTGTGATCAGCAACTAGCTTCTAAGTGTGATTTTCAGCAAGAGTACTCCCATGGCAATAGAGAAAATCAAATCTACAAGTTCAAACTTGGACTATGTGGGAGATCTCACCCTGATAAGTTTCTATGGGAACTGCTGTAGGCTAGGCGGACCTTTAATTTCAATTAAAAAAACCTTATAGTCAATGTTCAAAAGGGATACTCCACCCAAAGATGCAAGTTGTTTGGCACCATTGACTTCCATAGTAAAAAGAAAAAAAACTATGGAAGTAAATGATGCCCCACAACTGTTTGGTTCCAATTGTTCTTCAAAATATCTTCCTTTGTGTTCAGCAGAAGATAGAAACTTATACTGGTTTGCAACAATTTGAGGGTGAGTAAATGATGACAGAATTTTCATGTTTCCCTTTAAGGGATCATGGGTTTATGATACTTTAACATTTACAGTTATTCACCCCCGAAATTACAAACTACACATTAGAAATCACAGCCCACTAGTCTGCCAAAAACATTAGCACTGACAATTTTCCCATCTCTAGCTAAATGGACTGTGTAATGTGTAAATCTCCTATATTGTTTATATGCTTAAGTTAACAGCTTGTAAAGCGATTCCCATCCAAATTACAATTACTTGACAATTTCTAAAAAACCCTGGGACAGCTCAAATTTCTAGTCTTAATCTTTATGTGAGAACATAAGCTTAAAATAGCCCAACATAAGTGAGGAGGCCTAAGGAAAGTATACATTTCCATGACCCTGTTTCAAGGGGTCAATGAGACACATGAGACAGACTAAATCTTTAAATGGACACTATTCACGTTACTTAGAGATCAATGACACTGTAGAAGGTACTGTCAATATTACCAGTCAATTTTCTATAGTCTCCTTTCAGCCCACAATGCATTTGGTGTAAAATGAATGTGTTATTATGATGTATATGAATAATAGGCCTTCCACAACACAAAGTGACTACCGCTATTTTAATTGCTACATATAATATTTGACATAATGTAAAGTAAACCACTATTAGATAAATAGATTTTAAAAACATGTAAATCAATAAAAACCTCTTTCAATATAGATAGATAGATAGAATTCCACTGCTGAATATGGTTTTAAAAAGTTATTGAAATAATGTGGACTGATGGGTTTAACAAAAACGTATCGGTTATGTACCGGTGCCATTCTCTATATTCCCTATGAGTGCTTATGTACAGTGCTGGCCCGCGTTGCTGGCCACCTATTTACCCACTTATCTGGGTACCCCGGGAAACCCTGGGTGGTGTTGAAAAAGGGTTCCTGTAGCGTAAGCTAATTTACGCAATACTAGAGAATCTCTCGTAATAAGAGATGTGTCAGTTACCAAACAAAAACCTTGGTTCTCTAGAAGAGGGAACGAGTATTGAGTAACCAGCCGTGCTCGCGCCAAGAGCGATATTCGCTTCAATATATGCTACACCACGCCCATTCTGGCGGGCTATGACGCTGTGAAGGCGCCAGCGCCCTTAATTGGACGTGATGTCACATCTGGCTCACGGTCGGCTGTGCAGTTCCAGCAGGGCAGCCTATGAGCATGCTAGACAGCCTGCTCTATGTCTGCTAGCTGCTGCACTGTGTTCACAATGAATTACAAATGTATATACCAGGATAATTTTTTGGCTTCAATATCTCGAAAAGATTAATCTTTCCCCGTAGCGTAAGCTAACTTGCGCAATACGAGAGAACGTCTCGTAAGAGAACATATACCATCATTTAACAACCTCGTAACGCGCACTCACAGCAAGTCTGTCTTTAATAGTTTATAATTGTAACAGACTGTTTGATTATTTCCGCTGACTCGCTCTGAAACTCGGGCTTGGCTGAGAATGGAAAACTTGAAGCGGAGTTGTACGCGAGTGATTACATTATCTGTCGCTCTTCTCCACTTGTATCCGATATTACAGTCCGGAATTTATTATTTTCCGTGCTCGTTGACACCATAGATTGACACACGCAAAGCTTGACGCTTGCAAGATATTTTAAAACGTTCTGAAACACAAGTTACTTGATATGAATTATTTATTATTGGACTATAAAATAAATGTTACTCGCAATTTTTATTTTGCTGAAGTATTTTTTAGAGACCAGAAGCTCTCTTATTCGCGTGATACTGATTAATTAAGCATTTTCGAAAGCAGGGAGAATACAGAGTTTAGCATGACTTTTTAACAGCAGTCTCAGATCACACAGGTGGATTCGAATGACAGTTGAATTAACTGGGTCACAGCTTTCAGATAGATTGTCGTATACAGCTGATACACTTGATGAACTTTTAATGCAGATGTGTGGTTAGACTTAAATGTTGTTAAATGAAATAAAAGATGAATCCTCGGATATGCTGTCAATGAAATGTTATCAGCTTAGACTAATATAAAGCATTATTTCTATCTCAAAGCATGCTGACATGGCTGTGCCTCAAACCCTAGTAAACTGACCTACGCGTTCAAACGTGTCCAAAATGCTCCCTAAGTAGGCATCTCGTTTTTTAGGACACAGCCATTGGATGTGTTGGACTAATGCCAACACTAGACACCTCGTCCGAGGGGTGAGTTATAAGTATTTGTTTAAAGGCACCTACCATATCATAAACGTTCAGAATAACCGGCTCGTTTGCCATCACAGGTTGGTATCGTAATGTGTTTTTCTTTCACTTTAGCTACTGCTGCTGCGGTTCTCCTCCTCCGTTTTTCTTTCAACTCTATTTCTTAGCACCCGGAATTATGTTTTCCCCCTTGTAAGCACCGCTGCTGCGTCCTCTTGACTTTTGCTGGATTAAAACAGTTTAGAGACATCTATGAGCTGGTCCTGAAAGGGGTTTTCATTGATTGAATTTTTAGGCCACTTCTATTTAGTCCAGCTACAGGGAGTAGCGACGCTGCTAGGCTAACTGCCATTTAGCTTCTTGACCAGCGGAGGCAAAAATGAACGGCACACAAAAGATAAAAATATCCGTGAAGTCTCAGCCATTCAGACGACGAAGTGATATTTACAGTGAACGGAAATGAAAGCAGATCTACTTAAGATAAAAAGGAAGACGTTTAGCACCAGCGATGTGAGCAGCCTCCCCCGTTTTATGTCTGATGATAGTGCGGGTGAACTGAGTGCGCGTGCCTGATGATGCTGCCCAGCCTCACAGCAGTGCATTACTGCCACTCTGATGCTTTTATAGAACAAAACACCCTCCACACACCATTACATTAATGTATCTTATCGATATTCACCCTTACAGTGTTAAAACCAAATATGTCAACATTTTACTAATACATATTTATTGATAAAGTTTTTTTGTGGAATAGAGAAAAACTGTATGTGCTTCGCTTTGTGTTTGGGAAAGGAATGAGAATGACAATTAACACTTGATTATAAAATAAATGTATGAGAGTTTCAGATTACTTGCAAACCAGATTGTATCAGAAGAGTGTGCTGTAGACGAAAAAAATTGTTTCCATTTCAGAATTGCTTAACTGATATCTTGATGACACTTTCTGATGTAAGAGTTATTACAATTCATATCCAAAATATTAACACCTCCAATAACAAGTTTAGGAGTCTGCCACAACACTGACTTGTAACTGAGATATGCTTTCACAAGCTGAAGCAATTTAATGGAAATGTTTTTAACAATCATATGGTAATCTCTACATGTAGATTCAATCCCTGAGAGAGCAAAAAATTGTTGATAATTATAAATCAGACCATTACAATTTAAGTCGGAAATAAAAATAATTCCCTTATCAAACCATTATTTTTTTACATAATACTTTTGCTTTTAGATAATACATATTTATATTACATGTGTGAGGGGAGAAATTGTTTAAAGGCTATTTCCCATACATCTAGTGATTGCTTGTGAAAATTAGATAATTTTACGGGAAGTTTACTAAATTTAAAGTCACATGATAATAAAAAGTTTAACCACATGCACTTTTCAAAAAAACAAATTGGGCCAGGCAATGTTTTATTCAGTTGGTTTTAAAAATGGTGTTAAGAGTACTGAAATCAAGAACGTTGAGCCTGCCATTTTATTGATTATTAAATATCTGTTATTTTCAGGAATAAAATAGCATGAAATAGATATGAATAGCGGTAACACTTTACAATAAGGTTCATTAGTTAACATTAGTTAATGTATTTACTAACATGCACTAACCATGAGCAATACATTTGTTACTGCATTTGTTCATCTTTGTTAATGTTAGTTCATGAAAATACAGCTGTTCATGTTAGTTCACGGTAATGTTAACAAGATTTTAATAAAGTATTAGTAAATGTTGAAAATAACATTAACAAAGATTAACAAATGCTGTATATGTGCTATTCATTCTTAGTTCATATTAACTAATGTAGTTAACTAATGTTAACTAACGAACCTTATTGTAAAGTGTTACCTGAATAGCTTACCTTTGGATTCCATTTGGACTGCAAATACAGCATGAAAATCACAAAAGCTGAGTGAAAAAAACACACACAAAAAACACAAAGAGCATGTTAAGTTTCTGCCATCAAGTGGTCAAGATCATCAACTACAAATAATAAACTGTAAACTATCTACGAATTATTAGCATCCAAAAATAAGCTTCAGTACGACAGACCTATATTAATGAGTAACATAATTCTTGGAACTCCTATTCATAATTTCGTAGGCTTGGTCAAGGTTACCCAGTTTTTAAGAGTTGTGAACAAAACAGGTCCTGTAATTCTAATAGAAATGTTATGAATATAAATACATTCCATTTTCTTTCATTGCTAATAAACCACATGACTACTCATATCGCCTGAATTAATGATCTGAAAAGATAAAATTGCACTGAGATCCCCAGGCCTCTTCATGATGCTTCTCATCAACTATAGATTTCCATGTTTGGGCCTCATGAAGGCAAGCTACAGACCCAAAGGAAGGTTTTGTTTCAACAACACACTTCCAAAAATCTGATGCATGGTTGCATTGAAGTAGTCTTTTCGATGAAAGTTCTCTTACACTATAAGTTTGCATCAACACTGCGCACATATTTGTCTCCATCAAAGAAAATAAAAATATCAAAACAGTTGGACAGTACATCCACTGTACACTGTAAAAAATGTTTTAGATATTTGTTATCACAACATTTTTTCTTTTGTCAAATCAAATAATTTATTTAGTTCAGATAACTTATTATTTTGAGTTTCTGATGATTCAATAAATCTCCTTCATTGAATTAACTCACTTTTTTCTAGTTCAATCAACATAAAATTTTAAGGCAACCAAGGTTACTTAATTTTTTAAGTTAAACCCACAATATTTTTTTTTTCCAGTGTATAACAATCTTCTTCCTCAAAACAGTATGTGTGGCTCATATTGCTAATTGTTTCTTGTGAGCTGTGAGACTTTAAGAGAACTCATGACTATCATCAGTTACCTCACATGTATTTCACTGGGAGAAAAACTGATCTGTCATGGCATGCAGTCCTCATAACATAGCTGCCTTGTAGTTGTTGTTTTCAAAAATATGTTAATAACTCCATGACAAAAACAACACAGTGCTTCTCATTTATCTCAATTGCTGATCAAAATTACAGCATCCATATCTAAAAAATACACAGGCCTATGACAGATTCTCACCAGATCCTTTGATGAATTTCTAAGCACAAACCTGCAAACGACATATTGAGAAAATGATTAAGCAATGCGTGGTTATGTGGTTGAATTTGTCTGTACAAGAATCTTTAAATGGTATGCCATTTAAAGCACTCACAACAGATCAGTGTTGTTTGTCCTTAGTCTACATCCTCATAAATGCTAAAGGTCTGAAAGAAAAGATACTCTCAATAAATATGACACTGCATTATATATATATATATATATATATATATATATATATATATATATATAAATACTTGGCTTATGATGAGCAAATGTAAGAGAATATTTAATTATGTGAAAATAGCATTACTGTATATACGGAAAAAGCTGCTACACATTTAAATAGAGACTAAATTATATTTATTTAATATGTCAAATGTTTGTAAAGTCGTGTAACCTACAGCCATGAACCTTTTATGCTGAAAGATTTAACTGAATGATTTTTTTTTCTTTTTTTTGTCCGTGGGATACCATGGAAATGAGTATTAGTTCAATAACTTACCTTTCTGTCAGTTTTAACCTGCTAATAACAGTGATGAGGAATGATACAGTCTATGGTATTTTGTTTTTTTACAGTGCTTGAAACCAATACGGAAGTAAATTAAACTGTAATTCATCGACTGGCCGTTTGAGGCTGGGTGCAAAAGTGAGTCAAATCTGTATCTCCCCCATGTTAAGGTTAAAATGTTAAAGGTGATTTTAGTCTATATAGCTAATTTTGCCCTTGTGGTTTTGCCATAACTCTATCCCTCCACCCATAGATTAGATCGTGAACGTCTAGAGAGGGGGAACTGGACGTCATTTGGCTCTGCAGTGAGAGAACCGTGGAGACGCTGGTACGCAAGCGGTGCTCCGCCCTCGGTGTCTCTCAGGTGCGCGGCTGTACTTGTGTCGGAGAAGCATTGCGGAGCTGCAGGGAGAGCAGAGGGGATACAGTCATGTCAGACAGCGGGAATGCTCAGTCACTGGACGAAGTATCCCACGGCGAGGATAGTACGAGCCGGGTGACGAGCCCAAGTGTGGGCAACAGAGTGACCGTGGTGCTCGGAGCGCAGTGGGGCGATGAAGGGAAAGGAAAGGTGGTGGACCTGCTGGCTCAGGACGCTGACATGGTCTGCAGATGTCAGGTTAGTTTATGAGCAATATAATTCAGTAACTTACTTAACGTTACTCAGAATATGCGAATATATCTCCGGTGGGTTGTGTAGTTGTGATGCGCTGTGTAACTTACATCATCAACAAGCTTGTACGGAAATATGCATGGCATCAGTGAGCAGCCTCTGTAGTATGGACATGAATGTTCAGTGCTGTGAGTGTTCGTGTAGCATGTGATTATAGAACTTGTTTGATGGCCAATTCTTGGGAAGCAGTTAGCTGCTGTTTTATTTTAGCGGAAATGGAAATTACAGCGCGCTTCCATTATTATCGACTACGCTAGTCGTGTGCACGCGAGCGACGTTAAATAAAATGCAGCGCTTCCTGCGTACTGTTTTAGCTACGCTAGCAGTGCACTATGTAGGGTGTTTGCTAATGTCACCTTGACTGAATTATGTGATATCGAAGTGCTGTATGCCCATTGGAGGCCTGAAATCTTAGATATTATTTTGTAGGCTAAATATTGGATTATCCGGGGTGTTCTGGACAGATGTAAACACAGACCCAATTGTCTATGACGTTCGAATATGTGGTAATTATGAGTATTACAGTTAAACCATATGTTGTTGTAGGCTAATTGTTAATAATTAAAGTAATGGTTACTCAACATTAACCTCCAGCTATTTGATTTTCTCCCGTTGTCTCGTGTTATAAATGTTTACACATCCTGCGGCTCACTAATTGTTCAGACATGATGTTCTACAACTTTGGTCAGCCTTTACTAACATTTAGCTATACTTTCAATCATTAGAATAGATTTGTGTTTAAAAATAACAATTAAATTGGGTTTATATTTTATACAAAATATAACATCAAACAACCACCTGTAAAACCTCATGTTCTCATAAGTCAATAGCCTACTTCATATAGCCTAGCCTACATTAAACAGAATTATTAATAGCATGTACACACTTGAAGGAAACATTTATTTGTCTTTAGAGAGGGAAGAGGTAAAAAATGTAACAGTAGACTTTTGATTTCATCACTGTACTTTTAGTTTGTACAAACACTTGACAGTTGTTTTTGGCCATCTGATGGTGTTGTTGACCCATATGACTACTCAAGAATCAGTGACCTCTTAATACAAGGTTTCCATGCTCATGAAAAACATGGTAATATAATTTTAAAATGGTTGTTTCCATCAATTAAAAATATCTATTGTTAAACAGCTCAGGTAATAAAGTAGTTTACATAGCATATTGCTCCATAATGTGTCAACACATCTCCTATTGCACGTCAGAAAGTAACAGCCGGTGTCACTATAATAGCCTTATGAAATTTGGACTGCTGTGCTCTCACTTAACCAAGAAACACACACGTATGCATCTGTTCTATTATTTGATTATTATTATTTTTTATTATTTGCATACAGTTTTTAATAAAAAATAGATTTGTGAAGAAAGGACTTTTAGGGACAACTGGGCAAATTGTTGTGGTATACTTGCCCCATTGGTTGTGTCGTGTTATGTGTTATGCTTGAGAGCACACATTGGTAGCAGGCCGATTAACGCCACTCCCGTCGCTATGCTTGGAATTGATAACAGGCTCACATTGCAAGGATTCTCTCCTAAGAAGTTAGTATTCAGACACTCAATGGCACACTATGCAAACTGTCATGTGTGTGCTGTGCAAACGGATGGAACAGAAATCAGATAGTGTTCGTCTTTTTATAAAAACACTGCACTCAGCAGTATGACTGGTTTTCCTTACGGGCAGATGCAATGGAAGAAAGGCCGTCATGCTGTTCCGTGTCACACCAATTTTGTATGTCGGTCCAGAAACTAGAGGATCAAATATGAAGCAGTGTCAACAGCCATTGCAGGCTGTACCTCTTTTTGTGATATCCAGTTTATTTGCAGATTAAACTCTTTTTTTTATGTAAACCTAATTTGTGTGGTTAAATCTGTTTTACTAGAACAATATTGGGAAAAACAAATCAAGTTGGTTTTTGTGGCTCTCTTCTTTATGGTTTTCCGGGCATGTGGGCTTGTTAAATGTTTTAGATTTAAACCAGTCACTCTATCATAACTTTTACAGTATAATTAATTACAGATCAATGATGCCGCAACTAGCTGCTATCTTTAGCCGAGCCAGGTATACAGGAATGTACTGAAATCTTTGTGAGCTTGGCCTACTGTATAACCGTCTATAGAAGTGTTAATGAATATCTTTTAGTCAAGCTACACTTTTGGTATCACATTTCTTTCTTGATCAGCCACTGTAAGACCCAAGTCTGACGAGAATGAACGCTCTGACAGATAAGATATATCGATACAATTTGCTGTATTGACTCTGTAATTGACACAATTTGTTTCAGACAATATATCGCTCACTTATTATTTTAACTTCAAAGTCTTAACTTATTTTAAACATAAATCACAGGCATGTCTGAATTATCTGCTTGATAATTCAGTCTCTGTGGAGATCTCTTGACTGCAGTGACTGAGTGTTGTGGTGGTCAAGCATGCTAACTGTGTAATGTGCAGCTGTTTTTATCAGTGAGTTCAAGTATGCTGGCCTGCTGATAATTATGCTGCCGATTTAAACCTAGTGTTAATCAATTAGACCTTAATGGAGAACTCCGGCGCAAAATGAACCTTTGGTCTAATAAAACATTGGTACCTAGTCATCCGTGCTCTGAGATTTGTTTTCATGATAATCGAATGTAAAGAGTTTCATCTCTAAAAACTGTTTAGCGTATAATGCTATACTGGGGGTATTACTCTTACTAAGTAAAAGAAATCGCTAGTTTATACCACTAACAAGCCTCAAAATAGCCCCACACTAACACAGTAACGTAATGAGGGTCCATACATGCAAAACGAAGCATTGAGAACTTTGTAACTGTACAGACCGTTTTATAAGAAGATATTTTATAAAGACAGTCCACTTCGTGTATACAGACAGGAGCTATCTTTGGAAAACAGCCTCGACAAGTCAAACCACGAACATCGTGCTGAGTGAGCTGAACTGTATGAAGTTCGGCGAACTTCTGAACTGTATGAACGGCGTTTGGGGATCGACTTATCAAGACTATTTTCTAAGATGATAAAAATGTAATCATACATACTCTCTGACTCTGTATACTCCCACACAAAACAAACCAAGCCAGATAGAGCGCAATATTATAATCTCACCAGAGTCAACATACAAGACTATATTCAATCAAACTAGTTTTTGGTTCTGTACTTTTAATGCTGATGGAATGCCTGGTGCACTGTGTCATTGTGCGTGATAAAGTGATAACTCTGCTAGTAATCCCTGTCAGTTTACTCAACCTCTTGTTCCTCTTTAAACAGACATTGGAGCAGATCACTCACTGTTAGTCTGCTAGGTTTGGAACACTGGATGTCATCCAACACAGCCTAAAAGAGTGTCATGAGAACAAATGTGACAAACATCATATGAAAGTAATTTTCTCTGAAACAAACTATACTGGAAGTAATTTCCCTAGAAGCCACATCTAATAATACGGTGTAGTGTGGTTACAAATTTGCATTAAAGTCAAGATGAAATCAGAATTGATCCTATTTATTTACTTTATACAATGTGTCGTGCACTGTTTTTTGGTGCTGAACATTCCAAAGGAAAAAATAAAAATATATTTGCTGAAGTAACTGTATTGGGATCAGTTTTCACAATTCCTTCTCTTCCCAATGGAGTCAATATAGAACAGATGAATACTTTAGTACTATGCTGTGAGTATTTTGCTCACAGAAACATCACATTCCTTACATGAATCCAATGCTTCTCAAGTTTCTAAAGTGTCAGCATGCTGCTATTAACAATATGATGGATCGGGTCAATCTGTGCTTAAATCTCCTTGATTTAAAAGCAACCTTGTAATAGGAGTCCATAATAGTAATGCTAAAGCAAGCAACGCTTTTGGTCACCATGGGTATGAGAACATCGTAAATGGATCTAAAAAAGGAGAGGCATCCACACGCATGCACTACTAAACTGGTCAAACGAGACCTGCCTGGAAATAGCTCTGCACTTTTCCTTGTTGGATTTATTGAGCACACTTTATGGGAACTCCCTCAGACTTGGCATGAGGTCAGAGCTGATCGACACCATGTTGAAAACCGACACATGTGATGATTCTTAAGGATGGGAACAGCAGTTGACGTACCAAGTGTGTGTTGTAATCTATGGTTTCCCTGCTCTTTAGTCATGTGTCAAGTTCAACAAGTATGGAATCTCGTAATGGCTGTTCAATTGAAAGTGAAACAATTGAAACCTTGCAGAACTTGAATGTGTGTCTGAAGTCCTTCCTTATGTTGTCTAATGGAGCAGTAGAGCTATTCTCACATTAAATCCACACCTAACAACCAAAATCAGTGTTTTCATGCTTCAAATTTTCCATTTCACAACTGCTTGTCTAAGCATGTCTGTACCATACCATAGGAATGCTTGATGTAAGCTATGAACAAAATAACTTTGAGGTACCTAAAAAATATTGAAGTGCATTGATTTCCACTGTATGGAAAAAAAGCATTGAGGCATTTCTTAAAATATATTTTATGTTCTACAGAAAAATAAAGTCACAATGTTCTGGAATGATATGAGGGTACAACATTATGACAGAACTTCCCAAATTTGTATTATTTCTTCTCAAGGATTGAAAAGTCGTTGTGTTCTTCTCTCCTGTAGGGGGGCAACAATGCAGGACACACGGTTGTGGTTGATTCAGTGGAATATGATTTCCACCTTCTACCCAGCGGGATTATCAACCCTAAGGTCACTGCGTTCATTGGTGAGTATGTTAAATTACCCCACTGTTTTTGAGTAGTGTGGCTTGTATGCAACCAGTACAGCATAAAGGTCTGCATTGGTGGTCCCTACTTTGAGGATGCCACCCTCTCCTGTTAGAGTGTCTGGATGCGGGCCAGCTTATCCAGACTAATATAGCTGAGTGCGTTCAATGCAGTTTATTTGCAAAGATCCAATTTTGCTAATGGCCACCATTGTGTTCTGGCCTTCTGATTCATATGTCAGCGCTGTATATTAGTATGATCTATAGGAAATGCTTGATGTTCCTAGTACAAAGCACTTTACCACTTAATGCAAGCATACTCAGCTTGTACAGGTTTACTATTTCTTACCTCTTGTTCCATGTTTTAAGATTTCACACTGTACAATTTTAAAGCCTGCTAATGTTTTATTAAATTCATTTTCTATATTATACAGTGTAATAACAAAACCAAGAGAGCAGGTAACATTTGTACTAGTGGCTAAAGGCTGAACATTCATTTTTTAAAACACTAATTCGACACAGCCAGGAGACAGGTAAACTGTTTCACCTTTTTTTAAGGGTGAAAGTTCTTTTTTGCATATATGCAAAGTTAATAATGTTCATTGGACAATAATTGCATGTCCATCTGTGGAAGTTTTGCCACTGAAACTGAACACAGAATGACACAAGAAACAAGTTTCTGTGCATGAATATTAATGAGGTAAGTTGTCTGTTGCTAAACGACTCATTGTAACGTTCTAGCGCCGCATTATTTAACACTCCAGGGTTAAAATTGGCCTTTTTCCCAGGGAAAAAGATGCTGTTAAACTCATGGTTAAAGGAGTAAAACTTTAAAAAAAAAACTTTTGCTCATAATTTACTCACCCCCCATGTCATCCAAGATGTCCACGTCTTTCTTTCTTCAGTCGAAAAGAAATTAAGGTTTTTGATGAAAACATTCCAGGATTTTCTCCATATAATGGACTTCAATGGGAACCAAACAGTTCAAGGTCCAAATGAGAGTTTCAGTGCAGATTCAAAGGGCTTCAAACGACACCAGACGATGAATAAGGGTCTTATCTAGGATCCTTCGAGTCATGACTCGAAAAAAGATTTGTTCATTTTGATGAATGAGTTTTAACAGGAGAGTCACGAACGCTCATCACAGAACTGAGCAAGGCGAGCATTTGAGCTTATAAAACTTAAACTTTTTTATTTATGTTTGAAATGATTGATCGTTTCGCTAGATAAGACCCTTATTCATCATCTGGTGTCGTTTAAAGCCCCTTGAAGCTGCACTGAAACTCTCATTTGGACCTTGAACTGTTTGGTTCCCATTGAAGTCCATTATATGGAGAAAATCCTGGAATGTTTTCATCAAAAACCTTAATTTCTTTTCGACTGAAGAAAGAAAGACATGGACATCTTGGATGACATGGGAGTGAGTAAATTATCAGCAAAAGTTTTTTTTTTTTTAAAGTGAGCTTCTCCTTTAAGTGTAGTGTGAAAGCCCTGATATTGGACCGTGTGTGACTGACAGCTGCTCATTTAATTACAGGTAATGGTGTAGTCATTCACCTGCCGGGTCTATTCGAGGAGGCTGAGAAGAATTTGCGGAAAGGAAAAGGTTTGTGTTTATCTGTTTGTGCCCTTGTGCTTTATATTTGAGTTTCAATGAGTATTGACTAACAGTGATTTTGCTTGCAGGTCTGGAAGGCTGGGAGAAAAGGCTCATCATCTCTGATCGTGCACACATCGGTAGGCTGATGGCTCTCATGATATATAAACACTATCAGATCCCTGAATTACATTCAGAGCTACAGGCAAAATGTGGCTTTGTAGGGTTGTAAACAATTTGATTTGATTACAGTGTCATTGCTAAATAATGTGATCTGGTCAAAATATGATTTGATTATTTTGTATTTGTAGTTATTTTTAAAAATGTGCTGAATACACTTGCACTATCATTCAAAAGTTTGTTTTTGAAAGAATTATCTTGTGTACAGAGCCCTTAAAGGGACATGGTGATGGAAACTATGAGATGGGAGGGGAAAAAATTACAATGCTCTTGCATTCCCCCAACAAACTTTGGGTTCCCTCAAACCCAAAATGTTTTGCTTTTCTTTGAGAAGCGCAAACATTTGCGAGAAAACACAAAAGCATTGACTTATCTCATATCCCCGCTCCACCACCATGTTCCTTTAGGGCTCCATATTTATGTTCATTGGCTGCTTATTTGCATCAATCTGAATGGTAGTGTGTATGTAGTTTGTAAGTATATGAAGTACATTGGGGGTTTTGGATTTTGACATTTTTCTTACAACAAATACTTGATCGTGAAATTTAAGATTACATTTTGAAAGCCACCATTTATCTCCACATCCAACGTGTATAACTGATGTCCATGAGATTGTCATAATATTTGTCTTCTTTACATATACATCCATTTATAGCACACTTTGCATTGTGGAATATTTCTGATGTAATGAAAGCCTAAAGCTAAGCCCAAACTTTAACACTGTTCTTTTGATGCCTTGCAAACACGGGCATTTCCTTCTGGAACAGCAAATCTAGCTAGCTATCTAAAATTCTCCAATTAATGTGTTGAAATTGTATTTGATTCTTCAATACTTTTTTATGTTTGTTATTTTGTTTTTAGTTTTTGGGATTTGAAGTGGGCAGATACCGCTCTCAAATGTCACATAATCAAAGAGTCTCTAACAACTTAATGGAATAGCATATCCAGTGAAATGAATGGTGTTTGAATTGCTATGCCTTTAGTGTATTGTTCTGAGACTCTTAGCAGGAGCTGTTGTAATGAAAGGACACTGGGATCCATTGTAGTCAACACAAGTGTTGTTATGGTGACCTGCTTTGGCATGTTGGGTTCAGAGCGCCGAGAGATGAGTTCCAGCACAGTAGTGCTCTGTCTCACTGTAATGTATACACTCTCCTGCCTCTAGTGTTTGATTTCCATCAAGCTGTGGATGGAGTCCAGGAACAGGAGAGGCAACAGCAAGCTGGCAAAAAGTAAAAACCCTGCTTTATGCACACGCATACAACACATGTTATGACAAGAGATCATAACAAAAGAAAAACTGCTTTGAGACGTAGTAGAGGCTTTTCTAACTTCTCTGCTTGATCTTAGTAGCTGACTGGTTTATCTGTATTTTTGCAGTTGTTTTATAATGGACAAATGAGATGATGTTCTAGACTTGGATAATACAAGCACGTTCCTATCTTCGAGGTGTTTTTTTAATGTGAAATAAATGATATATAGTTATAAATAATTATGTCTTGCAAAGTTAAAAGAACATATTTTTTAATCTTAATACCTAATATTTATAATATACATAATATTTATCTAATATTAAATATAATATTGGCTAATGTGGATTTTCCCTGACAAAGTAACACAAGTTAACTTTAATCAGAGCCAAGTAAAGAAGCTGAATATTTCATAGTCCCTCTTATATTAAAACATATAGACTTAAAATGTAATGTACAAATAAATGATTATGTACATCAATAATAATTCACTCAGTGTGTTCTAATGCAAGAATCATAAGAAGAAAATAGTCTATTATTCTTACATTCAATTTGTTAACATAAAGAGAACCCTTTAGAAAAGCTGTTAATCAGTACTCCTGTTTTCAGTGTCACATGATCCTTCATAAATCATTCTAATATACTGATTTTCTGCTCAAGAAACATTTCTTCTTATCAATGTTGAAAACTTTATCATTAATATATTAAAGTTGTAAAAATTGTGCTTAATATTTTTCTGGAGAAAGTTCAAAAGAACATTTATCAGTCATAGAAACGTAAGAAAATGATTTTGAAAACTGTCACTTTTTTATCAATTTAATGCATTCTTGTTGAATAAGAATACATTTCTACCCCAAATATTTGAATTGTAATGTATGTAATTAAAATATAGTCACTTTTGTAAATATCAGTGTTTCTGTGGGTCCTAAAAAGTCTTAATTTGCCCTTACACAAAGTAAGACCTTAAAAAGATCTTGAATGAGAGCAGAAAGTCTTAAATTCATAAATTATGGCGTTAAATGCTGTATGCATTGCAAAAAATGTATATCTTTTCCTGTTTTCCCATATAAATATTTTAACGTCCTTAAATTAAAATGCATTCACTTGAGATGCAAATGAAAAAGTCTTAAAAAAAATTGAAAAAGTCTTAAAAAATTTAACAAAATTAAGTCATGCTTAAAACAAGAACAAATATCTTTCATTGTGTTGAAAACGAATGAATTAGAATTAAGTTGATTTTTTTTTCTCAGCGCAATGGCAGATATTTGTTCTTGTTTTAATCTCAATTTAACATTAACATTAATTAAACTCAAAATTAAAATGATTTAAGACTTTTTTTTTTGTCAAATGAATTAAAAAGAAATCGATATCTGATGGAAGTCGTATTTTCAAACTCTGAAGTGTTGCTAATACCTCTCATTGTGTTTCTCCCTAGACATTTACTCTTAGAGAACATATGTACGTATTGTGTACCCTTCAATTTAGCCTTTCTTTTTATTTGGTCTTAAATTTACCTTCATAAAACCTGCAGAAACTCTGAATGTCACAGAGTGTCCCTGCTCTGTGTATCTATCTACTTAGGGGTCCCTGAAAAGGTCACAGACCCCTGTTTTAAAGCATTCACATACACCCAACATGGAAAGAGTCTTATCTATTTAATGCACATGAATAGCACTCATGAGTCTCACCTTGTTTTTGTTTCACCATCTAGTTTGGGAACAACTAAGAAGGGAATCGGCCCCGTGTATTCAGCAAAAGCAGCTCGCAGTGGCCTGAGGATATGTGACCTTCTGGCTGACTTTAAGGATTTCTCAGAGAGGTAAGGGTGTGCTTGTTACCTGTCAACTGAACTTAACTCAACTATTTTACCCATTCATGTCACATTCTATAGATGGTGTAACCTCACCCTCTGTAAAAACACTTAATCCAGTTCTTAATCCATAGAAACAATGGAAGAGCAATTGATCATGCTACAAGCCTATCACAGTGTAAACTGAGCAGTCTCATGTCTCTTTGCACAGATTTAAAAATTTGGCCTCGCAGTATAAGTCTATGTACCCTTCACTGGAGATCGATGTGGATGGGGAACTTGCGAAACTCAAGGTGAGAAGCTTGGATGTTCAGGTTATTGTAAAGGAGGTAGAGATGCACAACATATGAGTATCATATCGGTTATCATGGCACTCTTTCTGACATTGATTTTTTTCCAGACATATGTAGATAGGATAAAGCACATGGTGAGAGATGGAGTCTTCTTCATGTATGAGGCACTACATGGACCTCCAAAAAAGATCCTGGTGGAAGGCGCCAATGCTGCCTTGCTGGACATTGACTTTGGTGAGTAATGGATACACCGAAACACACAGCCATGTGTAACGTAAGATTATGCAATTTGCTAACCAGCGGATTTCCTGTTGTAAGCTTCACTCCTAGTATTATTGTAATAATTTATTTTAATACATTTAACTTATATTTGCTTATATTTATTCTTCACCTTATCAAAAAAAAATTGTATTATAGTTCTTAATGTTTTTATTTTTATGGTTACTTTATTGCACCTAATTAAAAAAAAAATTTAGACATTGACAGAATGTTAGATGCCTGTTTCTGTACAGTACATACAGTAATGAAGATAATTGTCTAAAGCTTTACAAACACATCAGACACTTCACACATTTTATTTAAATTTGTTTTTAATTTAATTGTTTATTTTTTATTTTATTTTATCAAAATAGATTATACTTAGCTTGTATTTATTCTTCACTATATACAATATAATCAATATAATTGATTATTATATTGTCCCTTCACGTTTACACTTTATTTCTATGGTCCACTTTAGGCATTCTGCTAACTATGAGTAACTTTGCAACTATTGTTAACTAGGTCTCATTAGAGTATTAGTAGACTGTTAGGGTTAGGGTTCAGGTTTGTAGATATATTTGACAAGTAGTTGCAAAGTTACTTATCGTCAGTTGAATGTATGTTGGCGGAGCATCAAAATAAAGTTTTACCGGATATTAAGCAGACAGTCTACAATCACTCTGAGATCTAGTTGACATGTAGTTGTACAGTTACTTATAGTTAGTAGAATGTTTAAATAAAGTGTTACCCATTTCACTGACACACAGCATTGATGTGATGCTCTTTTTTTAGGGACATATCCTTTCGTGACTTCCTCAAACTGCACTGTGGGAGGGGTGTGTACGGGTCTGGGCATGCCACCCCAGAACGTTGGTGAAGTCTATGGAGTAGTCAAAGCCTACACCACGAGAGTTGGGATTGGGGCTTTCCCTACTGAACAGAGCAACGTAAGCAGCTCTTTTATTTCTTGCAGTGTTTGGATACGTAATGAGCTCTCACTACTGTTCATATCCCCTTGCATTCAAGTGTTTTCTGACTTTCTGACTTTTTTCTGAGTCCGGAGGAACAGCAGTCAGTAATCTATAATGCTACATGACAATGAATATATTATGTATGAGAAATTTAGGCAACACCTTAGTTTGTTACACATTGTTTACACATTGGCTGTTTATTAGTACTTATAAAGTACATATTAATGCATTATTCTGGATGACCATATTCTACATCTCTTAATTCTACTTCATATCTAAACTTAACCATTACAATAACTAAATAAGGAGTTGGGGGAAAACTCGTACAGTAGTTAATAATGAATGTGTTCCCCAAACTAAAGTGTGACTGACATTTATGATATCCTGTTCCTTATTACATTTCATTTCAATGGCTTAATATGTGCTTATAAATAATAGCAGGGTTCATGAGGTCATTGAAAACCCAGAAATATTAGGATTCTACAATGGAAATTAAGAAAATCGTAAAGCCATGGGATAGACTTGGAAAAGTCTAAAATTGTCTTGTTTTTAGTTACTCTCTAATGAAATATACGACTTTATATTATGTGTCTTTACTATACACTTACATAAAAGGAAAATTAACTGTTGGGTACAATGCACTTATTATGCATTGCAAATCACTTTAGCTGCCATTGAGGTGGATTATAGGTGAGGTTAGGGACATGACTGGTTGTATGGTTGGGCTTAAGCGTGGGTTAAGGGGTAAGAGAAGGGTCAACAGTTTTGTAGACTTCATAATTCAAACTGTCAAATATTTCTGTCAATACAGTAGATCAATTTAGCATTTTAACATTTTTTAGCAGAGACAGTGCACATTAATAAATATGACTTTAAATACATTTTTCTTCTGTAGTCACTGAAAAGAATGTTACAGGGTCACCCTAAAAACAAAATATGAAATTGAAATGACAAAATTATTAAAATAACACCTTAAAATAAGGTTCCATTTGTTAACATAATTTAACATTGAAAGAAAACTTCTATAACATTTACAGGTATTTTTAATTTCAACATTTACTAATACATTATTAAAATCAAATTGTATCTTTTAACATTATTTAATGCTCCTAAGCTAACACGAACTAACAATGAACAGTTGTATTTTTTTGTTTATTAATGCTAACAAAGATAAATAAATACTGTAAAAAAAATGTATTGCTCGTTATTTGTTAGTATTAGTTAATACAATTATTAGCGTAAACTAATGGAACCTATAAAAAGCTTGACTGTTTAACTTCTTTATTACAACTTTTCAGATATCTGTACAGACAAATACACAAAAAAATGAAATGTTGCACTTTATTCATACTATACTTGTTCGTAGGAAACCGGAGAGCTCTTGCAGACGAGAGGCAAGGAAGTGGGCGTGACCACAGGTCGCAAAAGGAGATGTGGTTGGCTGGATCTGGTGCTTGTTAAATATGCCCACATGATTAATGGCTTCACTGCGTGAGTGTTCACTGATGGTTTGTTTTTTAATTTGTGTTCTATAAAATATAGTTTTCTTATATGCATCCCTCTATGTGCCCTTCTAGCATAGCTCTCACCAAACTAGACATCTTAGATATTCTTCCTGAGATCAAAGTGTGTGTGGCATACAAATTAGATGGTGAAACCATCCCACATTTCCCAGGTAAGCAGCACATTTTTCACGTCACATATAGATTTGATCAAATCTAGTGTAGTTAAATATCATACTTTTTCCCCAGCAAACCAAGAAGTGCTACAGAAGGTCGAAGTGCAGTATGAGACTCTGCCAGGCTGGAATACAGATACGTCTGCTGTCCGGACCTTTGATGAGCTTCCAGAAAATGCAAAAAAATACGTCAGCTACATCGAAGATCAGTTGGGTGTGCCTGGTAAGACTTACCATCACTAGCACACATTTCTCAGGACTTGAGACATTCACACATTCTCCTTAATGAGTTAATTTCACATTCAAAATGCACTAAAACTACCAAAACACTTGATATACAGTGCCTCAAATCAAGTAATTTTTCCATAACTCTAGCAAAGATTGTCACCCAACGAACACACTCACTGATCTAAGGGGGTTTTCACACCTGGCTCATTCGAAGCATTTGTTTTGGAACATGATGCGTTTTTCAGTTCGTTCAGGCATATTTGAACATGGCAATCGTGCTCTCAGCATTATTGCAAACAAACTCTGGAGCGGTTCACTTGTGGTGAGAAAGCAATCCGACCCAACGGACCAACAAACCAGGCTGTATCACAATACATGATGGGATATATGTCGCATGAAAAGCAGCAATGTTTGTTTTTCTAATGCCTCTCAAAATGAATCGTGGGTTAACCTGGAGCAAAGACGATGTGAAATGCCTTATTGAAATTTGGTCGACGAACATATTTCAGAACAACTGTCCAAAACATATAAAAATACAGATGAAGCCTTGATTCTTGCTAAAAATGATAAAGTAATATAATGACCGCTAAAAAGAAAGCCACAGTCAACTGTTGTCTATCCATCCTGACTCATGACCACTATGAGCCGAATCCTGGACCATAAGTGGGTCAAAGCTGACCAATGAGACGACTCGTACTTGACTCGTGTTAACTTATGCCATGTTGCCTTGTGAAAGCAAACCAAACCAAGAAGAAATGAACAATTTTAATCCTTGTTTCAGAACAAAGTAAATGGTGTGAAAACACCCATTCACCATTATATATAGTTATGAGCACAAAACAGATTGATTAATAAAACAGATATAAAAAATAAAACTAATAATGATCACTGATGCAAATTTGGAATATACTGGTTTTCAGTATGGTATTACTATAGAAATGTTGCACATTTTTGTCTTATTCAGTTTTGCATTATGTTAGGTTTTGATCTTTGGTTTAACTATTTTGAAAAGAGAATGTAAACGTGCAAATTGGACTGTAGTTTTGCTGATGGTTCAATGTAATTGCAAAACAATTCATTTCATTTAAAAGATGTGGTCACTTAAAGCATTTTGTGCCAAAGCAATGATAAATAATCTACAGTTTAGCTCACATAGACTGCTGTTATGCTCTCTGTGTGAAGAATTTCGAAAAAGTGACCAAAGTATGAAAAAAAAAGGTTTCTAGAAAAGTTTGCATGAGAGGTTTTCAACTATAAACTACTTTTTTGTGTGCTTTTTGGCCATTATACGTGGGGCATGTTTTTGAAAACTATACTGCTATCGTGTTCGTGTAAACTACAAAAATGTGAATTTGTGAAAACGATGCGGATTACACGTTCAGGCTATAGGTATGTGTGAGTACTTGACAACCAAAACAACAAAATGGCCTGGCTTGCATGATACAGCGTTTTAGAAGTTTTTGCAATCCGTGTCAAGCTTTTTCGACAGCTTTGTGGTCTGTATGTGAAACTTTTCAAAAAAGGAAAGGAACATTTTTTTCCATTTTTGGCACAGTGTCGTCATGTAAAATTACTGTAAAGTGTGAATGTGTACAATGCAATGGGGTTGTTTTACTGCAGTAATCCATATGACTTCCTCCATGTTTTCTTCAGTGAAGTGGATTGGTGTTGGGAAGTCAAGGGAATCAATGATCCAGCTCTTTTAAGAGGCTGCTTGGCCTGCATGTAGCACTGGCTGGATTATGCCCTGGACTCGGGGACTCTGTGCCGGAGACGGGAAGTTGCCTTACAGCCCGTTTAAATAGAGTATTTCTCTATATTTTGGCATCATGTAACTGTTGCTCATCTGTTCTCTGGTATTTCAAGCTCTCGTAAGCTCAGTATCTCCATATTAAGTTCATACGCTGTACATGTGCTACTACTTCAAAGTCAGGCATCAGACGTTGTTATATATACATTTTTCACACAGCTAAAAGAAGTACTTTAACATTTTTAATGTTTTTGTTTCTTTTATCATACAAAAATGGTTATGCGGTGTGTATTGCCACATTTTGTCTTCGTTTTAAATGAACTGTATGGTAGACTTGTTCTAGTCGACTTTATTTAAACGTACAGTTTTTAAAAGACAGTTTAAATGTTTCTTTACCAGAATGATTACAATTCACAATTCAGAAATAAGTAGAAAAGCAGTAGAAGTGAAACGTTTTATTGGGACGTTTTCAAATTTGAATCTGTTTTAATCTGCTCCAAAAATAGTATAGAACAAAAAAATAATTATAATTTGCCTCAAGATACAGAAACATGCAAGAGTTTAAGAATACTATTATGCAGGCTAGGGTCTCGATTCTATTGAATGTATGTAAATGTTTGCACAGTCCTCAGATGTTTATTGTTCAACTGTACAACTTTATGCCACAAGCATATTAAAGCCACTTTAATTATCAGTACTGAGATATCGGGATACTGATGCCTTTCATTATAGATTGTCAAATTATAGACATTTATGTGCGTTGAGACACCACCTCAGGACGTATAATTCTGTTTAGCCAGTAAAACGCACTGATGATTAAACTTCTTCTATGGTTGCTAGCTGCTGCAGGAGGTCATCTGGTGTTCTGACCTCCAGTAGTACATTTATAGAACCTTGTTAAATGTTACAGGTGTTCCAAACAGTCGAATGTAAGAGTCACTAGAGCTTGTCTGTTTAAATATGACTGGGTTGTTTCATAAACCCAGATTTGCTTCTTTATTCTGTTTCGTCTCACCTTCAGTACTGCACCTTCCAATAAACAAGTAATATAGGAAAAAGTGTGCCTTGTTAATACAGATGAACAATGAAACTTGAAAACTACTTCGATTGAGCTTTTATGGATTTTAATTAACTTCAATATTTCAGCTTTTCGATGGCATTAGTGTTATTGCCATTTGCCAAAAGTGTACATGCATCCAAAGAAGTATCTGGATAAATGAATGCTGTGATATAAAGAGCCTTTGTAAATAACCCAGAATGATAACGCTTTTTTTTTCAGATTGATGATGGTTTGATCCTTTGCGTTTTCTGTTGCTGAATAAATGATATAACCGGTTTATTGTTCACTAGCGTCACATTTCACATCTTGTATTATCACAACATTTCCTCTGAATCAACCAAATCTAGTCGGTGCAAGGATAGGACAGCTGAAACATTCAACAACTGCATGTTTGCACATAAACATGTTTTTCTGTGTTTGAAACCCTTGAATTCTGTGTTGTATTGCTGCTGATTGGATTTTCGTGTATGTATATAACTTACAGAACACAAAGCCATATTTTCTTGAATTTACTGTTACTGTACACTTTGCTGGTGATGGATACTGATGGACGTGCATGTTCATAGTGGGATTTGCTCAAAAACTCACTCACTTTGTAATTTATCTTATCAGACAATGGATGACACTTCAGTTAATAAAGTAATCTAGTCAGAAACATTTTCCCGTTTTGTGTTTGCTTATTTTTAGCGGTATTTTGTCGAGTCGAGTCACCTTTAAATAGCATTTTATACAACATACAGATTGTTTCAAAGCAGCTTACATTGATTAAAGGAAAAGTATGCCTTTTAGCCGAGGAAGATTTGTTGAACTTGAGGTAGATTTGTAGGTGTTGCCATTTCCAGTGCCATGGAAATTTACGGCTCAAAATCTCGCCACTAGAGGGAGACATTTACCTTGAAATAGGCGTTGAAAGGTGACAATTTCAGTCCAATCATCTGTTTTAACGAAAAACAGCTCCGTAATTACGTTTGACAGACAATAACGTGTGATTTATAAAGAAGAAGTAGAAGAAGACTGTTCTTAGACTTTATTGAAGATAATTGAAGGTGATCATATGCAAGGCCTAGCTGAGATTAAATTTAGCTGTAAGCTGTTTGTTGATTAAAACTTTAATTTAAACGTTTTTATTAGCACAAAAAATTAGGTTGCACTGCACATTAGACATGGGAAAGTACATTTTTAGGTGCTCGTTTTTAGGCCATTTTATTTTCGTCACCACTTTTCGCTTTTCAACTTTTTTTTTAAAGCAATTTGTTTTCATATATCTCTTCATGTTAGTGCTCTTTATTGGCTATCCCAGGTGAAAAAGACGTACAATTAAGTGTATTAAAAATGCATTACATTATATTTGTATTGTACTAAAAACATATTTAGCAAGTACATTTTTAATACACTTAATTGTACGTCTTTTTTACCTGAGAAAGGCCTGCATGAAAAATAAAGCGTGCTGTATGGATGATTAAAGTAGGTTATCTTCAAGTAGCTACTGAAGATATTGGAACAGAAATGTTTTGTTTTCACATCCAGATCTATATGTTAGAGGTAGCCTATGTGTGTTGGCTTGTTTGGCTGGTAAAGGTGTCTGGATATAAATGTACACATATGTGCGATGTAGTAGGAGGTGACGACTGTGGTGAGAATGATGAGATCTCGTACTGTACACTCTGGAGATCCTGCACTCATTAGATATTCACTGCACTCATTTCTATTAACCATATCAGCCTAACCGGATTATCGTTTAGATCTTATTATTGATGCTGATTATATATTAAGGCTGTTGACTTTTCATACAATAATTTAAAAAACATTTCGATTTAGTGTTTAGTGTCTTTTAATTTGATTTATTTAATCACAACGGTGTCGCAAAAATCCAGTAAAGTATTAAGTTAAAATATGCATTATACTTTTTTCGTATTTTATTTCCAAATTTTTGGAAATATGACAAATTTGATGTTCAAAGAATGCTCGTTTTTATTTTTTATTTGATTTGACTGATTTATTAAGTCAACAACAAGTCTTTCACACAAAACAATCTTTAAAAACTATTGTTAATTGCATTAAAAGCTAGGCCTATTTTGTGTACAGAAAAACACTGCATTTCTTATAGTTTGCAGGGTCTTCACGTTAACACTAGTTTATGTATTAACTACCATAAAATAACAATGAGCAATACATTTGTTGCTGTTTGTTCATCATTGTAAACGATAGTTAATAGAAAATACAGCATTTCATTGTTTATATGTATAAATATAACAAATATCAAAAATACAAATAAAAATAGGGATGGGGCCGATCCGATCCAGTATCGGTATCGGGACCGATACCAGCGTAATTCACGTATCGGATTTTTCCGATCCAACCTGCGGAGAAATCCGATATTTATGATCCATGTCTGCGCTTTAACGTTGGCTGCTGAAATGACTCCAAAAGGGATTCCCCAGGGCTGCTAGTCTGCTAGCTGGCTGCAAACTGTGGAATGGATATCCTGAACGGAGGTGCAGCTCAATCATAGACTGTAAAAAATAGGGCTCAATGAGACACACAGACCCCCGCTCAAGAAATCCATTCCGCAGTTTGCAGCCAGCTAGCAGGATAGCATTGAGCTACCAATATGTTCGCTGTGTGGAAATCCTATGGTGGAAATACTTCACACTGGAAACACCGCAGCAGAGCAAGACAGCAAAATGCAATGTTTGCAAAGCCGTATAAATTAAACTATTTGTCTGTGATGCATGTTTGCAATTCGCAGTCCAGAAGAGAAAGAGAGAGAGATCTCTCACGCGGTGCCACAGCACGCACAACACGACAGCCCTGCTTAATGAGTGACGACAGAGAAAACATAGCCTGGTTACACTTTAGATCTGTGATATTAGTCTGATTTCCAAAGATTAAAGAATATATTGAGGTTAAAAAAAAACATTAAACAATAGCCGCATTCTGTGTAGCCAACTTCCTTCCCATCGCGGCGGTGCACTGTCATTTCTCCGTAAAACTCAAACTTTAAGACAGAATCAGCACGATCGGTAATTGTTGTAAAATGCCGTCTCTGCTGTTGCTAAATTGCGGGACGCTTTTAATAATAACAAGAGCTATTAAAAGCACAAAATTTGCGCAAGAGGGCGGCGCGCGCTCCGAAACAGACAAGCAAATTATACTTTGGGCTTCATATGCGCGTCTAAACGATCAAATGTAGCCTGCACAAAAATGTCAAAATGACCGGCTTGGAGATTATCACTTAACTACGTTCATTTTAGACATAAACGGTTTATGGAAATAGTTGGGAGAAAATATGGTGCATCAGTAGACTATGAAATCCGCACTAGTTCTTAAAGGGGCAGCAGTATAAATGTGACGATTGCGACATTACTGAGAATAAAACAAAGGCAAAGAGAAAATCACTCGCAGCTCTTGAATGAATAACTTCAGCTTTAATAAGCATAAATCTATCTATGATAAACTTTGCAGTGCTATTTTACTTTTGATTACTTTATTATAATTCTTTTTAGACGATATACCTGAATAATGTTAGTAGACCTTCCTGAAATTAAAGCACTGTGTAGGCCTGTATAATGCGTATATCTTTGTTTAATTGTCTATCTATTGTTTAATATATCTATTATATATATATATATATATATATATATATATATATATATATATTGACATAGGCTACATACGTACATATCATCCTTGCTTGTAGAGAGGTGTTTATTTCAGCATCATATAAAATCAACAATAATGATAAATACTATTAAAGCAAACACAGCTCTGGTATCGGAAAAGTATCGGTATCGGCCGATATCCAAAGTCAGGTATCGGGATCGGATCGGAAGTGAAAAAATGTGGATCGGTGCATCCCTAAATAAAAATATATTATTTTTATTTATATTGATTTAATTATAGGCATATATATATATATATATATATATCTATAAATTAATCAATGGATATGTGCTATATTTTTTCTGTTATCATAAAAGAAAGAAAGAAAGTAAGAAAGAAATGTATTTGTGGTTCTTCCTCTTGTCACAGCTGACTCATTACACAACTCATCTCTGAACCTTGCACACAAACACACCGTCACACAAAGCACAAAGGGTTCCATTCTGGTCTGATGGTGTGTTGAGTGTGTGAAGAGAAGGTCAGGGGAGGGCCAGATCTGTGTGTGTGTCTGTGTGTCAGTGCATTAGTGGCTTTGACACACTCATTAGAGCAGATGTGCTGCTGCTGCAGTGGCGGCTGCCACTTCCTCCTCCTGGCTTGTGAAGACGGGCAGCTGTTGAGCAAAGGGCCAACGTCTGCCTGATCCCTGACCCCAGCTCCACCCCGGCGGGGGCAGGGCCAGGGGACCGCCAGATGGGGGCTGCCTGGCTGTGTGTGCAAGGGGGTGTTTATGAGTTTAGAGTACTGGCTTTTGCTTTTTGGGGGGAAACTTGTGGAGTTTGTGTTTGTATGTGGGGCATAAGGGCTGGGGGTTGGGTTATGGAGGGAGGTTATAGACGCAACACATGGCTCAGAAAAACAGTAGCCCGAGAGAGGGGTGTCAGAACAGTGCTTCGAAAAAGTGGCGTGCAGCCGTTTGTTGACATCGCTTTAGCCAGGAAGTACTTTGTCTAATAAAATTATAGTGCTGTGCGGTTCAATAGAAGTGAACACGTTTCATTGACAGCACTTGTGGCATAATGGTGATTGCTACAAAAATGATAACATCCTTTTCTTAAAAAAGCAAACAAAAAGACACTTATTGGAAGTGAATGGGGCCAATTACATTAAAATACTCACGTTTTCAATAGTTCTGTCAGGTGACCTAAACAAAATTTGCATTAACGTGATTTTAACGTGAAAAAATAAATCGCAGTAACGCTTTACAATAAGGTTTCATTTGTTAACATTAATGTATTATCTAACATGAACTAAAACATTTGTTACTGTATTTGTTCATCTTTGTTAATGTTAGATTATAAAAATCCAGCTGTTCAATGTTTGTTCATGTTAGTTCACAGTGCATTAAGTAATGTTAACAAACACAACTTTTTTTTTAAATAATGTATTAGTAAATGTTGAAGTTAACATGAACTACGATTAATACATGCTGTAGAAGTGCAGTTCATTATTAGTTCATGGTAAGTAGTAAGTAATGTGCAGTGGTTAATAAGTTTTACCAATATTTCTTAAATGACACAATAATGCACAAGTTTTAATAGAAGAACTAATTTTACAAAATGATTTGCTTCACATTTCAGCATTCAAATGTTCAAAAAAAAAATTGGCCCAATTTAAGTGCCTCACCGTAACCTCATTATTTGGTAACACTTTATTTTACAGTGTCCTCATTACATGTTACATGTACTTATCATAGTAATAACTGTAAATGATACATGATTACATGCAACTAACCCTCAAACAAATCCTAATCCTACCCTAACCCTATAGTAAGTACATGTAGTTGTTTAATATTACTCTTTACTTTAATATATAACTACACTGGAACAACATCACTTTAAAATAAAGTGTTACACTTTATTTTAAGGTGCCATTATGACAGTGTAATTACACAAATAAGTATCAGGTAATATTAATTACCTACATGCACTTAGTGTACGGTTAACGATTGGGTTAGAGCTTGGATTTATGGTTAGTTACTTGTAATTATGTATAATTTGCTGTTACTGCTATAGTAACTACATGTGTAACTACTTGACATTAAAATAAAGTGTTACAGTCAAAGCTTTTTTGTAACACTTTCTAAAAGTCATATTGAACTGTGAATATTCCTTTAAATTGTATCCATTGTTAAAGTAAAAATGACTGTAACTTAATATTTGTTGGCAGACGAGCCGCACATATGCACAATGGTGATCATTGCTGTAAAAGGCATCACTTTGAAGCCTCTTTAAGTTCATCCTACACCCTGTGGTTGGACAGCAGTGGGAGTCAGCGGCCAGCTCTGCCCGGACATTTGCTTCTCCATGTCTCCAGAGCGGACAGGTGTTGGCGTCAGCAGCGTCCAGACTCGTTTCAGCAGCTGCTGCGCTTGTCCACACACACGCACGCCCTCTCGTACACACCTCCCCCAAATGACAGATGTAGACACACCACCCATCTAGCTTTATGGAGCCAGTGCTGTTTTGACTTTAAATATTTGCCCAGGAGGGATTGCCCTGTTTGGGTAAGGCTGCACGGCTGGGTGTAATAGGACGAGAACAACACGGACTGGCCAACAAAGAGGCTGTACAAACACATAAACCTGCTGACAGAACTGGAAGTCTGGAGGAGTGTGAAGTCTTTAAGTTGCGTTCAGATGTTCACCGATTGTTATACAGTGGCTCCGAAATGGATTTGGACACTGTTGGAGACATAAGTATAGCGCTTGAAAATGTCGGATGTTATTGCATTAGAAACACAATTAGAAAGCAAGTTGCAACTGCAAACAAATTATTCACTTTAAGATAATCTCTAAACCATAATGTAAGTAATGTTAACCAACTGTTGTCATGGTGATTTTAGAAGTTGTATAAAGTCAGTTCACACAGGTGTCCAATGAATGTGTCCCACTAACATTTGATAACCACAATATCTATCTATCTGAAAACCATAGATCTTACAGTATACATGTCTGTCTGTCCGTCCATCAATCCATCCATCCCTCCATCTGTCCGTCCGTCCATCCATCGCTCAATCCATCCATCCGTCCGTCCGTCCATCTATCCCTCAATCCATCCGTCTGTCCATCCGTCCGTCCATCCATCCCTCACTCCATCCATCCATCCATCCCTCCATCTGTCCATCTGTTCGTCCGTCCATCCATCCCTCAATCCATCCATCCGTCTGTCCATCCATCCGTCCGTCCAATCATCCGTCCGTCCATCCATCCATCCGTCCGTCCATCCATCCATCCATCCCTCAATCCATCCATCCGTCCGTCCGTCCATCCATCCGTCTGTCCATCCGTCCGTCCATCCATCCATCTATCCATTCGTCCGTCCATCCATCCATCCATTCATCCATCCTTCCATCCGTCCAACATCGGTCCATCCATCCATCCATCTGTTTTTAATATTTCACATATTATATTAAATATAGCACATATCTATTGATTTTGTATATATATATATATATAAAATATTCGATTTTTAAGTGTGATTAAACTGTTCAGACACTGAATATGAAAAAGTCCCTCTATCAGTAACGGTACTCACTTTTTGCAACTTTTAACAAGCTGGAGAAAATTTGATATCTAAAAAATGTTAAGCATGCTAAAGGAATGCTGTTCGATTTATTTGATTTGATAAAATCCAAGTGTGAGAAATTTCAAAGCTTGTGCCGAAAGAGAAAGGTAATCCAGCAAGATGCACCGCCTCATAAGCCTGGAAGAAAAGCACTTTGTCTCACCATCTGGGTCTGCACTCGCCCATCCCATTAGGACGCCACATTAAAGAGCAGGTACAGTAATTGCAAGAGCCGGCCGACTGGAGGGCAACCTGCAATACTTTCCCTTGTCCAAAGAGAGAGGTAGGCAGAGGGAAAAAACTTTCCTCACACAGCAGATTCATCTTGAAACAGCTTCTAAGGACTGCCAAACAGATGCCAGTACAATTGCTTGTCTTTTTTCCTCTTCCCCTGCAATCTAAGTATGGCGCCCATATGGCTGCAGCTGAAGGGAGTGATTGTTGGTATTGTTCATTTTGTCAGTGATCCTGGGAGATGCGGGAGAACTAATGATAATGCTGTGTGCAGATGTGCGCTGGGCGACTCTTTTACTCGTTCACTGTCTGCGGCCCGCTGGATCTCAGGCTGGGACGGGGATGTACGCCACACAGATGAAGCTAATAATGTCGAGAAGAACAAAACTAGTCACTAGTAATTCAGAAAGAGGAAGTCAAATGCAGACATGAAGCTGAAATCAGAACCTTCTGGATTTGTTTTTATTAACTTTTAGTCAGCTCTGGGCCCCAGATTTCTAACCAAGTGGATTTTAATTGCAACTTCCAAAAAAAGTGTCTTTATTAATTAAGTTGAATGATTATCACAAGGGTAAAACGTATATAAAACACTGTGGAAGTTTTTTATCGCATGCAACTCAACAAATAATTTGCTTTAAACAGAATATTCTGTCATTGTCATCTCAGTAATGATTGCTTATGTCACCTAACATATGCTAGCAAGCAGAATAATGTTTGCCATATGAGGTTAACATATTATGTGCAATTTTGCCAAGTAAGACATGTTCCTGAATTACTTTTGTTGATCCTGGAACAACAATGTAATCCTAACCCTATACTGCCCTACAAAGGTAAAAAACCTTAACTCACTAGTGTGTGAAACTGAGAAAAATGACTTTAAAGTTTTTTTTTGTTGTCCAGACAAATGTATGATAGGTAGGACTCTGAAAATTTGCCAAGTTGTTGTCATAATGAATATATTTATCTATATAAATTTTTTTAGCTCAAACTTGACCTTTGACCTTTATTCGGAAGTTAATGTATTCTGCATTTGCATTATCTGCAAAACAATAATGGGTCATACAAAGGCAAAATACCATAACTTCTAATTTATTGACCATTTCGACTTTTATCACTCTATACAAACATTTCTATGATAACAATGAAAGGATTAAAATAATATTTAGTGAGTTCTGTCTAGTAAGGGTTAATTTTACATCAATAGAATATTTAAAAAAATAACGAGAAGGCTATTATCTGTATTGGATCATAAAACTTTATTGTTGTACTTTAAGTAAAATAACACTTTAAGAGGTAGGAAAGTAACCTTCCAAAAATATTTCTTATGTGATTTGGCTATGCCAGAAATATGTATGCCCTTTCTCAAATACCATTTAACCTTTTCTGACAAAACGTATTGGAATATGCTTAAATCTGATGACGTGTGTATGTTTTCTCTTAATAAAAACTGTTTTAATAATTTTTTTCTGGACAGAATGGAAATTTATTTAGTACCATGTGCATGTACAGACTACAGTTTTCACTCACAAATTTTATGTGATTCGGATTGATTGTCTTCATATCAGTTTATGACAGTTTACAAAGAAGGGAGTCTAACAACAAACTGATTTTAAGAAATGTATTAAATTAACGTTTGTTAACTAGTTAATGCATTGTGAACTAACATGAACTAACAATAAAGAGATGGATTTTTTTAACAACATTAACAAAGATTAATAAATACTGTAATGTTTTGTTCATTGTTAGTTCATGTTAGTTAATACATTAACTAATGAACCTTATTGTAAAGTGTTAGTGTAGGCTTAATAATAAAAAACAATTTGTACCCCCTGTTCATAGTCTTTCTTTTTAGTAAAATGTAATACTGGTGAAATTTGTACATTAAATGTAAGTTTGACTTATAAATCATTTCAAAAATAATTCTCACTATTTTTTTTAAAGCTATGAATATATATTTAACGACAAATACAGATGAGATATTTTACAACAACTATGAATGCACCACGAGTTTTAACAGCTTTAAGTAAACGTAACCTTTAATTCACGTCTGTTGTTTTTCCGACAACAGCAGTGAGTGACCAAGTGCTAGCTAGTTTGTGTGTTTATCTCATAGTTTTTAGCTTTACTGTTTAGCCGGGACAATTTCATAGTGGTTGGTATAAACGGGACTTCGGGTCATTAGCTACCCACAGCGACACTTAAAATTGAATGTCAACTTGAACTTCCGGACAACTTTGCACTTTGATAGATTAGCTGCTAGGCTAATTAACGTTAGCCAACCGGCACACGACACGATGGATTTAACAATGGATGTGTCTTCTCAGTGGATGTTGTTTTCCATGGATTTTGACCATGTTTAAAAAAAAAAGGTAAGCTGCAATCTTTTATATTTGCTGGGTTGGTTTGTGTGTGTGGTAATGTTTTCTCCTCGCCAGGGGAGGTCTGTCGTGATGCGTGTTGTGAGCATAGTAGTTGTGAGGCGTCCCCAACCTACTCGCGTTGTTTTCTGTCAGTGTCAGTGAGTGGACTGTCAGATTGGAGATTGCCACCCTGTATGGCACGAGAAAACTTGTAGGCAGGCCTACTAGTTCTAGTTAATAGTATCACTGCAACAGCGGTACAATTTTGTTTTCACTTTATTTGATACATGTGGCAAAAGTGCTTCAATTGCATATAGGCATAACACCGTAACTTCAGCGCTGGAACGCGTTGCTGGTGGGTAAACCAAGGCAGAGTGCCTTAACTTCACCGTAACGTAATATAATAATGGCGTTCTAGATCGAGTGCAGCGGTACAAAGCCAAAAGACCGTAACTGGTGTTAAGGGCTTCTGCCTTTGCTCTCCCGTCTGCTTTTGGAATTTATGGCAAAAACAGCATCTTATTTTTTAGCAAAAAACAACAAAATAGACGCAAGATATTTGTCCACATGATAAAACTAATGTCCATTGTTCCATTGGTCCATTGAAGTTAAGGTCTTTTGCCTTTGCATGGCAGTATATCCATATAACTTATCCCTAAAATTAGAGGGAAATAATTGAATAAAACACTGATGTAGAAGCACCTAACCCTGGTTGTAAGCATAAACTTGACATAAACTGTAAACATAAACTCAAATCTGATTGGTTGATTGGAATGTTGTTCCAGGATCAACAAAGATGTTGTACTTGATGAAATCGCATTCACTGTGGTGACTCGAACTCGTTCATCAAAATGAACAAATCTTTTTCCCGAGTCAATTCGTTCATTTCGTTCGTTGAATGAACCAAACGACGTGAAAAAAGATTAATTCATTTTGATGAACGAGTTCGAACAGGAGAGTCACGGTTGTGCGCATCACAGAACAGAGCAAGGCGAGCATTTGTGCTTATGAAACTTACACTTTTTTTTTTAATGACTGATCATTTCGCTTGATAAGACCCTTATTCATCGTCTGAAATCGTTTAAAGCCCTTTCAACAGTTTGCACTGAAACTGTCTTTTGGACCTTGAACCGTTTGGTTACCAGTAAAGTCCATTATATGGAGAAAAATCCTGGAATGTTTTCACCAAAAACTTTAATTTCTTTTTGACTAAAGAAAGAAAGACATGGATATCTTGGATGACATAGGGGTCAGTACATTATCAGCAAAAGTTTTTTTTAAAAGTGAACTACTCCTTTAAGTACAAACTAAGTGAGCCAAAACCGCCACTTATGCCCCCTGTCAAGTGCCTGTAGTGTTTACTTGGTTGTACATTACATCTACAGTGTCATCAGCAAGAGATCTGATACTCAGAAGCCATGTCTCATGTCTCACGTCACAAACGCATAACCTGTGAACACAGAAGCAGCTACTGCAAAAACCCATGGATACAAAATGCAACAAATAGGCCTTTTTGGAGGACGCATCAATGTCAAAAGTACCAGTATCGCATCCGTCCTCCTTCAGGTTTTCTTTTCAGCTCCCTGCCAAGGTTGCTGTGCGGTGGTGGATAATGCAGCATTGTGAGAGGGAATGTGGCACGTTGGCTGTGCCAGGTCCCACAGGCTGAGCCCACGTTCCCTCTCCCTAACCCAGTTCAGGATGTGCGCATTAATCCTGCGAGTCGGCCTCGGGCCACTCTGGGTTGCTGCAGGTTGGTGGAGGCGACAGATGGGACCCGCGCTGCCGGACCTCGCAGTGAGTGGAGAGGATGGCATCTCCGGATGAAACGACAATTCTTCTCTGTGTACGCAAACTAGCTTATGATTGGAAATGATGAGGCATAAGAGGTTTCTGCACTCTTGATTCGTAATGTTTTATGTTGAACTGTGAGCAAAAGGTATTTCATATAATTTATGTTGATTTACGCACACAATATGCGTCAGTATTTCGCTGTAAGTTAACGTCAAAAATGTATTGATGCTAACCTTATTGTAAGGTGCTACTCAGTGATTATGTCTATGAATGCGAGGTCTGTATTGGCATGCATGGCCATTTCTGTAAGGTGTTGGAGTGTGATATTCTGCTCTAACAGCGTGTGTGATCTTCACGAGGAGTTCCTGCCACATGTGTAAAGAGTGTGTGAGCCCTGCTGAGTCACACGTTTGGGGTGGACAGGTGTTGGGTCTCTTTAGTGATGACTATTGCAGGCTCTGTGCTGCAGACAACACACACACACACCACTGAAAGTGTCTTTTGTAGAGCATTCATTGACCTTATTAAGGCAACCACACACTACAAGATAATCAGGCCGATTTTGGACCCAATTCTCCCCTTCCGACAAATAAAGTCCTGATTATCTTGATGGTTCTACAGATTATTTTATCAGATTTTCCTGTGGTGTGATGTGTGTTGAGACTAACTGAATCTGCTCGGAAGAACATCAGGTTCGCAGTGATCTCAAAATATTTATGATCAGAAATCTTGTTGTGTGGGGGGAACCCTGGCCATGTTTGTTTACTCTAAAGTCACGTTTGACCGCAAGAGATTTTGCAAGATTTCACGTGTTCACAGTCGGGACTCTGGTTGTTCGTGAATTGATTTTGTTAGTGTGTGGTGTGCTGTCTTGGTCATATCATGACACTTCACTCATTATAGGAACAAACTATTAAGTCTATGATTTTTTTTATCGTCATGTTTGTGATCTTTCAATATTTAAAATCTTTTGGCCTGGGCCAGATAAATAGTTCAGCCAAGAAACCCATGTTCAGGGGTGTGTTTCCCCAAAGGATTGTTAGCCAATATGGTCCCAAGTTCCATTGAACTCTATTGGTAGTGACAGAACTTGCGATCATAGTTAATTTTCGGGAAACGCACCCCTGATTTGGTTGTTTTAATGTAACATCTACATCCAATCGATTTCATATATCCATTACTACTTCCCTTTATAACCATGACGCATCCAAACGAACACACTAACTCATGCTCAAAATGCAAATTCTTATTCTAGCCCTCTATCTCCGGTAATGACAGTAATGACAGAACTTGCAACCATAGTTCATTTTTGGGAAATGTTGTTTTAATGTAACATCTACAGCCAATCGATTTCACATATCTATTGCTACTTCCCTTTTATAATATGGTCCCAAGTTCCATTGAACTCTATTGGTAATGACAGGACTTGAGACCACATTGTAAAACAAATATTTTCAAGATTTGTTATCACAACATTTTTTCTTTTGTCAAATCAACTTAAATAATTCATTTAGTTCAGATAACTTATTAGTTTGTGGTGATTAAATCAATCTCCTTGATTGTATTAACTCACTTTTTCCAGTTCAATCAACTTAAAATTTTAAGGCAACCAGGTTACTTCATTTTTTAAGTTAAACCAACAATATTTTTTTACAGTGTAGTTCATTTTCGGGAAACACACCCGTGATTGTGTTGTTTTAATGTAACTTCAGCCAATCGATTTCATATATCCATAACTACTTCCCTTGAAAACCATGATGGATCCAAACGAACACACTAACTCATGCTCACAATGCAAATTCTTATTCTAGCCCTCTACCTCCCCAGCACCACCTGCCTAGATCTGCTATGGGACATTTCCTGAATTTTCAGCATCATTACTCCATTTTTTAGTGTCACATGATCCTTCAGAAATCATATTGTATTTTGATTTGGTTCTCAAGAAACATTTCTGATTATTATCAATGTTGAAAACAGTTGAAACCATGATACATTTCTTTCATGATTTTTAAATGTCAACACAATGTCAATACTTTCACTTTTGCTAAATTTAATGCAACCTTGCTCAATACAAGTATTCATTTCTTTAAAAAAAAAAATCTTACTGACCCCACACTTTTGAACAGCAGTGTATGTTTATATATACTTTTTTCCCCCTGCGAGATATGGACACCTTTGTTATAAACAGATGCATATATGCAGTGCCTACCTGACCCCCATAAGGTCACAGCACTGCACCCAGGAAAAGTGCTGACTTGCTGCTGACTAAATCCTGCCAAGAAGCCCTATCAACATCCCACACCCTGCTGCCCACTTATCTACAGTGGGCAGAAGTGTGACCAACAGCTGGTTCAGAGAGAAAGAAACAGCCGACCAAACAAGTCACATTAAAAGGTTTTGCTATTCCTTCAACATAAATCGCATAAGACAGGGAAATGTAGGAGTCCTGACTTATTTTAATATCATTTCTGATTTAAGTGCTAAATAGTATGGGCTAGGAATAATGTAAAGTCAACTGTAATTATTGCACAATAAGTCTCAGATGTATGGTGCTGTACATTATAGCACCAATTAAATAGACACGAAATATTGATTTGAGTAGAATTATTTTTTTTTATTTGAGTAGAAAAAGCGAAAAGTGATAGTAGAGACACATGACAGAAACCCAACTATGTAGAAATCTGTGGTTTGGGATAGTGATCAGTTACACAATGTCATTAGTGGTCACTAATCACAATACTATACCGTTTAAAAGTTTATTTGTTTAATGATAAAAACAAATTAATCTGCAAAGAGGGATTAAATTGACCAAAAGTTACAGTAAAGAAATGTATAATGATACAAAAGATATCTATTTTAAATAAATGCTGTTCTTTTGAACATTCTTGAACTTTTATCAAAGGATCCTGATTTTTTTTTACCATGGTTACCACAAAAATATTAAGCTTTCAAAATTGATGATAATAGGAAATATTTCCTGAGCAGCAAACCAGAATGATTCTTGAAGGATCAGGAATCCTGAATCTGACAATGAAGACTGAAGTAAAACATTGCCTTCACTGGAATAAAAAAATACATTTTAAAACTGTGTATAATTATTTTGTATATATATATATATATATATATATATATATATATATATATATACATACACACATGCATGTATATTTAAGATAAAATATTATTTATAATATAAAATATTCATATTTATATATAATATATAAATTATATATAAATCTATATGCAGTATATACATGAAAATATTTCTTGTGTGATGGTCAATAAGTGTGTGTGTATTTATATATATAAAATAATTATACACAGTGCACCCACATATATTATGTAAACACAAACTTTTATTTTGGATGCAATTAATCGCGATTAATCATTTGACAGCCTTAAATATGATATAATATTTTAGAATAAAGTTTTCAAAAACAATTGCAATTAATTGGCCTTCTTCCATATATTAAGCAGTGAAAGCGTTGTAGTGTTTTACCAGGAAATGAACATGTCTCCTTCAAACTTTTCAGTGTCAGTTAAATTCTAGATTTGCAAATGTTCATATAACAACTGCCACCCTCTAAGCTCTAAAATTGTGCACTCAATTCAGACATCCACTCCCTTTTCTATGGAAAAATCACACACAAAAGAGATGTTGTGTTTTATCAGTGCTCAAGAGAGCTCCACAGACCCCCCGAGTGGGCTTGTGTGGATGGAGTGGAGAACCTGGTCTGCGCCGCTCACTCCTCAGCAGACAGTACCACAACTGACACACACACACACACTGGCATTTAAGTTGGGGTTGCGTCTTCTTTTGTTGGGGGACGCAGGGTGCATGGCGCACCCCTCCCTAAAGCAAAAATATGCCCCCACGCAGACACCTCTCCCCCACCCCTGACAGGCTGTAGCACCACTGCATTGTCTGAAGGGCCAAGACAGGCCGCTTGTTGCTTGCCTTCTGTCTGTGCACAGGACGCTTGACAATGGCTGCCTTTTAAATGAGGCAGACAACTGAAAGAAAGAAGACGTCGTCCCTACTGCCTGCTTTTCTCACCTTTTATCTGCTGAGCCCTTGTACTTTTTTTTCCTCTTTTCCTTCCTCTTTCATGTAGGACTTAATGCTTCTTTCATTCGCTCAAATTCTTTACATCTTAACTGCTGGCCGCCACTGAATTTTAAGCACATTTTGACTTATTGAGTGGAAATGTACTGAATTTTTGGTTATAAAATGATGGTGTCTTAAAGCCTAAATGAAATGAAATATGATCTTATACTATTATAGATGAAATATTAGTGCTGGGCAGCCTCCAAAATCAAAGTTTTTGTTTACATGATATGTGTGTGTAGTGTGTATAATTATTTTGTATATATAAAAACACAAACATGCATGTATATATTTAGGAAAAAATGTGTAAAAATAAGTAACATATTTATATTTATTGTATATATAATATAAAGTTTGTATAAATATATATCCAGTTTATACACTGTAAAAAATATTGTTGGTTTAAATTAAAATTTAAAATGTAAAAAACAGTTGCCTTAAAATTTTAAGTTCTTTGAAATTGAAAAAAAAAAAGTTAATACAATGAAGGAGATTTATTTAATCATCAGAAACTCAAAATATTATGTTATCTGAACTACATAAATTATTTAAGTTGATTTGAAAAATAAAAATGTTGTGATTACAAATCATGAAAATATGCAAATATTTCTTAATATTATACATGCATATGTGTGTGTATTTATATATACAAAATAATTATACTTCCATATTATGTACAGATGTTTTTCAAAATTTGCCTTCAAATTATTTCAATATTTTCCTCCGGCTAAATCAAAACACTCTTAAAAATAATGGCTCCATTGTAAATTTGACATGAGCACAAAACGCATTGTAGGGAAAAAAAGTTTGAGAGAAATCAAAATAACTGGCATCTGTAGAGTATCATAGCATACATTTTTTTTTTTTTTTTTTGAAGGTCTAAACATAATGTAACATGTAGTGCAAAAGTGAAAAGTCATAAAGAATCAATCTGGATACTTCACTGCTATATATGTTTTTAATAAGCCATTAAAATGGCCAAACTGAATAACTTTCGATAACTTCAATAACTTGTCGCGTGCGAACAAACAGAAAGGCCTCTTCCTGTCTGCGCCGCTTACATTATATTTGGAGCTGGTCACAGAGAGTGGTGAAGCTCTGAACAGCTACAGTATCTATGTGGACAGAACCAGTCATACCTCAGTGCAACGGCTGCCCTATCGATGCCATGCATGTGCGCCGCTCTCCCCCAGTACACTGGCACGCAGCTCCCTCCAACTTCTGTGGTGGAGCTACATATAGAAGACCCAAGCTGGTAATACACTCGTCACGTCGAGCCCACTACCCTTCGGCACAGCCAAATGTTTCCACAGCTGCCCCTTTGTCTCTGCTCCTTGAGTAAACAAAGGACAGATACAAATTAATGACCTAAATTCATAGTAAAAAAGCAAAGAGAGAAAACCATTATGCCTCGGCGAAGCATCAACTGTCCGTTCCAACCAGATGTTGTGTGTGAATGTAGCCACAAATCAAATTTCATCTCTCAGAAAAAACTAGTGAACGTGTGAGCAATATTGTCTAGAAATAACCTTTATACACTGGAAAGATTTAAAAAATGTACATAAAATGTACATAAAACTATTCGGTTTTGTACTTTTATAATACACTGACAACCACCAGTATAGTGAAAAATCCACATGATGAATCAAACTCTCTAGTAGCTTTTAATATTTTGAATTTGCACAATATCACATAAAACACCGTCATGGTAATGCATGACCCTAAAATGTGATTTTAATAAAAATTCATTTTAACAACATTAGATGTGAAATAAAAAACCCAAGGAGCATAGTTATTTTAGTGAACAACCATCAAATGTGAAGTGTCACAGTGAACCCTGGGAATGTCAATTTACAGTTTTTCACTGTAAATTATAAGATAACTTGTTCTTTATCACTTCCAAAAACTATAACTTTAATAAAGGTGCAAATGGATCTTAAATCCAAAACGTGATCAAAAACTAAATCACGTACCAATAAGGTGGAAGTATGTAAGAGGAAGGGGGTGGGCAGAGGCTTACAGCACGGGACCATCTGTGGCAGTGGCCTGTTGAGTAACGCTCGCTGACTTAAAAGTGGTCAGCCTTAAGTGCATCTGTAGGCCAGGTTTGCCGAACAGCGAGACATTAGATAAAGCTGATTTGTTTTCTGGAAAACTGTACTTGAGGAGCTTTGGAAGCAGCCTGTGACTGACTGAGTGTGTGTGTGTGTGTGTGTGGCAGGGGGAGGGGATGGTCTTCGTACAAGCTGCTGCACATTTTCCCAGGTCCAACCCACGCCTTTACTGGAGCACCAACCAGACATTAAAGCAGCATATACACAGGAGCCATGTAAGACCACATACACTCACACACACTCGGACAGTATACTCAATCCACAGACCTCACGCACTGGAAAACATGTTTCCGCCCACACTAGCATCTACAGTAAATAAGATTATTGAACTGAATGCAAAAACACAAACACCATCACACCAATCTGCACATCATTTTTGCACTGGTAATCCCGCCAGAAGTTTCTGACAGAAAAATGGCACGGAGAGGTTAAGGTTCTTATAATTTATTGCAGTTTGCACACAATTTAAAAATTTCACCAACAGCACACCAAAAGTACAAAACTAAACAGCCTCATAATTTACTTCCCTTGAGAAAATGAAACATACTATGATTGTCAAAGCTAAATGTCTAAATCCATAAAAAGAACAATGTCAACATAGCAAAAAATCTCAGAAGGGAAGCAATTACATGTGAAGTCGAATCTTCTTCTTTTTTTTTTGTTAACCAGACAGCGATTGTCTTTTCAACAGATATTTATTTTTCTTTCCCATTCTCATTAGCCACCAAGTTTGAAATTTGACATAGTTGTTCTTCACACTGGGTTTCCGGGTTTCAAGTAAACTAAAGGGGTGTCCAATTTATGGATATGCTTCATAGGCCATTTCACAGCTTCATTTCCATTGAACAAAAGTCAAAGAAAGACATCCAGTATTCCAGCAACAGTTTCCAGTTTTCAACCTCTGAGTATAAGCTGATAACAGTAGTTTAAGGCGGTCAAGTACAATAGAAGCAAACAAAAAACGTAAAGAAAAAGAAAGCATAGAAAAATCAACCCCACCGTTGATATTTTTTTTTTCGGTCACATTTTAGAGTGCAAAAGGTAAAAGTACCACCGTGCAAAACGCTATGAGGAGCGTGCGCTGTTGGCAAAGCTCAACCTTTTCACTAGCCGTTACACCAGCCAAATATATGGAAGGACCGTTCGTTCCTAAGGCCTGCAAAGGCCCGAGTGACCCACTCGAAACATGTGCCCTGGCCCTCTCTAACTAAAGTAGTTCAAGCATTTCAGCCCTGTGTGAGTGACTGATCTATGTCTACAGCGCTAAGCAATATGTTTCTCATTTTTCTTTGCTTTGTATTTCTCTGGATTTGACAATGAAAGTTTTTTTGTTAAACAAACCAACCAACAAACAAACAAAAAAATTACAGAATTTTCACAATCAAAAAACAAAAAGAAACCTTAATATAATTTTTCAAATTAAAATAAAACCTTTTTAGAATAAACATTTTTCAAAAAAAAAAAAATCACAAATGCTGTAAAAGTTAACAATTTTTTTGAAAATTACAAATTTATCGATCTTTTCTTCAGTGTAACAAAGTCAATTCAATTAGGTTAATAATTAGGTGTATACATTTCATAAAGACCTCTTTTGCACATTCTAATTTCATTAAGCTTCAAAAGGTGCAGCCAACCTTGCCAAACATCTTCAAGTGGCAAAAAAAAAAGACTTACGAATTGAACACAAACACACGCACACAAACCACTCAGATCAGAGTGTGCCGAGCTTTACGCTGATTAAAGATCCTTCAGCTTTCTCCAAATAGATGTGCGCTGCTGAGGACACCCATAAAGAAGAGCTGTACCATCAGCCACGCAAATGTGTCTTCATGGCAATCGAATCTGAAGCAAGTGCCAATTGAAAAGATAAATAAATAAATTACAAACAGATCTGACATGATTCAAATGACAACAGCCAGTAAACAGGACACTGAGACAAACAGCAGTTGAGGACCCAGCACTGGGAAGAGCAGCGCATGAGGAGACGCTAGCAGGAGCAACGCTAGCCTTCTGAACAATAAACGTAGCGATTCAGCTTCTGCTGACACCTGGCCCCTCGTTAACCTCCGAATTCTACAGCGAGCCCAGACCGAATCGCTTCCCATGTGTAGATACTGCAGCCTAACGTCAGTGCATTTCCACAATCTTCACAGCCCAGAATAAACATCTCACCAAAAACCCCCGATTCATTCTCTAATGAGAGGGAAAAAAAACTCAAATCTACCAAGGAATCAATGAGTTAATTAAAAAATACACTCTCTGATGCAAAACAACAACAAAACAAACAAAAAAAAGTTAAATAAAATTCATGCAATTTCTACAGCGGTAATATTAAAGGTACTTTTTTTTTCTCAACAGACAGGTGCCCTGACTGTAATCAATCAGTCAATTACAGTGTACAGCAATACAGCAAGTCACATCTTTTTCAATATACAGGTCAGACATCATGCAACAACAGATTCCGTTTTAAAAACGAAAAATCTTAATAAAACACTACAGAAATCTCTAGAAATGCAGCCGATGTAAAAACCAACTTCAGTAGCAAACGAGTGATGTAGAGAGACTGCAACTAAAATGTGAAAATGACTTCAAATCATATTAAGAAAGGATAGAGGAAATGCAGCAACTGATATGAAAAAGGAAACTGTACATTGCATGAGTGCCTTGTTTGTCTTCCATCAGTCAAGTTTCCTATAACGAGTCAAAAATGTACAAGAGCTTAAGTAACGCGAGCTTAGAGCTTCCTTGTGGGATTTAAAGGACTGACCTGCTCACACACTACGTGTGTAAATGTGCGTGCATGAATACACATGCACCGTAGTAACCACAGTCAAACATCAGGTATGCCATCTGCAAATTTTAGTAGTGCACTCTATATATATATATATATATATATACATATATATATAGAGGCAAGTGTGTGAAAAGGTAAATATGACCATTGTACCCGTTTAGTGTCCTTAGTTTTAAAATCCTCCGTCTATTACCTGAAATCTTCATATGCTTTTCATGGCAGATGTTCCTTGAAATTTAGGAGCGTATACAAATACTGTAAATTACATACAGTTGAAAATCCCAATGAATATATTTTCTGTCAAAGTTGGTTACTGAGACCAGCACCCATGTTTTATAAAAACCCAAGGAGAACAGGAAAAAAAGAGACCCTAAACAAAAAGAACTGAGAAAAAAAAATCAGTAGTAACATTTTCATGTGCTAGTAAAGTGCAATTCAACAAGATTTGCAATGTACATACAAGAAAAATGACTGATTCGGACCCTTCGGCCGTCACTCTGCCCCACTCTTACCTTCACCACTCTGCCCCAAAAAATGTCACTCAGATCTCTCTCATCAATTTAACAAGCAGTTCAAACAGTCTGCTATCATTTTAGCATTCATTTCCACAGTTCTTGAGAACTATCTTCCAGTGCCCAGTCTCTGACCGTGGGTAGATTGAGCGCCTCGCTCTTGACCGAGAGCGAGTTGACCAGTTCGCAGTGGAACTTGCGGATGTGTCGGTACAGGTCCCCTGACTGCGTGAAGCGCCGCTCGCACCACTTACAAGCGTGTGGCTTCTCGCGCGTGTGCACGACGGCATGTCGACTCAGGTTGTGCGAGTATTGGAAGCTCTTGCCGCAAGTAGTGCATGTGTAGGGCTTCTCGCCCGAGTGTGTCCGCTCGTGGCGCTTTAACGTGTACATGCAGGAGAAGGTTTTGCCGCAGATGGAGCAGGTGGGGACATTAACGTCACTGGCCGGCTTGGCCCGTACGCCTTCCTGCTCTCGAAAATGCGTGCTGAGGTGGATCTGCAGGATGTGGGGGCTGGGGAAGACCTTGTTGCATAAGGGGCACATGAAGATCTGAGTATGTGGGGCCCCCAGCATGCTGGAGACGTAAGGCAACAGGGCGCTTTCGACCCCTGCCACCTCCTGAGCTCGCTCACTGTCCCCTCCTAGGACGTCCGTGTCATCTCCTTTGTCGTCCCGCTCCAGCTCGCTGGCCAGTGAGGCCTCACGCAAGGCCGAAAGGTGCGCCTCCAGGCCCAGCCTCCGTTGCGCAACGAGGCTGATGTGAGTCCCGTTGGTGCTGGGCGGCTCCTTCACACCGCTGTGCTCCATCTCGTAGTCGCCGCTCACCAGCTCATCGTCGTCTGAGCCCGTGTCCTTCTCCACCTTGACTTGAACCAGGGCACTCTGAAGGCTGTCTGGGGTGACAGAGCTGCAGAAGTAATGGTTGCCTGCCAGGGTCTCCCCAGGTCCTCCGCCCAGGCTGGACTTCACCGAGAGATCGAGCACGCAATCTGTGTCTGCGGAGACCCTCCGAGACGCTGCAGAGCGACGGGACCGGGAGCCGGTGGAGCTGCTGGGGCTGCCGGCAGGGGATTTGCCAGTGTCAGGGCCGTGCGTTTCTGCTTCCCTGGGACTGGTGGTGGGAGACGTGGTCCGGTCAGAAGGCAGTCTCATCCACATGCTCCCCGGCTCCTGAGGGCTGTCCCGTTTGTTCTCCATGTCCTCGTCGTCACTCTGCAGCAGGTCAGCGGTGGCCGGCCGGCCCGTGCTTCCACCTTCCGAGAAGCTCTCCACCTTATCCGAGCAGCTGGACGCATCCTCCTCCCGCTTGGTGCTGTCGGCCTCAGTCGTGGCCTTCTGCTTGAGCTTCTTCTTGCACACCTTGACAATGTCGTACATGTGGAGGTAGCTGGCAGCAGCCAGCACATCCTCCACTGGAAGCGATTTAAACTGGAGCTTTCCCTCGTACATGAACTCAAGCAGGAGAGCGAAGGCCGGAGCCGTGACAATGTCGCTGTTCAGATGAACAATGTCCCTTTTGTCTAGCTGGTCCTTGTAAAAGAGGTGGAAGTACATGCTGCATGAAGCCAGCACTGCACGATGGGCTCGGAACTGGGCATCACCGACCAGCACAGTGGAGTCACAAAGGAATCCCTGATGTCTCTGCTCGCTCAGACACTGTAGCAAATGTCTGCTGTGGTCTGGAAACTCCATGCTGTCTTCATAACCTGCAAAAGACCACAGATGTTAGTGAGGCTCTCTAGAACAACAATTGTTTTGTCTGTGCTCTGTGTGGAACTTCTCTTTCCCACCCGCTCCGTCCCTCTCTCTCGCTCCATGCACACAGACATACTCTCACACTCTAATTCTCTCTCCCTCCCTCCTCCCCTGTGGGAACACTGGAAAAATGTTCACCACAGTCTTGACATAAAAGGATTACAAAAAAGCACATGCAAAAAGTATAACATCACATTAACCTAAGACCTAACTGTATTTTTCTCACTTTTGCACTTTAAAGTAAGCAGCGACGTGTTCATGTGTTCAAACTAACCCCTTTAATTAAATGTTTAAAAGCACAACCTGGGAAATTAACACTTAAATGTAAATAATAAAAAATATTTACTGCAAGTTACATTAAAAGGAATATATCCGTGAGCATCCCATCAAAATCATTTGAGGTTAATCAGAAGCCGTGATGCAAGAAGCTGAAGTCCTAATTTCTACAGATGCCTGCGCGAGAGAATCTTTCCTGTTTTTACTCTCTGCGCTCCTGGAGCAGTTATTTATAATAACCCACTTTGGCCAGGATGCCAAGTATAGGTAACAGGCTTACAGGTACACAAACAGCTCACCATCATAGGCATTCTGCAAGTATACTAAGTACCATGATCTCAAAGGTTGCAACAACTGAGGTAGCAGAACATCAGTATGACGTGCATAATCAAAAACGGATATTGTGCAAATAAAATACGAAATATAAACGGTATTAAAAAATATTACACAAACTATTTACTAATTAAAAAGGGCTAATTAAAAAACTCCATAAAAATATGAAATCACACCTGTTACCCGCGGAGATTGTTCCCGTCTAAAAAAATGCACCAGCGTCATGTTCAACCAGCGGACTTAAATGAACTCATTTGAATCTTCATTTAAATCTGATTGGGATAGCAAGCCAAAGCCCCCCACCCCACCCCAAACAGCGTTCAGACCTTCATTAATGAGGGGCTTATAGGGGGACAGGGGGATAACAAACCTCTCGCCAACCCTCTCCTCCCCTTTTCCCCCTCCCCAAATCTTTGGAGAAATGGAACATCCTCCCCAAAGAGGCGGTCCACAGCAGATTTACAATACAATCACTTTAAGTGCCCCGTAGTCCACATCAATCCTAATCCTTAAGATGGCTAAAAATAAAGATTGCAGGACAGCTCACAAGGTAGCAGCGATCAAATTAGGAGACTGGGAGGACAGAGAGGGACGGAGAAGGAGGCTTATGAACATCTGATCCAGCTGACTGAGACCATATGGCAGCTGCTGCCCAGATAAAGAGATTAAGACTAGGAGGAGTGCGATTACAGCTGTCTAGCCAATTCAGGCAGCTCAAATCTGCAAGTTCTAAATTAGTCCTTACAAACAGAAAAAAAAAAAAAAGATAGAAAGAGATGAGCAAAAGCCTAAAGACGGGACATTTTGATTATTTAAAGTTGCAGATTTAGCTCCCTAAAAGCATTTGTGTCTTTTCGGCCGCTTTAGCAGATTAGGAATTTTGTTCAACTGGACTGAAAATCTCGTTATTTAAAAGAAACACAGATTTTGACAGATTAACGGCATATAAACACATAAGAGTTTCTTGTTTTAATTCAATAATACTATAATAAACTAACCTACCAACCACACCACTGTATGCCATCACAACAGAGCAACAATTTGCCATTGAGAACAAAGTGGCTGAACAGAAGACTTGTAAACAAACAGAATAATGAAACGCTTGCCTGGAAACCGCTTCATGGCAACAAAAAGTGTCACTTGTCCCCAGCCTGGTTACGCTACACCAGCTCAAAATCCTTCACTTCCCATTTCCCACACACTGATAGCTGATGGCAGACGAGCAAAAAAAAAGACTTAACGGGAGCTCCCTATTCAAAGCACATCCCTGTTGCCCGGACCCCCCGGTACAGTACCTGCAGTACGCATCAACTTGATTAAGTCCACTGTTGTGGTAGCGCCGGCTGTAACTCCCTCCGCTGAATCAATGAAAGGGTAGAGACGCGAGAGAAAGAGAGAGAAAATCAAACTGTGAGGGACAGATGCAAAGTGGAGGAGATGTTGGAGGGGAATGCGATGCCTCCTCCTGCACACAGATCCGCACACACACTAACTCCCAGTCTGTGCGTTAGAAGAAAAGACTGGGGGATGGCAGCCTGTCAGCTGCTCTGACATCATGTTCAGATGGAAATGCTACCTCCAGCTGTGCTCCTTTTAGTGCCATATGCTACTCCTCTACACTCTTGCCACCAGCCTCTCCTTTATACAACTTTGTTTCTCTTTCCCCCCTTTAAAAACGGGAGGAAGGGAAGTGTTGTGAGGTGATTCTGTAGAAAACTAGCCAATTCCCCCCTTTAGTTGTAATCTCTCAGCAAAGAAGAACTTGGAACTGGGTCCGTCTGAAAGCCGACACTTTTTTCTAACCTAGTTTCCTGCACTGAGAATTTAAATACCCTCAAGTTTTTTTTCCCCCTCTCCTCCCAGTAACCATAAACAAAGGCCAGCACAGCACATTTGCAACTGACAGATCCACGCAGCTGATATTGTTTTCGACTTCTTTATGGTTCACTGGCTGCGCCATTACCGTCATTCATTTTACTAACCCTTTGGACAACTGACAGAGAAGGAGGGGGGGAAGAAATAAGAAACAATGGGAACAATCGTACAGGCTTTATAAGGACGGTTCAAACAAAAGACACTGTATTCTGCATTAGGTTGTACATACCTCCTTTCTTCTGAAGTATCTCCCTTATAATTGTGTTCATTTTCAGAAACTTCTTTGGTACAAGCCAAACAACAGTTTCCTGTTTACCACTAAAATCATCAAAACAAAGATACCTAACTGTAATCTGAAGGTCTCTTCTGAAGGATGTCATGAATATGAACAGAATAGTTAGTTTTTATTTTTAAAACTCATTGACATAAAACAATATTTTTAAATGCACAAAACAGCGCAAGAATGAAGAGTTTGAGCTGCATCTGTCACATTACACTTGATCTCAGGGGCGTTTAAACAACTAATAGGGGCTTTTAATGCGTACGAATAGCCTTGCTTATGAATAATGTTATTTTGGTTTACAAAGCAACTGGTCAGCATGAAGATAAAAGAAAAAAAAACTAAGCCAACACAATGTTTTATACTGTGACATTTCAAAGTAAACTTGTTTTCAAACCTGGCAAGTTCTTCAGAACGACGGAATTGTGCCAAGTTAGCCCTTGTTGAACTTAAAAGCTACGCTACAAAATAAATATACAGTGAAATAAAATAAACTACGAGTCCACCTAGGTAGGAAATGGTATTATAGCAGGCTACTCCTACACAAACACACACACAGCACTGCCGACGGTCTTTCTCTGGATCCTGACCCCGTACGTTCAGGAAAAGCTAGCTAGTGTGGCTAACAAATAAAAAGTAAGCATTCAACCTGCAGTGTTACAGTTTAGCGACAGGCCCCGATGCCACGCGCTCGAGCAACTCGTTCTGCGCGTAAAGACCAACAGTCGCGTGAAAAAGATCGTTACTTTTCCCCATAACAATCCAGCCCGTGCCTCCAACCCCCCTTTCATCTCCTTAAAGAGCACCTAGTATCACAGGCACTTACAGACAACCAGGTCCAACGTCTTCCTGCTTCCTCCGTCTAATCCTCTCAGCGAGAAAAACAACTCGATTGACTTTCAACAGCTTTCCATAACAACCTGCAGTGGCAGGAAAGACAGAGCAGGCGAGCGGAGCGACGAGAGCTGCGGCAGCCAGATGTTTCCGAGCTGTTGCTACTCAACTCTCCTGTAAAGAGGAAGCGCTTGACTGGCAGCGCGCAAGCCAATGGAAGAGGCGAAAAGAAAAGCGAAGGCAAATTGGAAGCTGCCGCTGAGGGGGGAAGAGGGAGGGATGTTTCTTTCTCGGCGTAGGTTGACACCAGGCAACAGTGAGAAAGCAGAAAAAAAGGCCGAGCGAGCGAACGGACGGACTGGTTCCTCGAGCAGACTGGCGCAGCGCGCGGATCGAGGGACATTGCGCAATGTTACGTGGGAACTGTAGTCACTGGTCTAGCAGCGGTGAAGAACAGGTGCACTGCAACTTCCTCCAACGCTGCGGAGAGACTGCGAGAGAGAGAGAGAGAGAGAGAGAGTCACAGGGTTAGTGGACATTAATATGGCCACTTAAAAATAGTGAGCTGAGAGTCTGATGAAACGCTAAAATTATTATATTATACAATAAAATGAAAAGTAACATGGTGCAAAATGTAACCATTACATTTGAGAAGGGCTTCTAATTTCCAAATATTTAGTGTACAACATTTCTTTCTGTTATTATTGGTCAATGGTCATTAGGCTATTATTATTATTGGTGTTGTCATCATCATCATCATCTGAAATACTACCAAAGGGTTTCCTTTGGTGGCAGCTTCAATTCCGAGATTAGGTTTTATAAAAAATGTATTTATATTTCATCCGGAATTAGCTATTGAAGTTACGAGAGCAATGGGACCATTCTAAAATCCTATTGATTTATTCAATTACATGTAAAATTTTGGTTAAATTAATGCAATATGCAGTGTACAGAAATTGTGCTGTCGTTATGACGATAACATTTTGTCCACAAACTGCAATTTCTTTCTTTGGTTGAATGAATGGGAACTGTTTAAATGGATTAGTTGATAAGTAATTATACTAAATAAAAACAAAGTTAGCAGTATGAAATTGTATGAAATGTGAAGAAAAGATCATTATGTTCAGCAATTAACTGAAAGGGATAGTTCACTAAAAAAATTAGAATTATGTCATTAATTAGGCTACTCACCTCAAGATGTTCCAAACCTGTATGAGTTTCTTTCTTCTGTTGAACACAAAAGAAGATATTTTAAATAATGTCGGTAACCAGACAATTGATGGAACCCGTTGACTTCCATAGTATGGAAGTCAATTGTCTGAATATCAACATTTTTTAAAATATCTTCTTTTGTGTGCAACAGAAGAAAGAAACTCATACAGGTTTGGAACAACATGATGATGAGTAGCCTAAATGATGACACAATTTTCCCTTTTTGGATGAACCATCCCTTGAAAGGGTAGAGATACCTGTGCTTCCACTCCATACATGTAAGCCACAGTTTATGAGTGAGATCGTCAACAGGTAAACGGTTGCAGTGCTAAGTACCGCATGTGCAATGGTCCAGAGATGCGCTAAGTTCACTCAGGACCTTGTGAACACAGTCACGTGTTTGTCATATTTGGCTGCTGAACGCACCCGCCCATAATCATCCACGCTCCCACACTCATGCGTCCCAGTAAACTAATTGGCGTTACTAATGCATTTCAAAACAAACCACTGTCCTACTGGTACTGGAATCTTGACATAATAACATTATAATTTAATGCAAATAATGGCCTCATTAAGCTGATGTGGCAAATGAGTCCAGGCATGTGATGTGTTGGTGTTTTCCATGCCGTCACCCAACAAGCTATTCCTTGTTCTGTACAAGAGTTATCCAGGATTATTATCGTTCACAGCAGATCACATCAATAATATGAAATTAAATGAAATGTTTCGCTTCCAAGTTTTCATTTCACTGAACTTTTCATTCATTTAAGGTTCGGTCACTAAAAACACAAGTGTAATTTAGTTTTAGATTTTAGTCAATATACTAATGTTTCAGTTTAGAACAAAAGATAACTTTTGTCCAAACAATCTCCACACCCCCAAAAAAAGTGTGCTTCACGTATAGTTCCAACTATTAGCATAACTGCTGTTAGTTCTCTCTGCTCCAGTATGATAATCAACAAGCCTTTTTGATCCCAAATGTTTTTTGGAGATGACAGTCCCTTGAATACGGCTGTGCCATCAGCAAAGCACGGCTGATGTTTGAAATGATATTTACTGGAGTTCTCTCCATCTGTTCAGACTGAAGTCAAAGATGTGAGGCCTCGCTTCTGTGCAACTAAGAGCAATGTTCACAAGAGCGATAGAGGACTAGTAAAAGTCATTTTATTTTACTATTACTATGAGAGTTATAGTTTAACCAATGAGTAGTGTTACATGGATCTTTTACAGTAGTTGATTATTGAAATTTGGCATATTATAGCTGCTCCCTCCAGTCCAGATAAAGGTTTATTTGCCATGCAACAGTTCTATGAAAACACAAAAGCAGAATTTGCTAGAGGTCTTTCCTGTTTTTGTGTATTCTTATGCTTGAAAATTCAATGTTTGCATAAACAAAATAACGCTATGTTCTGTAATCCTGTGTATATATAGAGAGGCTATAATGCTGGTAGAACCACTGAATAGACATTTGACAGTTTATTCTAATCAGGTACTTCTGCATTCCCACCTCTTGAGGTCACTGTGGAATCCATGTTTGTGGATGGCTAATGGATTC